ACGGAGCACGACCATTACACCCATTCGACCCAGTCTGGTCGGCGCCCTAGAGTTCAGGTCGGCTCTCGCTCAATTGCAAAAGGAGAGCAATCTTAGAATGGGACCCATCCGCGGCCACGGCCACACGCGAGCGTACTCAGACTCCGAGCACCGCATTGATGGAGTTCAGAGTGACAACGTATCTGCTGCCGGCTTGCAACTGGATTCTTCACGACATACCGTTGCGCTTGGCCAAGGTGAAGCCGTCAACAGGAATCGTGCCTTGTCGACTGGCGCTGTGCCACCTTCATTCAACCTTCCACCACCTTTACAGGAGTTACCGCAAAGTACCAGCGGCGCATCCACGCCCGCTGGGCAGGGGAGGAATAGAAGCCCTTCGCCGGCTTACCAGATCGGGGGCAATCTCGCACCACCTCCTATCGATCCCGGCGCCCCACGAACTGATGTCACTGGCGAACCATCCGGCTCCAGTCTCACGCCGCGATTGCCCCAGCTGGTCATTCCCAGCCCTGGTCCTAGTCTCAGCGAGCGATCTTCTCCGACTTCGCCCTTCCCTGCCTTCTTCACGGATTCTCCCATGGTTTTAACACCCAACGCACAGAACGACAGGTCAGATTTTTTTCTCCCGCCGCCCGGCATCGCCCGCTTGGAAGCACCAATTCCACCGTTGCCTGTGATCCCTAATACGAGGCCGGTGAAATGGTGGCCTTATGCAGTTCTGCCGCCGCCCGAAGTGGTGCATGCAACTCTCTTCCCCACGCTCCAGGGATGGAGCGAGAAGTCGCATTGGGACAAACTGGTCAGCATGATATCTGTGCCCAGTATCCTACTCTTAGTCATTACCCTACCAGTCTCGGAAACAGATGGACCAGTTGATCTGGACGATGAGCCGACTGGTGGCCCGTCCCGTGGCGCTTCGGGACACCAAACACCGCCCATAATTGCCGAAAATAGCATTCCGATCGAGCAGGAGACTGAGTGGCAACGTTACCGGAGGAATTCGCGGTCCAGGTCTCGATCTAATACTGCAAGGTCCTCTCCGATGATGTCGCCGGCACTCATCGCCGTTCACTCACCTGGGGCTACGCGGTCTATGGTGGATGGGCATCGCCCTAGCGAAGGACTCTCGTTTCCGCCGGTTGTTAAGCACGCCCCGGCCGATCCGTCACCAGAAAGCGACCTGGGCACCGCCGTGGACGAAGAGCTCAACGGCGGTTGGAATCGATGGCTCGTTGCTCTTCAGCTGTTCACCGGGCCTCTATTCTCTGTTGCGATCCTGTGGGCAAACATGTATGAGGACCTAGAGCAGCCTGGCAAGGTTCTTGTCAGGATGTCCCTTATCTCATTGCTTGGGTCGACTATCTTGCTCGGCATCTTGCTCCTCACAACGAGTCCTGACCGGAAGCCGAAATACCACTTCCTGCTTTGCTTCCTTGGTTTCATCATCAGTATTGCGTGGATATCCACAATTGCTGGAGAAGTCGTCGGCGTACTCAAGGCGGTTGGTGTTATTCTGGGCATCTCCGAGGCACTTCTCGGCCTCACCGTCTTTGCGGCTGGTAACAGCGTCGGCGACCTCATCGCGGACATCACCGTCGCCCGTCTCGGGTACCCGGTCATGGCACTGTAAGTGAAGCAACTCTAATTCTGTTTTTCATCACTGACAATTGCATTCAGGTCCGCTTGTTTTGGGGGTCCTATGCTCAACATTCTCCTGGGAATTGGCTGCGGCGGTGCCTGGATGATGACACAAGCTGCCAAACACAGGCTGAAAAAACATCCCGATAAGCCATTCAGGTACAAGCCGTACAAGATTCGCATTGATGGCACTCTGATGATCTCTGCCATCACACTACTTATCACGTTACTTCTCTTGCTCATCGTTGTGCCCATGAACAAGTGGATCTTGTCCCGGAAGATCGGCTATGGGCTGATTGCACTTTGGGCGACGGGAACAGCGATCAATCTCGTTGTTGAGACGACAGGCGTTTGGACGGAGGTGTCTTTGACAGGGTGGTCATGAGCATGGGGGCGTTGAATTGGATGGCTCTTTCTTCCCATGTGTGCATAAAAAATGCATTAACAGCGGTCTTTTGGTTCGGGACATTGATACCTGGTTGCAGGAGCGCATGCTTTCTCCGTCATTATCGCATAGCGTTATTTCCATATTCTTTCGCCGGTGCCCAACGTCGGGTGACTGCTTCTTCTAGCTTGAGTTCAATGTTACTTTGATGACTTAGTTTCATCGCAGTCGATTGCAGTGCATGCTTTGCAGTAATCACCTGTTCCAGCATTGATCTTGTAAAACCAGGCTGGGCCTACCAACAGTCAGCTGCTGGGATCACTGCTGGTCACGGATTATGCGGTATGACCCTCTGGCAGACATGGTGAGTTTCAAGTCGTGAAGAAGTTCTGCGGGTGACGCGCTGATGATCACATGGGTTTCTTGGCCGCATAGCCCCCGTTTGAAGAAGCAGTGCCATTGGCGTGCTCGGAACCACGATGTGAGATTGCGTAGAGGGGTACATGGCAGATATATTCGGATAGCCACGATGGACTAGCTTGCACGATCTGAAATGTTGGGGGAGATTTAGGAAATAGCGACGAAACGCGTTTTGAACTGAAGCGAGGCAGATGCGTGGACCGCGCAGTGGCCGTAAAGAAAAATGAGAAATGACGGTTAGTCTCAGCATCAATGATGTGACATACTGTTCGAGGCTTGATGTGAGGTGCAATTTGGGGGGTTGCAACAAATCGGTATAGCCAGTTCGCCAGCCGGCTCCTGTACTTCGCTCAAGATTGCCCAGGCTCTCGTCTCAAATGGAGGACGTCAGGTCCCCCCCCACCATGTTAGCTACCCCGCGGGCTGAAGAGCCCCTGAAGAGCCTCCCTGTTCCGCTTCTGTGAGGGGCAGTGAGGGGTCCTTTTCGGCGGAGAGGCCAAAAGGGGAGCTCCGCCAGACTCTGGTGCAGTCAATTGACACTTGTAAAGCTGCGAAGTGTCTCTTTGGCATCTTGAGAATACGCGTCATGTTTCAGTTAACATTGTCTTCATCCCGTTTGTGGCTGTGGCGCTGCTATTCAAATGCTCGACGTGTCTACCTAGGGAGGATCAAGATGGTCGCACTAGCCGGGGTTCTAGAGTGCGTTCCAATTGTGACAGCTGGCCAGATTGATGGACGCGGTGACGGTCAATACGAGCTTGAGAAGAAAAGAACACGTACCTCGTGTAAAAGTGTCACCTGCCCGGGTACCAATTGTGATATGATGATTTGATTTCAGATGTGCCTACGGTGCTAGAGAAGGAGATTCGTAGCTTGTATTTCCAAAGGACTGAGCCGAGTATAAGTGGGCGCGGGGTAGCTGCAGCTAGCTCTCCTTACCTTCTCGTCCTTCTTTTTCTCCCTGACCGCCCCTGCATCAAGATCAGCGAACCTACAACTCTCATCGCGGTTCGTCTCACAATTGACTCCCTGATAGACACGGCACCAACACTCGCTCTCTGCCAGATCCGATCCCCCATCACCAGCCATCACAATGGACTCCACGACAGCCACGGCTACGGCCACTGCGGACTTCCCTCCCCTCGAAGATCGACCCATCAAGAACACCATCTGCCTCTTCGACGTCGATGGCACCCTCACGCCATCTCGCCTGGTATGCCCAGGAACCCCCTTCTGCTTGTGGAATATGATCTTGATCGGATTTTGCTAACGACGTCTGTGTGTCTCGCTCGCAGGCAATCACCCCCGAACTGACCGCCCTCCTCTCGAAGCTCCGCACAAAGGTCGCCATCGGCACCGTCGGCGGCTCCGACCTACGCAAGCAGCAGGAACAGGTCGGCGACCCTTCGCGCACTCCCGTCACCTCCATGTTTGACTTCAACTTTGCCGAGAACGGCCTCGTCGCGTACAAGCTCGGCGCCGCCCTGCCCGCCAACAGCTTCCTGCAGTGGATCGGCAACGACCAGTACAAGGAGCTCGTCAACTTCATCCTGCACTACGTCGCCGACCTCGACATCCCCGTGAAGCGCGGCACCTTTGTCGAGTTCCGCAACGGCATGATCAACGTCTCGCCTGTCGGCCGTAACGCCTCGGCCCAGGAGCGCGCCGACTTTGAGGCGTATGACAAGATCCACGGCATTCGCGCCGCCTTCATCGACAAGCTGCGCGAGCGCTTCGCCCACCTCGGCCTCACCTACTCCATCGGCGGCCAGCTGTCGTTCGACATCTTCCCCCAGGGCTGGGACAAGACGTACTGCCTCAAGCACCTCGACGACGAGGCGCGGAAGCCCGGCGGCATCGAGTACACGACCATCCACTTCTTTGGCGACAAGACGGCCAAGGGTGGCAACGACTATGAGATTTTCGAGTCGGAGCGTACCGTTGGCCACACGGTCGTCAATCCCGCCGACACGGCGCGCCAGCTGAAGGAGCTCTTTGATCTGTAGAGACCCGCGGCATGGGGTTATGGCGTATTTAGGTAGAGGGAAATCTGTGTCAGCCATGACACTGTAGATCTGGCTCTTCATTGCTAGGGAGATCTGGACTCGTAATGAATGATGATCAAGCGGACTTTGCCCATGCCTGTGACACGCCGGGCTTTCACACAAAGGTTAAAAAGCCAAAACTGTTCTAACAGAGCATGAGAAAAAATAATAAAAAATCGCCGCCATAGCATCTTCCAACGGGCGTTTCAATTGATGCTGTGCTGCGCATCGACAACCTTGGCCATGTACGCTGGAGGCGGCTTAGATGGCCAAAACGCGGGGCAGAGTGACCCCTCCGCGTGCCCCACCATGTCCATGTTGATCTCGACCTCCAACTGCCAAACCTCCGATCTCGAGTCTCTCCTTGCATGCGCGGCGCGTTTCCTACCGCCCCTTCCTGCCATCACCGCCTCCCTTCTTCCCCAAGACGACGTCGACCGCCGACCGACCATGCCATGATACGACACTGAGTCATTCCCCGCAACTTCACCTCCCAACGACCTCCCCCCGTCATGGATATCGACGACATCCTCCAGCAGGTCGACCCGACGACGGCCTCCATCCCTCCGGAAACCCGTGACCTGCAAGCCCTCACGCGCGCCTGGATCGCCGAACGCTCTGCCCCCGAACTGCTCGAGTGCGTCCTTTTCCTTTGGAGAAAACTTGTACCCTCATATTTCCTACGTCGCGGAAGGCTAACTGGACGCGTCGCAGATGGCCACCCGACAACCTGTTTGAGCGCGTCAACGCTCGCATCGCCCGCCAGATCGAGACCATTGAGGACATGACGGGCGACATGGATCCCAAGACCAACTTTGCTCTCATTGTCATCCAGACGGAGCTCGAGCGCTTCAAGTTTCTCGTGCGAAGCTACATCCGCGCGCGGATCGCCAAGGTACCCCTTCGAAAGAAGATGAAGCAGAACCCCAGTGCCACGCCCTCGTCAGCGCGAGAAGCTAACCAGCACACACCTCCCCACCCCCAGATCGACAAGCACACGCTCTACTACCTCGCGAGCCCGGCGCTGCGCGCGCGCCTCTCGCCGACCGAGCTCGCCTACGCGACCCGCCACCAGGCCCTGCTGCACGACCACTACCTCTCCTCCTTCCTCTCGAGCTTCCCGCCGCAGCTGCAGAACCTCAACGACACGGCCGGCATGACGAGCATGATCGACGGGCCCGACCTCGACGCCGCCGTCTTTGTGCGCCTGCTGCGCGACGCCACGGTCGAGGGCCGCGGCACCGACTCGGACGACGCCATTGATGCCCGCTTTGGCGACGTGCTCATCCTGCGGTGGTCGAGCGCCAGGGGCCTGGTCGACACGGGGGTTGCTGAGCTGGCGTAGGGCGCAGGGCGGCGTCGAGCCGGCGACGGCGTGGCGGGCCTGCCGACGGCCACCTCTGCGTCGTGCACTTGTCCCGCGGGGCCAGCCTGCAGGGGAGTCGAGGCTGCCGTCTTGAGACCGTACCCGAGATTGTGCATTTCGGCATCGTGACATGCAGGAGCAGGGCGACCTCGTCGAGTGACCCCCCCCGGCTTTTTCTTGTCATGTCAGGCGCGCTCCGCGGAGACGAGCGTCGGGGCCGTTCTGACGGATTGCGAGCATCCGAGCCCCTGGGCACATCGCACCGACTACTCTGTTAGTAGCCTCGACAATCTCTCTATCTGTCAGTCCTTCTCCACGACGGGGACGGCATACATCGACACGCGATACGATACGACGTGGAAAACGCGATACATCGTCCCATCGAATATAAATGGTAGAGTTTGGAGGAGCATGCTGCCTCGAGACGAGCGCGACATCGACGCTCGAATAACGAATATATGAACATAGGCATCACCAATGGAGAGTAGAGTGGTTTGCGGAGGCGACTTGGTGCCTAGCACGATCTGGGCCTTCGTTCATCAAAGTAACATCATTGGAAGGGAAAGAATATACGGTCCTGGCATCAAGAATTCCAACCGACTGTAGGCCGTCTGGCGATCTTCACACAAGAGGAGATTGAGTGGATGGTAAACCAGTATATATATATATATATATATATATATATGGCAATTCGATCTATCATCTCGAGAGTATCTCTGACTGTGTCTATGTGTGTGTACCTGTGTGTGTATCTGCGCCTTTGCTTATTTGAAGACCTCCATTGAGGCAGATAATGGTGCCGTCTCCTCAACGCGCTTTGCCGAGGCTTCACGTCCCATGCCCAAACTCCAATAATATTTCAACCGTCAGATTTCCTCACGCCCTCCTCGACAGGTCGACAGCATCCTTCAAACTCTCCTCCAGGCTGCCCAGCTCCGGGCTGACCGCCTTGCGACTCTTCAGCGTCAAGACAGCACCCTCTTGCGCCACGCCGATCAAACCCTCCACGCGTCCGCCCATTGCCAGACCCGCAACCATGACGCCCAAGAATGTATCGCCAACGCCGTTGACAGAGACGATTTCGTCCACTCTCTCCGCGGCAGGGAACATGCGCATGTACACGCCTCCGATGTGCGGGTTCCCATTCTTCGACCGCGAGAGAATGTACTTCTCCTCACGGGGATCGCTCAGACGCGGGTCATCCCGCCCCAGGATCGTCGTCAGCAGACAGCCCTTGGCGCCGAGCTTCGTCACGACAGTCGGGATGTACGGAAGGAGCTGCACGGCTTGCACCGGCACACCCGCATCCGCGAGCTCGACACCGACGAGACGCACAAAGGCATCGCGGGCGCCGAGGAGGCCGAAAGCGTCGACAACCGTCCACCAACCCTGCGTCGCGAGGTGTCCGTTCTCGCGCGCGGCGGTCCACATGGCCTCGAGCTCGTACGTGTTTGGGGACGCAAGGTCGACGGCAGCATGAGGGAAGACGTCAAGCTCCGTGTCTGGAGGGAAGAGACCTGTAGATTTGACGGTGGAGACAGGCTCATAGGCAATCTTGGCACGAGAAGCGCGGCCGGCGGCGAGCCAGGCGTGGATATCACGCGGCGCCCAGTTCGCGTCGACAACGAGCCACGAGGGGGAGGCCGCCTTGACGGCGGCGCGCCATTGGGAGGGGGGAACAGCATTCGCTGAGAGAATATCCATGTCGGCCATGGCGAGAACGAGGTTCTTGGAGGCGTCGTTGACGGCGACGTATTGCGCCGTGCGGTGCGGTGCCGGGAGCTGGCGGATAGCAGAGGTGTCGAGGCCCTCAGCAGCAAGGGCAGTAAGCACTGTATCGCCGGCAGCGTCGGCGCCAACAAGACTACAGAGGCGAACGAGGGAGGATTTTGTGGCACGGTGCGCAGCGAGGGCAACGTTGTGACCGACACCGCCGATGGACTGACTGATGGCAGCCGGGTTGGATGTCTCGAGCTTCGGGGAGGGGTTAGTGGATTTGGTGGTGGGAGCGTAGTCACAGCTGAGGTCGAGGGCGACGGAGCCAGCGACGAGAATGTCTACTTTGGTTGGCACGGTGTCAACAGAGGCTGGAGTAGTTTGTTTGGGTGGTGAAGGTTTGTCTATTCCGGATACGAATTTGCTTGATGTTGGTCTATCTACTGTCAGATTCCGACTTATCATGACTTGCTTCCTGAACGTTGAGCGGACCGGGCACACTTACGCCGCGGTGAGGCTGGGCGTCCCGCTCTGCAGCTTGGAGAGCTCGACGGCGATGGTGGTGGCACGAGCGACGTTGGATCGGACGAGAGCCTTGTTGGCCAGTGTGCTGCGTTCGCCAGTCTGCTTGCGAATGGCGCTCAGGACGTAGGGCGTGTTCCTGGCGCCGGTGAAGCCCTTCTCGTTGGCCTCACGCACGGCCGTCTCGATGACGGCAGCCATCTCGGCGGCAGGGACGGCGGCCTCCTCGGGGATGGGGTTGGCAAAGACCATACCCGACTCGATGCCCATCGCTTCTTGCGCCAGGATCATGGCAGCAGCATCCTTCTCGTTTTCGACGACGAGAGGGCTCGGGGTGCCGCTCGTGCGGGCCCAGAATGCTGGAAAGTCGACAGGACCCTTGCGGCCGTCCGCAAATGTTGCGACGAAAGCACCCTGGGTTTCGAGGAACTCGAGGGTCCGGGGGATGTCGAGGAAGCCCTTGCAGCCAGACGAGACTACGGCAACGCGGGTGCGGCCGAGCTCAGTGAGATCAGCAGAGACGTCCATCGAGTCATGGCCACCACGGTGGACGCCGCCGAGACCACCGGTACCAAAGACGCGGATGCCGGCGAGGCGAGCCAGCAACATGGTGCCGGCAATGGTGGTACCGCCGTGAATCTTCTTGCCAGCAAGACCCTGCAATGTTGTCAGCAGCCGCTCATGGCGCAAAGCAAGGGCTGAGTCTCACAAGTCCAGCGAGGTAGGCAATATCACGGCGGGAGACCTTGCGGGCATTGCCCGAGTCAACCATGCGGGCGACCTCCTCGGGGGTCAAGCCGACGATGGGGACGCCATCGAGGATACCGCAAACAGCGGGAATGCCGCCTCCCTGACGAACAATATCCTCGAGGCCCAAGTCATTCCCGAGGGCACCGTGTGTGTAAATGGTGGACTCGAGGGCGACGACGGGCTTGTTGGTGGCAATGGCCTCGGCAACTTCATCCGAGATGCGGAGGAAGTCCTTCAACCCGGGAGCACCAGCGTAGGGCGCCGTGGAGTAGGAGCGGCTTGCTGGCAGAGAGCGTGCGGTGAGACCATGGCGCGGCACGTTCGACCGGGACGTGGACAGGAGAGAGAGAGCACGATAGGAAGGAGTGCTGAGTCTGTTGCATGATGCTCTGGTTGGTAGGGTCGAGGACAAGCACGCCCTCGTAGCCGAGAGACGCGCGACGTGCATGGTGGGTATGGAAAGACGAGAAGGAAACGGCTTTCAAAAGTCAATGGAACGGACAGATGAGAGAACGAAGGCAACCTGGCCTTTGGTATGGGTTTGCGGAAGGGTGATGGAGGAGGCAATGGGCAAGAGAAAAGAGGGGAGGTTTTGTTGATGAGGAGAGTGTCGGGAGGAAGTAACAGGAGGAAGCTCCGATGAAGATGCTGGCGTATCCAATGACTGGCTCTTGCTTCGGCGAGCTCGCCTGAGTTTAGTGCCAGTGCGCCGCGGTACGTACCGTATGCCTACACCAGGCCCTCGGCCGACTCCGACGATCCACTTCGGGCGCCCTGAACAGTGATCAGTGGAGAGGGTAGAGAGTCCTGGGGGCGTGAGGAGCCCTATCCGCGCAGGCAGGATCCCCCCCCCATTCACCGCCGTCCCAGGAGACACGCGATACCGGCCAGTTGAGCGGCTCAACTCGGCCGACGCCTAGGTGATTTTGGCATGATCGCAATCGACGCCTTGTCAAGGTAGATCCTTGTCGAGGTAGGTAGGTGAACTCACCAGGACTTCATCCCGTAGAGGATACAATCCTCGTCTGGGATGTCAAAGTCATCTCTCCACGACCAGCCGGCACCAGTACCGAAACAAGGCCAGGCTATGGGGAGGTGCATGTCAATCTTGCCTAGCTGGACCCAGTACCCCTTCAACTTCAACCCCGCCGTCGGCTCGGGAAGCGCGCGCCAGTACCGCTCCTTCTGCCGTCTGCAATAGTACCCGACGGTGCTCCCGGCCAGGACGGCTTCGTTCCGTGCCACCTGGTATGCGGAGCTCGGCAGGGCAACGGTGCATTCACGCAAGGTGGTCGCGGGCAGCTGGCGCAGCATGGCCTCGACGGGCGCGAGGACCTTCTCGAGCACGGTCCCCGGTGGTCGTCTGGGATGCCACTTGCCGGTGCCCTCGAATGAGATGTAGAGCGTCTGCAAGCTGCCGAGAACAGACGGCAGGTGGTCCAGCAGAGAGTGGAAGCCTGCGTGGTCTGCATAGAGCTGCAAAGGGTCTGTCTGGAACGACGCCGGTGCGGCGGCCGGCCATACCCAGAATACGGAAAAGGCCCACCGCAGCTCGAGGTGTGGGAGCTTCGCCCACCGATGGGCGAGAAAGAGGTCCTGCGCGTGCCGGAGGATGACCATGTCTTCGACGCGGAGTGTGTTTGTGCCCCACAGGACATCCAGACCCTCTGTGTAGCTGGAGCCCCAGCGCAAGTCATGTCAGGACAAAGACGTGGGCGGGAGCTTGGTAATGTTCTAGGCGGTTGGGATTTTGGACTCACGCTTGACGGCAGGTCAACAGCCAGCCCATGATGCCGATGGAACACTTGGACGGCGCCTCGCCAGGCCACTCGCTGCAGCAGGAACCGAAGTCGGAACAAGCATCGTCACACGGCTCGGCAAAACGTGACCAGGACTGTGTTCCGCACGGCAGATCGGAGTGGCAGACACAACTGTACCACCGCCACTGTTTGGACCTCAGCGTGTGCAATGCAGGCGTAGCCTTGCGCTGTGCCAGCGTCGGTCGTGGCGCGCGGCGATGACGGTGAACGTGGGTGGAAGGAGTCTTCCCTTCAATGCGCGGGCGGTCGTATACAAGGTCTATGTGAATGGTCTGGGCGCCAAATGCGTGCACGAGTATCTCGCGGCGAATGTCAAAGGGGAGATGGCTGAAGAAGGCTGCGGTTGATGAGCTGCTTGAGATGGAAGCTCGTGGTGTGATGGGACGGGTTCGCGGGCTACGAAGCACCGGCAGCTGTGCCTCTGGGCTCGAGGCATTCTGTTTTTGCGATGCGCCGTGAAACTGAAGCTTTTGAGCCACTTTCGACAGCATTGTGTTGCTTGTCCTAATGCCAGACCCGAACGACTTGACGATGGCGCATGGAGTCGTGGGGATATGTTGCGGAGGCAAGCTGGGTTGGATGAGAGGACGCTTGGCATTCCGCTCAGCTATCGACCTCCTTGCCTAGGTACCTACCTAGGTAGGTAGGTAAAGGTGCCTAGGTAGGTGGGTAGGTACTTCCAGTACACCTGTTTGGCAAGCCGAGCGTGGGGGAACGAGCCCCCGAAGGATTGACGCTGCATACCTAGGTTACCAAGGTAGGTACTTGGATAGCGTGTGAACCGCTGGAAGCGACACGCTAAAGTCGCTAATCGAGCGGTTTCTAGGTCCAACGCACCCCAGCATGCAGTGATGACCTGCCCTGGTTGATCAGCAGGAAAAGGAAAACGAAAAGGAACCCTTCCTTGGCTGACAGTACTGGCCATACCACCACCCATGTTCGACGAACTCATGCAGGCTTGCATCTTCTACCAAGAACTGCGAATCTCTTGCATTCGCATGCCTGGTGACGGCACTGAACGCATAGAAACATTGCCATACCCGAAAATGCCGGTCTTCGAACAACATGAACATGGCAAGACGCCTGTCCACGACGCGAAGCCAATTCATTGCTTAGTCACCGACATCAGATGTTTACCTCAAGGGAGGCAGCTCAAGGCCAAATTTTGTCCACTGCCTTAGAAAACTTGAACATCACCTACCCTCAAAGCATGCCACAATCAAGTCCTGTACAGCGTCGCGCCGAGCCGGCCATGGCCGCCAATGACATACCAAGCCCGAGCGAGACGGCGCCGCTCCTCGGTGGCTCGACATCAGCGCCTCTGAAGAGCAAGGGCAGCTTCGCAGCGGAGGGCCGCCTGCTGCTCCGTTATTCCGTTCCTCTTATCGCCACATACCTCCTACAGGTAGGTACCTCACTCGCCTGCCAATCCTTGATCCCCTATCCAGCACCAGACTGACAGACGCAGTACTCTTCAACAGTCATCACAACAGTCGTGGCCGGCCGCTTGGGTGCCGATAGCCTCGCCGCCGCTAGCATTGGCCTCACGACCATGAACATCATCGGTCTGGCATTTTACGAGGGCATGGCAACAGCCCTCGACACCCTCTGCGCCCAGTCATACGGCTCCGGCCGTCTGACAGAAGTCGGCCTGCACATTCAGCGCATGACCCTGCTCATGATTGCCCTGATGATCCCCGTTGGCGCCTTTTGGCTGTGCTCGCCCTCGATCCTGCCGCTCCTCGTTCGTCAGCACGACGTTGCCGTGAAAGCCGGCACCTTCCTGCAGATCAGCCTCATTGGGCTGCCTGGCTACGCCCTGTTTGAAGCTGGAAAACGCTTCTTACAGGCCCAAGGCGATTTTCGATCCGGCATGGTCGTCTTGGTCATTTGCACGCCAGTCAACGTAGTCCTCTGCTGGCTTCTAGCCATCAAGCTCGACATGGGCGTCGAGGGCGCCGCTCTCGGCCAGGCCATCGCCAACGATCTGCGGCCGCTTCTTCTGCTGGCATATACCTTCTTCTTTCACAAGTGGTCACACGTGTGCTGGAATGGCTGGTCAATGGCGTCCCTGCGCGGATGGGGCCCCATGGTGCGCCTCTCTGCCGCCGGCACCGCCGTCAACCTGGCCGAGTGGCTGGCCTTTGAGATTCTCATGATCAGCACCTCCTACATCGACACCAACCATCTCGCGGCACAGACCATCCTCACCACCGTGTCCATCGTCATGTGGCACATTCCCTTCTCCGTCAGCGTCGCCGTCACCACCCGCGTCGGCCACCTCATCGGCGCCGGCCAAGTCGATGTCACGCGCCGGGCCGTCACGCTGTATGCCGTCGTCTTCTTGGCCCTCGGCCTCTTTGACGGCTTGCTGTTGTTCCTGCTGCGCGACCAGATCGGCGCGTGGTTTTCGGAGGACGACGTCGTGCAGCGCATCGCCACGCGGTCAATGCTCTTCGTCGCCGTGTTCCAGGTCATCGACGCGCTGCTGGCCGGCTGCAATGGCGTTCTCAGGGGCCTCGCCCGCCAGCACGTTGCCGCTTGGATCGTCTTGCTGGTCAACTACCTGGGCGCTGTGCCGTTGTCCATGTGGCTGGAGCTCGGCTCGCCCGACCTGAAGCTGGACGGCCTGTGGATCGGGACGGGATGCGGCACGGCTCTGATTGCTCTGCTCGAGTGTCTGTATATGAGGCATATCCGATGGCAGGATTGCGTGGAGGATGTAAAAAAACAGGAAGATCTATAAGGTATAGGGTACCCATCATGAGCAGTAAACGACATCTACAATGTAAGGATAGGCGGTGCACAAGGTGGACATGATGAGTACGGGCGTGGTTTTTAGACTCACGATTGTATATAATGATGTCTCCACATCAATTGGAAAGGTTGAAGTTTCATCCGTATTCCGGACCTTGATATGCATTCTCCAGTAAGCTCGATGAACACCGCTGCGGAGCATGTTGATGGAAGCCCGACACGGGTGCTACTGGTGGCCTTGACCGAGGAGCAGGGATGCCGCTGACAGCTCTTTGTTGCGTGCTTGGTAGTATACATGTAGATAGGGGAGGAAAACTTGACTATAATACTTGCCGATATGGGTTAACTAACTTAATCGCCTTCCGATGTTTCCGAGCTACCGTCCAGGTGACGCTACGACCCTGGTCTGTAGTCTTTCATGCTTCCTTCTGCGACAGGTTGCGCAAGCTGGGAGCAGCAAAAGACCAAAGCTGCAAGATCGACGTTACTCAAGGTTCAGTCACACGCTCAAGGTTCGACTAGCTGCTCTGACACCCTTGCTTCAACGTTCCCATTATCTGCATCGGGGCTGTGGTTTCAAGAGCTGTCTGATGCGAGACCGAAGCCGACGGCCAGGGTTGAGTTTCCCCATGTTTAAAAAGGGCTTTCATGCTGACTGCTTGGAGGACGGCATCCACCACCCCTCCTCGACTCCCCGACAACGTTGTTTGACAGCAACGCCGGGCAACCTCCTACGTACTCCGTCGTTTCGCCAGACCATCACAAGATGAATCCCGCCGCGTGGCTTTGGAGACGCTTCATGGCGCGAACACCGCCGCCCATCGTCGATACCGACACTGTATATCCGCTGCACCGCCAGGACGATCAAGCATATTATCGTCAGCTAAACATCGTATGGTTATTACGGTTCGAAGACGTTCTCGACGTCGATAAGTTACGCCAAGCCTTGGCCAAGCTGTTGGAACGGGACGGGTGGAGGAAGATTGGAGGTCGTCTCCGGATCAACGTACGTTACACATTCTCGTAACCCGAAGCCTCCATTTAGCATGCCTCTCACACCGATGCCCAGTCCCAAGGAAAGATGGAAGTTCATGTACCGGAGAAATTCACCGATGAACGGCCCGCCTTCAGGTGGACACATCAGACGTTTGACATGCCGCTGAACGAGCACCCTGCCGGCGCCCGGCTTCCTAAATCCGGCAACCGCCCGTACGTGCAGCTTGTGGACAATGAGTTCCAGAATATCGAAACCACATCGGACCAGGCCCTCACACCCGAGGCTCTCAGCCATCTGGAAGAGCCCCAGTGCTCGTTCCTTGTCACGTCGTTCACAGACCAGACGATAGTAACACTAACGTGGCCGCATACGCTGACGAGCGTGATGGGGTTAAGTTCTCTCATGGAGGCCTGGTCACTCATGGTTGCCGGACGAGAGGACGAGATCCTTCCCTTCGGCGGTGCCGAAGAAGATTTCATGGACAAGCTGGGCGGCGAGGATCAGGACGAAACAGAGCCCTTTGCGCTCCAAGACAGGCTGCTCCAGGGCTTGTCGTTGGTGAGGTTCGTACTGGGCGTGGTATGGGATATTGTCCGCCGCCCTTTGACCCAAACCAAGCTCGTCTTCCTGCCGGCCTCGTTCGTTTCCGATCTACTACAGCAAGCCAGAGACGATTTGAAGGCGTCAAGCGAAGGAAAGGAGCTCCCATTTGTCAGCGAAGGTGATGTTCTCACAGCCTGGACCCTGAGCGTGCTTCCCGAGGTCTACGGCAACCGCCCGTATACAGTCCTGAACGCAGCCGACCTGCAAGGTCGCGTGCCGGGCCTCTTCAAGCCGGGCCACGCCTACGTACAAAACACCTTGATGCTAACTTGTACGATGTTTTCGGCCGAAGACGCAAAGAGCCTGGACCTAGGTCGCCGAGCGCTCAGAGTACGCCAGTCGATTGTGCAGCAGACGACCCCAGCCCAGTGTGCTGCTTTTGCCCGTCTCAGCAGGAAACACAGCATACCCCTCTTCGGAGAGGCAAGCGGGACTATGGGGACGATGACCAACTGGGGGAAAGCCAAGTTCTTCGACGTGATCGATTTTGCGCCCGCTGTGGTCAAGGCTGGTGTGTCGGGAGGCAGGAGGCAAGCAGAGCCCGGCAAAATCGCGTATCAACATACGCACATGTTGAAGAGTGCTTTCGAAGTGCGAAACTGCTTCATCGTGATGGGAAAAGACCGCCAGGGAAGTTATTGGTTGGGCGGGCTATTCCATCCTGACTTTTGGGCAGTATTAGAGAAGGACCTGCAGAAGTTTGCACCATCCTGAAAGTGTCACATGAGCCGGCGCACTGGTATGATTTCTTCTCTGTTCATGTATACGATACATGAGGCATGGATTAGAGTAATGTACTATCCGGTGGCAAGGCGTGAGAAGCGACGTGGCCACGTGACTCTGGAACATGTATTTATGAAGGCCTTCTCAGGTTTCGCCAGCGTTCCCCCCTTCTGCACAAGACGAGGATCGCAGCGACGCCGGTAGATCCACTGATGATCCCGATCATGGTGAAGAACCATCCATAACCCAGCGATTTGACTAGCGGATTGACACAGGCAACGGCCGCAGCCGACATGCCACACCGAGTGATGTTGCCGGCTGCAGCAGCAGTGCTGGGCTTGTCGGGGAAGATGTCGACGAGTAACGCGTTAAAGGCCTGGTGCGTGATGGTTCCTTGCGCACCGATCAAAAACTGGAAAACCAGAGGCACTGCAGGATGAACACGATACTCGACAGACCAACCGAGTCCGACAAGTGCTGCGACAGAGAAGATGAACAGCGAGATGGACCCTCTTGATCTCGCCTTCTCCAGCGGAAACTGATACACATCATCTCCGACGACTCGGTCTGTCTGGAGCCCTGCCCGACCTGCAACGTGCTTGTAGTTTGCGTCCATCATTCGTCCACCGATGAACCCTCCGATGATCACCCCTGAACCGCCAGCGAGGTAGCTCAACCCAACATACAGCTGGTTCCAGCCGTACAACGAGCCAAAGACGATGGGTATGGACGTTTGGATACAGTACCAGACCGTGTAGACCGAGGCGGCCATCCAGAGGATCAAGCAGGTGTCTTTATAAAACACGATGCGGAGCGCCGCCAAAGGATTTGGCACGGCAAGTTTCCCCTTGCCCGTCTTCCCTTCGTTCACCCCTGTGTGCTGTTCGTGCTCCTCGCCTGTACTGGCGTGAGGATTCAGCTGCCGCCCATCTTTCAATGTCGCAAATCGTAAACAGCCAAATGGGAGATCCCACCACGTCCTCCAGATGCCCTTGGCTTGTACGGCGCCGTTGCCGACAATCGTCCTCGCCGTTTCGGGCAACGTGAAGCCCATCAAAACGAAGGCCACGACCCCAAAGATGGCCAGCGTCCAGAAGCACCAGACTGAGCTCCCGGTCTGCCTCGCAATGAGACCCCCCAAGACGGGCCCGACACAGGGTCCCAGGTTGGTGGTCGCGAGTAGTGGGCCAAGCATGCTTCCGCGCTCCGCTGGCGTGATCATGTCTGCGACGACGCCGTATGCGAGACCAAGAACAGCCGAGCCCCCTAAACTTTGCAGGCCGCGCAGAGAAAGAAGGGCGCCGTAGCTGTTCCGGTTTAGAGCCAGGCCGACGCTTGCGCTGACGTAAATTAGGAAGCTGAATAGAAGAACGGGTCTCCGACCTAAGGAGTCGGCCATCGGAGCGAATATGGCTGGCGCTACTGCCTGAAAGACAATGTACAGAGTAATGGTGAGGTTGATTTCTTGTATGGATGCGCTATATTCGCCCGAAAGCAGTTCAATGACAGGAAGATAGATGGTGGCCGTAAGTGAGGAGGCAAGCGTCACGTAGCCCAGAAGGGCCACAATATACCGACGTTTGTGAACAGAGAAGCGTGTGTATGGGATCGGTGGCGGAACTGCTTTTTCCCGGTCCGTTTTGGAATCTTTTTCTGAATTGTTCATCATTGCCATGATGAAAAGTTCATTCGCATGCTGTTGAAGTTGGGAAGTCCGTAGAAAGGCTGGAGGATGAGCATTGTCTTGGCTCTCAGCCTGCTTATGACGGAGTAATGCCCCGCACACAGTATCCTCATATTTTGACATCCGTGATAGGCTGCCAAAGTACCTAATAATAAGAAACGCCCAGCCAGGCATGCATTATGGAACCGAATACTCCTGATTCGAAGGCATTCATCATAAGATTGAAATGCATCATTGCATATCGGTGTTAAGAAACGAACTAGGTTCTATGTCACAGACAAACCCATGGTCATGACGACCCTGAATTTCACTAATTACATGCTGTGCTTCCGTGATCCATGTTCAGATGGCCCACTCGAATCAGGAACGCTGGTTCTCCTTTGCGGGTTCCGCGTTGATCCTATTGAGGAGAGCTGAGCCCGGCTCACAAGACCTCGAGAGTTGCTCAGCAATCTTGAATCACTACCAGGCCGAACAGGGAAAGGCGAAGGACGTTCGAGCTCCAGCCCACGCTTCACTATCACTAATTCAGAGCCCTTGGGAAATATTATATCTCCGAGACTTGTCACCCACAGCTCAGGCCGGTTGTTGAGGCTGAGCCAGTCAGCCGGGATAAAAAAGTGGTGAGTCGCGGATTCGACGCCCAGAGTCTCTAGTGGGACACTCCAGATCCAACCATCCAAGTGTAGAAAGATCAAGCGCCTCTGGTAGGTGCCGATGATGTGGTCCACCTTGTCGGAAAATGCTGCAAATTCACGTCGCGATGCCAAGGCCGGGCTCGGCCCAGAACCTTCAGCTTTTTCAAGGCGGTTGCCGTCCCAAAGCATGATCTCGACTGCATCTCGTGCAAGCTGTCGTTGAGCCTCGCAATGAGTTGTAAAGTAAGGGCTGCCGGGGAGGCGAGCCACTCGAATCCTATCCGCATGCGTCATGATGTTTTGAAGGACCATGCCACACTCGGTTTCCAGGTCCCTAAGTAAGGGCAGATCCTCCAGAGGGTTTTCGCATGATTTTAGATCATGCCACGAAAAGGAGAACGCTCGTCCAGCAGAAAACAAGACGACATGGTCGTTAGATGTGGGATGATTACTCCAGGTATGGCCTGAGACCGAAGCTGTCTTGAATGCTCGAGAGATCGTACCTTTGTGCAATGCCCTGTCTACTGAGAACAGCACATGATGCTCGCCAGATGAGACAAGAAGGCGTGAAAGGCCTCTGTTTATGAGAATCTGATCAACAGCGCCCTCAAAGTGTTCATCAAAAATGTCCACGATGCGCCACTTTGATCTGTTGAGCATGACGAGCTGGTAGCAAGCAAGTGTGCCAGACTGGTCCAAGCTGACAATGGTATTGCTATCTTCGTCAAATTTGATATGCTTGACAGCAGTCTTATGCGTGAAAAGTGTTTGAAGAGTCTCTCCCTTTGCGCATTCATAGATTTGTACTGAGCCGTCGTCCTTACCACATAGGATATACTGCCCGTGTTCCATCACTGCAATGCATGTGATATAGATCAGATCCATAGCACCAGTGAACTCGACTTCGTGTGTGGCCGTAGATAAAGAGAGCGTGTCGCTGTCGTCATCATCAACTTCCTGTCGGAGGAGTGCGCGTGGCTCCCAGACGCGGCACTGCTTTCCACGGATGTCAAGTAGACGGAGGTCATCTCCCGTGAACGCGAGAGCTCGCACGCCAATGAATTCGGCATTGAAAGTGATGCGATAAAGCCGGTGTATGTTTTCGAGGTTGAAAATCTGAATTGTGCCTTCGGCGTCCCCTGTTGCCAGTGTTCGGCCGTCGTGAGAGCTGGTCATACATAGAGCATTGACTGCTGGGACAGTATTTCTCACAATACCAAGTTTTGTATCATACAAAACCAGTTCACCATCAAAATACCCCGCAACCAAAGCAGTCGATGTTTGCGATGCGCTAAATGCGAGGCAAAGAATCGTGGATTTACGCATTGGCACCGTCGACGACGCATTGAGGCGTGAGCCACATTCGCGGTTGTAGATATCGTGGAGGCGACGTTCTTCGAAATTCCAAACAAGGAGGTCTTGTGAGCGATACACGATGGCCATCAGACACTGTGAGGCACTTGTTGCTGCCATGACGGGCCATCTTCTGTCGTAGGCCTCCCTCGATTCCTCGGCATCCGTCCAACGGGCTCCGTCGACCATCTCGTCGGCCTGGATGTCCCAAAAAACGAACTGATTGTTCGTCATTGCTATGGCAAGGAGCTCGTCTTCTTCAATGAAGGCAAGTGAGAGGCACCGCACTGGAGTTGGGATGCACGTGAGTAGAGTCCATGATGCAACAGACCAGATCTTGACGGACTTCGGCCCTGCCGTTGCCAAATATTTCTCCTTCGAACTCATAGAAATTATCATTGGTGGCTCTTCAATGTTCAGGCGTCGGATCTCTTGGTAGGTAGATTCGTCGTAGATGATGGCTTCTCGGCCCAGCATGGTGCCAGTTACGAGGAAACGTGTTGAGCTCGAAACCGCTGTGATTGTCTCTCCACGCCGTTGGTTGATGACCGAAGCACAATCATCCCAGGCTATATTCGACATTCCCACAATGTGTAGATCTCGTGTTGAGGCAAACTGCTGATGAATTATAGAATCATCAGGACACAAAGGGGGAATCTGGCTTCGGATGGCGCTCGGACGAGCGCGTAGTTGCCGACCAAACTTAGAGACCAGGCGGACAAGGTCAGTTTCCCAGCCCTCCAAAGTCTTTGTATCTTTTGACAGGCCGGTGATCGATGTGAGATCGTTCTGCTTGAGAAGACGAGATATGGTTTTGCCCGCCTGTAACAGTCTTCCCAAGCGAGATTGTGAAGCCAAGTATTCTATCCACGCGAGAACATTGGAGGATGCCAAAAACGCCGCCAAGGGGTGAATAAGTTCGGAGGCATATGGCCCGGATTTCGCAATGTGGTCGAAAACAGCAGTGCTCGCATAATCCATCAGCGCCATGGTTTGCGTTTGGTCAGCGCTGCTTCGGCGAAATTTCATCGGCCTCAAGGCGTTGCCAGATAGATACTTCAGACAAGTTAGAGCCAAAGATTTGTGTGCAGTGTTGCGTTGTGTGACAAAATCGGAGACAATTGTCGGATCCGTCAAGAATTCCTTCACAGTAGCGTGAAGTGGCTGCAGACGCATCTTGCTATCGAAGTAGACAAGATGGCCACAGCGTCTGGAGACAACCCTTTCCATGTGCGGGATCTCGTCGTTGATATCTATCTCTAGTGCTGACTGTAGCTCCTCGATTCTCAATGGTCTAGACGAATAGGCTGCCCATTTGAGGATAGCCTTGGCCAAGGGTTGGCTGTGCTGGTCACTTGCCATGGAGACAAGAATTCGTCGATAGAGAGCATCCATGCCTGGTGGTACAGAATCGATGATCCGTTGGGCGTCGGCTTTTGAGTCTGCTTGTTGAAGCTGGGTGAAGACAAGTTTGACCCATAGAAAGCAACCCGATGACTTGGCTAGAATGGTTCGCCCCGTCTTCTCCCTTGCCTCATGAGAAGTGTCGGGAATGGATTTCAGATTTAGTTGTATGAAGCGAGAAATGCCTTCTTCAATCTCTGCATCTTGGAGGTGCTCTGAGATCACATGGCTTTGTGCCTCGAGAGGATGCGCAACCCCAAAATTGGTCCTGGACGTGATGAAGATTGAGAAGGGCCAAAGCTCCTGAGCCCTAAAAAGAAGGTCGACCAGTTCAGAAGGATTCTTGCACTCGTCAAGACCATCCACAACAAGATGGTAGGTGCGGCGAGGTCTTGTTTTAAATATTCGATCAAGGAAGAGGCGGTGCCAGATGGATCTGTGATCTACAGTTCCGGGCTTTTGGCCTTTCCAAAGGCTTGCAGCATCACAGACGGCCGACATGACATCCTCGTTACTTGTCGCTAGTTGCCACGCCAGGGACAGTAGGAATGCAGAGATCGTACACTGCTGCACGTCGCTATGGACGAAAAAATAGAAGCAACAGTCTTGACCAGTCAAGCTGGTTCTTCGCTCCCTGATCACTAAGCTCGAAAGAATCGTTTTGCCGGCACCCGGCTTACCTTGTACCCAGAGAGTACTCGAGTTTGGGTTGTTTGTCCATTGGGAATAGGTTGGCTTTTCGAGGAACCACGAGAGCGAGCCGTCCAGATACGAGCGGGCTATCTCGGACAATGTTGTTTCTGGGCTACCGGTAACGCCCAGAAATGCCTCGACTATCTGTCTTTGGTCATCGACGCGGCGCTGACGAGCAACATGACGACCCCTTCGTAATGATTCTATTGTTTTTGCCAGAGAGTTCCGGATCTTGATGTAGGAAGAATCAAGTTTGGACGAAAATCGAGCTACGTCACGGTGATTTGCGTCGAGATAATCAGTCGTTTCGTTAGCATAGTTGAGCTGAGCCATTTGCTTTTCTACAACGAGGCTCTTTCCGATTCCGTAACTCATAGGCTTCGTCTCAAAGAATGAGAAGAGTCGAATGCCATCGGCCTGCTCTGGAAACTCGTTATTGATGGCTTGAATAGTAGGTGAATTCCGCGTCAATTCTTTGACAAATGGACGTTCGCCAGCCATAGCGAAGACGCGGGCGAGGACCTCGGCCATGTCGGATCCATGATGAGGAGTTGCAAGAAAATAAACAGAATTTACACGCTGAGAGATAGAGGCGAAATCCTGTTTCTGCTTGGAGAGCAGGAAAGCTTTCTTCACCACCAGGCCTCCCATGCTGTGGCCGACGAAGATGAGGGGTGGTGCCTTATTAGGCATTTGTCAGCTCTCAATTTGAGGGAATTGCAGCGAGGGCACTCACCCATTCTTCTCTCGGTATCTTTGGGCAATCCTTCAGAGAAAGGAGTAAAGATGAAGCGAAATCCTGGATGTTCAGAACGCTCTCCTGAGCCCAGCTCGAGTTGTACCCAAACGTATGGATCCGCGCATCCTGAAAAGCTTCGTCTTGGGGAAGCCATTTAGCTGGCCAGAACTTGTCAGGGTCATCGTCTTGTGTCCAGGTACTGTAGGATCCTCCGTTCAGCCCATGGACGAAGATCAAGTCGGCGATGCCCGGCACACTGGGCTCAAACAATGTTGTGAGGCCAATGGGTCCTTTTCCGCCGCCACCGTCGGATCTTGTTGTAGTGTCGCGCCGGGCTACGCTTCTGAGGGTGAAGGCCCGGCGTGCTTTTTGCGTGGACTCTTCATTTTTGATCCTTTCCATCGTCGTGAGACGTTGCTGGTCGAGGAGACTCTAGCGCGACGCAAGCGAAGAGACTGAAGAAGCATTGGAGGTTGTGCGTCAACAGTTGGCTATGTTTGATGCTGCTCCCGATAGAACGGTTGACAGCGTGTCTGACCATGGAAGATTACCCCCTAGGTACTTACCTTGGGGCTCATCGGTCCAGGTACATTCGGGTGATGGGTATGACACTTCTGCAAGTGGCGTAAAATGACATGGGTTCGACTGGACGTCCAGCTGCGATGGTGGCCTCCAGCTGACAGGCGAGCAGTGCGCGTGTGGCACAGTCATGGCACGATTTAGGCATCGGAGTACGATGAGAATAATCATGTCCGCAAACTCAGCCTTCTTTTTTCCCTTTATTTTTCTCTCTTCCAGGTGATCGTTCAAGTAACTGAAGCGATGTCGCGCGCCCTGATTTCGGAAGAAACGATAGTGGGTATCACACCATGCCCACGATTTGGAACATCAGGCTCGGAGCAGGCTGTGGTATACCACATGCTGCAGTGTCATCATTCAGAAAAGGATTCGTCTCCAATCGTCACCGTCTGCTCGACGCCACACGGTGTAGAGCACATGCTGAAGGGCTCAGCCCAGACCTGTGATATTGTCGGGCGTATGCATGAAGGATCATGCGCATGAGGCAGCCCAAGCACCAGGCTGTGGCACAAATACGACACGTCTCTTTCGCCTCCCCCACCTCTCTCGCCTCCCCCACCTCTCTCGCCCCGATTCTGTGACCGAAGACCGAGAGTGGTTGCAGCGACGCAGCCTGATCGAAGTCCCAATGTGCGACCAGAACGACCTTCATGCCGCCTCGTTATTGCCAAGCTACGCAGTTACGTTCCCCGCACCAAGTGTTATGACAAGCATCTTGATAAATGTGCAATCGCCCCAACACTTGAGCTGCTCTGAAAGGTTCAACGTCAACTACGGAAAGACAATTCACTCACAAGCAGGTGCCGCTACACAACTCTTGGAAGCACAATGACGGACGAGGCCTGGGATGGACTCCCTCATTGGGAGCAGGAGCCAGAAGTTCCAGAAGAATTTGTTACTTACCTGGATGAAAACGTGCAGGCTGGTGAGTTCACCTGCTTGTCGCTACAACGGGGGTCGGCGATGATTGACTTTCAGCTCTAGCGCTTCCCAAAGGTTCGGAATTCCTCGAGATCAGCTCTCATGGGGCAAGCTTTTGGACGAGGACAGCCCGCGTTGTGATGGAGGAGGATGAACAAATGACATCGTATTTCCTCAAGGCAAGTCAAACACCATGCACACGCGGTTTCGGATTGCTGATACGAACCCGCCTCGATAGGTCTCGATCGGCGAAGTAGGAAAAGGCATGGTCAACGGAGAATTCATTTCCATGAGCGCTTTGCACTCGACGCTTCCGGAGCTCGCGCCGAAGCCGATTTCTTGGGGCACGTACAAGTCTAACGACAACATACATTTTTTCTTGTGTGACTTTCACGAGATGGATGACCAGCTGTGCTCTCTCGAGACTTTTCCCAAACTCGTCGCCGAACTTCATACCAAAGGCATTTCCCCCAACGGGAAATTTGGATTTCCCATCACGACATACCAGGGTCGCCTACCACAGGATACGACGTGGTGCGATACCTGGGAGGAGTGCTTCACGAGAAACATTAACATAATGTTCGAACATGAGCTCGCTTCACAGGGCTTAGATAATGAGTTCGCTGCCCTTAGGGAAAAGGTCATGATCCAAGTTGTGCCGCGACTCTTGCGACCCATGGAATTTGGCGAGAGGAAGATCCTCCCTCGCTTGGTCCATGGCGACCTATGGGAAGGCAACACCGGAACAGATCTGGAGACAGGCATGCCGAAAATATTCGACGCATGCTGCCTGTATGCCCATAACGAATGTGAGTAGCAACCCAGTTCCAGTAGTGCCAGATATGGTCTGACGGCAATCCTACAGACGAGATGTCACCGTGGCGACCTGTGAGGCAGAAGATGGGAAAGCCGTACGTCAAGGCCTATCTAAACCATTTCACTGTCTCAGCTCCTGCTGAAGATTTTGATGGGCGCAACATGCTCTATGCCCTGTAAGTAAAGCGACTTTCTGTGCCCACGGCTGTATTGAGTGAATACTGACGACTTGCCTGACAGCCGTTTCAATATCTGTTCTTCCGCCTTGTATCCCGGAAATACCAACTATCGGGAATTGTAAGTCTAAAGTTGCATACTTGATTAGCAGCATGCACAGTAAGCACTGCTAATAAACATACAGAGTTCGAGGCGAGATGAAGGAGTTGGTCGAACGTTTTGGCGAAGGATTTGAGGGCTGGCTGCAGAAGCAAAATGCAACGGCTGCCAATACAAACACGGAGACCACAGGGGGCATACTTGGGACAGGCCAGATTGAAGAACGAGTAGCCGCGCAGCCGGTGTCGTCGATTCCAGCAACTCAAGAAGTCGCAGCAGCAGGTATGCGGGAATGAGATAGGCTACGTTACTTTGATGCTGAGGAGGGCCATTGTTGCTGTCATGTGCCCCCGCATAGTGAATGTTGGGTCTAAATTGATTTTAATACAAGACTGCCTTTGGCTGTGGGAGAGTCATAAGATGTGTGTTGGAGGTCTCTAGGTAGCGGACTGAAACAGCTTTGATACTACCTTTCGTCTTGCCTCGAGGAATGTATAAGAATCGCGAGAAGCCGACTAGCTAGCACTACAAAGTTCTGTGATAACCTGACCGTGGATAACCTAAGCCTTCGGGTTCCCGAGTACCTTTCTACGTTGCTTCATCAGGTGGGAGAATAAGATGTATGACGCTGTCACTCATTAGCCCAGTCGCCTCTATCGATTGCTAAAGACAAGTTCACTCACCCGGTACATAAAGAGTGAGAGCAGCATATGTGATGTATGGCACGATCTGGCTGTGTAACCACCAGAACTCAGTGGCCAAAAGGACGAGTCTGATCTCGCCTAAAATGCCGACGGGATAGAGCACGAAGAACATGCTGTATCGCAACCAAACCAGGGCCCTGGGTAGCATGTCGCTTAGGTGGAACACGAAGTAGGAGTAGCGAATGACTTCAGCGATGCTCCACGCCACGACCATTGCGGTGTAGGCGGGATCCTGTGCAACCTGGGGGAACGGGCGGATGTACGCCCATAGAACGGTGCAACGGCCAGCGACTTGGACAAAAGTCGTCAAGACAGGAGCGCGAACGACGCCTTTACACCCGCGCGATACTGGTCAGCGGCCGCGAACCTGAGGAAATCGATAATCAAGAAACATACCGAGCAGCGAGTGGATGACCTCCATGCCGGCGGCACTCTGTGCCCACAGCGTCCAGCTCGCTACGGCGAGAGGCACTGCGGCTGGGCCATGTCTGCTATAGACGGCGACGGTCCGGAAGAGGATGCTGGCCCAGGTGCTGGCGGAGACGGCGTTGTAGAGGATGAGGTAGCCGTTCTTCAGCGGCGAAGCCTGCGCCTTCCGCGACTCGGATGTCTTGCTTGCCATGGCGTGACGGCTCGAGATGGCTCCGACTGTTGGATGTAATGATCGTGAAGCAAAAACTGGCACGCTGAAATTTCTTCGGTGGTGAGCCTCGGCCTCGGTGTTGGAATGGCTCACGCTGGTGATGATTGGTCCACATGGTCGGCCGGCCGGGGATGATGTCCAGATCCATCGCTCTTTTCGGGCAGTGAAGACCCGCTTTTCTCGGAACTCAGGAACTTTCAGAAACCCAAGCCAGATATTGACTCCTACCACACACGCCGCCTCCATGCTCTCTTGTGCCCACGTAGGGACTTGACCCGGACTCAATGCAAATGTTCAGGTTGTTGGCAGTCGAAGTAAGCAGTCGAAGTAAGGTGTATCCGGGAAGAGACCTCTTCATATCTGGCATGGTTCCGGCGACCTCCCACTGAGATCCGTTCTGTCACCACTTGTCGCCAACAATAAGCCCATAATAACAGTAAAAAAGCCATGTTTCTCAATGCAGTGAATGAAGCTTGAGACTCATGCTGGGAGGAACACACAAATCGGAATGAACTCATAGTTGTCTTATACGGGTTGTGCAAACGAATCCGTGAGGCACATATATCTGGCCAATCTGGCATAAGATGCTATACAAGCCTTTCATATCTGAAAATCTTGATCCATCAAATACTCAGAAAAGGCGCTTCCCCCTGTGTTGAATATGTCCCAAACATCCTGGCTTAGCGGTGGGAATACAATCTGCTGCGCCTCAGCTTGGACCATGCCATGTCCTCGGCCATCACTTGCAGCAAATTGCCGCACAAGACGCCCCATCTCTTCCTCGATGTCCTTTGGATCTTTAGGCCACCGCTCAAGGTCAGCCAAAGCGCCGATGAGCTTGACTCCCCGCGCAGCAATGGAGCTCGCGTGCTGCTCACGCTGCAAAAAGTCTTTTGTGAAAGAAAGCAAGTTCCGAAGCTTGGACACGTCGTACATCAGGGGGTTCTCGTTTTTGTAGATAAGGGCGAAGACCAGATTGACTGAGCAGGATACGACTTGAGTTAGAGTCGTCCACATCCGGCGCGCGATGCGCGTCTCGGTTGTGTCAGGCCACGCTTGAATAGCATTCAGAGCACGCTCAACAACGGCGAGGCAGGACATCTAGAAGCTCAGCATATGTCACATACTTCTGAACTGGCTGGTGGTAGCCTACCTGAGTAAAAGCAAAGCGCCTGTCCCGAAAACTCAGCAGCTGAAAGTGTCGATGTACGCTGAGGATCTTGGGATAACACATAATGTGAGTTTGCATCGCACGCCGAAACGGTTTGAGGACAAGTGCGGGAAAGCTCACCTTGTGCGCAGTGCAAAGTAGCAAAAGACCTGGCATCGGAACTGTAGGAAGGCATTCGTTGGTTCCAGCCTGAACCGCCGAAGCATTCACTTCGCGCATGAAGAGCGGCCAGGTGGCATAGAGATGTTTAATCTCTCTGTCGGCCCAGATAACGTGTTCATACAAGGCTTCGAGCGTTTGCGAACCTTCTCCTTGAGCGTTGCCAGCATTTATTCGGTCCTGGTGCTTCCATATGAGAACTGACACTGCAAGTGGTAGAATAGCGCCTCGTGATCAGCAAGGTTATAATGTTGCTAAAGATTGGGTGTCATGAAATATGACGCACCTTGGTCCATTGTGACTGTCCAGCGCGTCGAAGTAGGCACGTGGTCTGACTGAGTGACGACCATCCCATCCCGTATCATGCGTTCGGGTTCGTCAAAGCAGTTCAGAGGCATGGGCGTGGTGAACTGTGTGGGATGAATCTGGCAAAGGTTCTGAAACGGAATTTGCAACCAGTCGTATCGCACGAGAAACCACCAGATACGTTTCTGGATTTCCCGCTCCACAAGGTCCTGATCACTCCTTTTTCGTCCAGTGCCATTGCTTGTTGCTATGGTTGGGGCTTCTTGTCCGAGTACGTGAAGATTGAGGCACTGAGATATGCGTATGGCTGTAGAGACGAGTATGCAGACCATGTCGGATTTGTCAAAATTATGAGCCACTTGCAACAAGAGACAAATAGCCTGAATAGACGTGATTCTGTGATCGGACATGAAATTGCCTTGGAACAGCAGATCGACACTCTTATCCAGGAGAGTGCGTGTCAGGTTTACTCCGGCTATGGACTGGTCAGACCTTCCGCCGATAAAGAGTTCGAGCGTACAGACCAACCATAGGACTGGAGTTCGTTAGCAAGAAGAGAACTCCCTTCTACATGATACAGTGTGTGCTGCGTACATGATTTCGTTAGCAATGGTTGCAGGCAGTATCGAGAGATGCTGAAGGGAGTAAGCAGAACTTACTGCCAGAATGGCGTAGTACAACGCCGCCCACGACCTGTTGCAGGTGCCAGAGAGAACGCAAGCCTCAAACTCATGCCCAAAGGTCGGCAGGTGGACAACTGTATGCATCCATGCCAAATAGATCTGATGAACCCGGAGAATCTCTCGACACAACCCAACTGGGTAAAATGGGTCGAATGGCATGTCCCCTTGAAGCAGTGTCTCCGTTGTAGATGGGGAGTGATGGTCTGTTTCTAGAATTCTTCTGAGAACATTCTGGCGGCCATGGGCGAGGAATTCGAGCGTCGAGGCCGCTTCGTCCGTCAAAGGATCGCCTGTGAGACGACGGTTGCCAGAGATCTGGGATGCGATATCCGCGGTGGGTTCTGGGGGGGAATGTTCCCTGTCACTGCTCTCAGATGGGCGTCGCAATGCTACTGTTTCGGGAATTCGAGCATCGATCGTTGGCGCCCTGGCAACTACTGACGCTTGACTTGATATAGCAGTGGCAATTTGAACAGTTCCAGAGCGCACATCGTCATGGGTTAACACCGAATGACCAACCTGGGACGCGCTCTCCGCGGCTGCTGTGTTTGCTCTGGCCGTTGCACTTGAATTTGCGCGCAGTGTAGTGGACCGTGGTGCCGAGCGCCGAGCCGTGAGCGCTACAGGTTCTCGGCGGCAGAGGGTCGCCTTGTTCTGGCGAACGCAGCCGTCACATGGGATTGACTTGGAGCAGCGGATCTTTCGTCGCACGCACTCGGTACACGCCAGCACGGTCCGTTGACTGCTGCGTGTCTGCGGCTGATTCGCCATGTTTGTTTCGTTGCGTCGTCGCTATTATGCGTGGCACCACAGATTCACAGGGGGGCACCTATGGATTGCTGTGCTTTCTCGGGTGAGCACAATGATGTGAAAGACAAGTCGGCCGAGTTCTAGGTTGGGCAATCGTCAAGACGTGCCGTAGAATGCGGGCTCGGCCGGGATGAACCTGACACCAAGTGGGTCCGTGTCACGGCCGAGCAGTGTGACGGTGACTCCCAAGGACGAGCAGAGCATGTCGGGGTTCCAAAAGAATACTGCATGTACACATAGTATATATTGTAGGCAATGTACCTTGTTTTTCTTTTCCCGTAAAACATGATCACAAGCTTTCCTGTCTCCAGACTCTCGAGATACGAAGTACGACCTGATCGGATTAACATCCCTTACCAGGCAGGCCTCTCGCGTGCTTCGTCAGCCTTTCTTCTTCATCACCATTTCCAATATCGTCTCTCATCTCTGAAGATATGGAGACCGACCTTTTGTCGTCCGAAATTTTGGCAGAGACCTTCGGGCCAACTATCACCCATGCGCCCGCTGCCGTGGCTGCCACCGATGAGAACCTTGTTCCGCGCAGGACAATATTGTGTGTTTACTGCGGCGCCTCGGACGGCAACAAGCCTGTTCACATGAAAGCAGCCCGTGAGCTTGCGCGCCTCATGGCTGCCAATGACATGCACCTAGGTTGGCATCCCAAGACATATTTGACGCGAAGTTTGATCCTCTCTAACAATTGTCTTTAGTCTATGGTGGTGGAACTGTCGGCCTTATGGGAGAGGTCGCGAAGACTCTTGTATCTCTATCCGGTCCCGGTGCCGTGCACGGCATTATACCAGAGGCCCTGGTCAAGTACGAGCGGAACGACCCGATTCACGATGCCAGCCCTGGTCTGCGGGTCCCCGACGAGAGCGTCTACGGGCGCACTACCATCGTCAAGGATATGCACACCCGTAAGCGTATGATGGCCCGCGAGGTCTTCAATGGCGGGCCTGGCTCGGGGTTTATTGCTCTCGCTGGCGGATACGGTACCATTGAGGAAATACTCGAGACCACCACGTGGGTTCAGCTCGGCATACACTCGCGTGGGGTATGCCTTTTGAATATTGATGGCTTTTACGATGGCATTCTTTCTTGGATCGAACACGCCGCAGCGGAAGGTTTCGTCAAGGGCGACAACGCCAGCATTGTTGCGACTGCCACAACTGCCGCTGAAGCCATTGCCGCGCTCGCGAGCTATCAAGTCCCCAGCACGACTTTCAAGCTCAAGTGGGACATGGCTTGAGCTTTCGAGCTTGGCGCTGTGATGGCTCGGAAGAGGGGGAGGGGAGGGGCAAGACTTGCATTTTGTGTCCACTGCTTGCACTGCTGGTTGCATGTCTGCTTGGACGGCTTCACGTATCGGATGCGTTGAATACCCTGAAAATAGAGATACTGTGCCATCACGAGGCAGTGCGGCAAGACTCTTGACGAGTCAATGTTGAATCGAAAGCCGAGAAGAGGCTTGTCCATGGGTATGGCTTGCAATGGTGGTGGTTCAGGCGGAAGAGTTGGAATGATATATGTAGATATCTACCTACCTAGGAAGGTACGTGACCCAAGATACCTACCTACCTACCTAGGTACGGTAGGTAGGCTTGGTAGGCAAGCTAGATACCCACGCCGGGCAGGTCCACTGGCGGCAGGCAGCTGAAGACCATGTCGTCGCGACAGAGGCCGGCGGAAAGCAGGGCCGACAGGGCGTTTCCAGTGGTAGCGCGATCTGTCAGTGTAGCGAGGTGGGTCGAAGAGAAAGAGCCTGGTCCTGGCTGGTGCTTCTTCCTGCCAATCATCAGACCTCGCCTCGCCAGGACAAGACCCCTCGCCAGGTCAATGTGAAACCTGATTTTGCTTCAACCACCCCCTCTGCCCACGTCAACGTCATCTCAACGCTCCATGGATGCCATTCCGAATTGTCTGGGCAGGTTTCCAGTGCATTACCAGTGCACCGGCCAGTCCAAGGCTCAGGAACGGGACCAACGGCACAGGTCCAAGCCTCCCAGAAGAGGGCCCCCCACCTGCCTCACGCCTCAGAGGCACTACCACGGAACATGCTGGCTGGCGCCCAGGCACCTCGGCGAGCTGCCATCCGTTGACGCCACGAAGCATTATAGCATGTCGCCTATGATCATGCAATGAGGATTCGATCCGAAGGGCGACGGTGATGAGCCTGATAACACCCACGTCGCACATCGAGACCTCTCTCGTGCCGATTCAATTCGCGGCATCCTCATCGTTCCGCTGCACACATCAGATTGAGAGTCATTTCACGCACCACCTTCATCGCCGCGTGTCGACAGTCTTCTTCGCCAGTACTATCCTTCCACCCTAGTGTACGGGCTCATTTCCCGAACCCCTCCATCCGTGCTGCCATATTGAAACTCCACCCTTCCGCTTCCCAGACCCCGGCCTGGCCCATTGCATCGCAGTTGCGAATCTGTCGGATCGCTGTACCGTTCCGTGGGGTCCGTCTCAACTCCTCAAAAGTTGTTCCGCGCCCACCGAACGACTCTTCTGCTCCTCCGTCTATTTCGCTCGCTCCTCGCCGTCCCTTTCCCCATTGGCGCCTGTACCTCTTCGGCATGCTCGCGGTCTTCTCCCTCGTGGCTTTGTTGCCATTGCTGGCGGCCGCTGCTGACGGCGACGACTATGCACAGAACTTCACAATCAATAACGGCCAGATCTACACGCCTGGACTCGCTATTCTGAATGCGCCCCAACCCGGCACCCCTCTGGGAGGAGGTCCGTCAAGTCACTGAAGTCTCGCGACAGCTCACTTGCTAACATGCGCAGAGAACCTCCATGTCTCGCTGGACGTGACTACCAACGGCGAAATCCCGTTGCCGCCCTACGCCGATGACAGCCCTTCAGGCATTTTCAACATCACCATATTCCTGTCGAGCTATGTCACGGGCCGCAACTTCACCATCTCCAACGGCACCGCGACCGAGAACAACCACACCCTCGGCCCCATCATGCTCCAGGAGCCCGGCAGCACCGTCAAGCACGTCAACTGGCTCTTTCCCCGCTGTCTCGTGGGTGACGGCCAGCCCTCGGATGACGATAGCGACCGCGGCCTCTACAACATTTCGATCCGGCAAAACTTTCGTCTCAACGGCGAGGATCACTACACCATTTTTGACGTCCCCGTGCGGTTGACGAACAGAATCGAGGCGAGGGACGACCGGCCCGACTGTGACGCGCTGAACAACCCGCTGCTTTCGCCCGAGGAGCTCGACGTCAACGCGGCCAACGCCGTTGGCATTTTCGCGGCCCCTGGTGGCTCCACGGAGATCGAGGTCAAGCCTGCGAGCGAGGACGGCAACGGCAATGGTAACGGAAATGGCGATTTCGGCGAGCTAAAGCCAGATGCACGCCCCGGCGACGGTCTTGGCGCCGCGGGTGCGCTCAGCTGGAGCAGCGGCGCCAGCTGGCTATCCGTGGCGGCGATCGGATGTGCTCTGGCCATGTGAGGAGTGACAATTTCTTGTGGGTTTTTTTTCTCGGTTGGCACTGCTGAGCAGTTTGCTGCTCTCTTCGTGATACCCGGCGGTGCTGTTCGCTGCTCTTAGTACTTAATCTGATGGTTTGGTTTGATACCAGGCTTTGTCGTTCCGCGATTCGTCTGCATGTGTTCGTTATGTTTCGGGAAGGCTACGAAAGATGGCTCACAGCCGTTACATCGTTCTCAAACCATACTATTTGCTAAGCTTGTGTCTACCGAGGTTCACTTGAAATCATCGTTGCCTCGATCACCTGTCAATTAGTTAGTCTCGTTCTCAAGCAGTTGAAATCTAACGTCACATTACAGATTACCTCTATACTCACCAATTGAATCGTGGTCCATCCCCCCGTCAGTGCAACTTTCGCCAACGTCTTTTTCCCAAGGGGATTAACATGAGAGGCTCGGACCCGATGCCCGCCCCGCAAGCGAGCTGGTTCCCCTAAACGGGTTAAGACGCGCGGGCGACGCTCCCTTCACATGCACGATCGGCCTAGCGCGGCCTCCGCTCCTGGTGTTGGTGCTTCGGCTGGTGCCTCTGGTGGTGTTCGTTGCCCTGCTCGCTAGGAGCACGTCCAGCCTCCCCCGCATTTCCACACAGCACTTGCATGGACCTCGGTGTTTGCGATCTGAAAGAGGGGACGAATAGCTTGCTTGTCTGAGCAATCGTCCGATTTCCAATGTTAGGAGGCAGTGCCACTGGTACATCGGGGGACGAGGGTTGAGCCGCCAGGAGCATGTACCTCTTCGAGCTGCACTAACTGAAGCTGTGGTCCTCTGCCCTGCATGCCGACACCCTTGGCGCGTGCTGGAGATGATGAGCTACAGAGAAGCTGTCTTTATTAGTAGTCTGGTGTCTCCTTCTCGCTGGCGTGGTACCCTCGCTCATCCCCAAATCTCAACATACGAGATCGTGACCCGGGCCTCGTCTACAACGACTGAACACTGCCACGCACCTTATCCCACCACCGCAGACTACTCACCATGCCGATGCACCAGGGTCTCCTCCCTCGCGAGGGCCTCACGGCGGATCCCATCTTCTCCCTCCTCGGCCGCACAGCCCTCAACCCCAGCGTGCTGCTGCCGCTCGTGCTGCTGGCGCGCTACACCAAGAAGGGCGGCGACCTGGCCATCCTCTACCCCACGGCCTTTGCACGCCTCAAACTCCTCCTCTACGCCTCGCTCGCCCGGTGGGCCAACGCCTGGTTGTCGGACCGCGTACTCAACAACTGGACGAGCGATCGATACGACTGGCGGCGCGAGATTGTGCTCGTGACGGGCGGCGCCGGCGGCATCGGCGGGCACATTGTGCGCCTCTTCGCCGAGCGCGGCACGCAGGTCGTCGTGCTCGACATCCAGCCCATGAGCTTCTCGGCGGGGCCCAACGTAACGTACGTCCAGTGCGACCTGACGTCGACGGCGGCGGTCCGGGCGGCGGCCGACGAGGTGCGGAGGCGCGTCGGCGACCCGACGGTGCTCATCAACAACGCGGGCGTGGCGCGCGGCAAGACGGTGCTCGAGGCGTCGGAGCGCGATATTCGCTTCACGTTTGACGTCAACGCGCTGGCGCACTACTGGACGACGCAGGCGTTCCTGCCGGCCATGGTGCGGGCGAACCACGGCACCATCGTGACCGTCGCGTCGTTTGCCGCCTTCCTCGCCGTGCCCAACATGGTCGACTACGGCGCGTCCAAGGCGGCGGCCATGGCGTTCCACGAGGGCCTCACGGCCGAGCTGACGACGCGCTACAAGGCGCCCCGCGTACGCACCGTGCTCGTCAACCAGGGCTACACCAAGACGGCCCTCTTCACGGGCTACAACCAGGACACGCCCTTCCTCATGCCGGCGCTCGAGCCCGAGACGGTCGCCGAGGCCATAGTCCGCCAGGTCCTCACGGGCCGCAGCGGTCAGGTCATCGTGCCCGGCGCCGGCGCCAGCCTCGCCGGTCTCCGCGCCTACCCGCACTGGTGGCAGGTCAGGCTGCGGGCCCAGAGCGAGAAGCTCATGTCGAGCTTCTCGGGGCGGCAGGTCGTCAAGGACCTCGATAAGCACTACGACGGCAGGGACAAGGAGGCAGACGAGAGCACCGTGCTGGTGAAGTAGGAGTCGTGGCACGATGATGGACGCAGGTTTTCTTTTGTGAGACGATGTTCGGATATGATGTTGTACGTAATGCGGAAGGTTTCTTCTGGTTGATCATCCATCTGACCCGACAGTTGGGTTGCATTGTGCGGCTCACCTGCGAGTCAGATGTTTTCTGAGTGGTCGGGAGAATATGTAAACCAATGCAGTTCCAATGCATGTTCTTTGGAATGCTACCAGATTGCCACGGAGCTAAAAATACGACTCGACATCTCGGCAATGCTGTGTAACCATCTTATTGCATTGTGAGGCCATGACTATCCATCTAGCAGGTGAGTAGTTGGACAACTGCCGGAATACTGAAGCCATCACCATCAAGAGAAGGAACCCCCCCTCCCCAGCATCCAAGAGTGGAGAGCTTTCGGAGCCACAGCGCTGGTTCCAGAGCACCCTCCCGCTAAAGTGCCGTAACGGGCCCACTACAGAGTCTCCTTAGGGGGTTTCGACCCCTCAGGAGGGTCCAACCTCCCCCCCCCCCCCTGTACCGTACCTTACCTCGTCACACCTCAGCGCACAAAGACGTCGGCAAGCGCAACCCCGATCTCCAGTGACAGAAAGACCGGGACCCGCCGTGATGGGAAAGTCGTGGGAAGCCACGGGCTATCGTGCAGGGCAAGAAGTACCCCGCGGAGAGGGGCAGACTCCGATGCGACCAATCACGGGGCAATGAAATGTCGCGGCGCGGCGTGGGGAAGCAGGAACGTGGCCAGGGTGGTCCCTTCTGCGAAAATCAGCCCATTCTCACTCCACGAGCCTCGTGAAGTCATGCCATTTTTTGGGCAAAAGACCACCACCGCCTTCCTCGACTGGGCTCGCGAGGCGGCTTGCCCTCTCACTTCTCACACCATCTACCCGCTCCTCAACGTCCGCTCATGTCCGGCTAGTCCGATTGATAGTGATTGATACATACTTTACGCTAGCAGCTCGCCCTGAGCTGTGCTAATTTGTTGCTCTTTCACCCTCCCTTTCTCCTGCTGCACCAGGCGTCGTCAAAGTCAACCTCCAACTCTGGTCGTTCGTCGATCCTCGGATTGCGCGCCCGCCTGGCTCCGAACCCCCGAAAGCAAACGGCCGAGCTCGGTTCGACCGCTCCCAGTGACGCTCCCCAACACGTTGGTCTTTTTGGCTCCAGCTCGAGCGAGCGAGCGAGCCCACCTGTCTGGCATCTTGCGCCGGATCGACGACTTCCTGAAACCGATATCCCAGCCGGCTCGTGCTGCCGCCGAACGATCGCGAACCCTGGCACGAACCCCTCCAGAGAGGACAAGGAACAGCACACCTGAATAATCTTGAGAGAAAAGCTGTCAAAAGACAAGAACAGAAAAAGGAACGGCGCATCACGTCCGCCTCGTCGAGTCGCAACCCACCGCCGCCGCCGTCGCCGCGAATAAAGGCAACAACACTCCCAGCCATGGTCCCGAGCGCCGTACAGTCGGAACCCTCGATGGAGGACCGGCAATCTGGCGTGGACCGCCTTCAGACCAACTTTGAGAGCTCCTCCGATACCCTTACACTTCTGCGCAGCTTGCCCGAGCCGCCAATCGAGTCGCAGGTATGCGTTATTGGTGCTGGCCCCGCAGGCCTCATGCTTGCAGCCAACCTGGGGCGCATGGGCGTCAAGGTCGAAGTTGTTGATGAAAGAGCTGATCAGACGCCTGTGGGCAGGTGAGTCTTTCTGGATGGAACCATCCGCATGCGATGACCACACGTGCTAACTCTGTTCTCCGCGTAGGGCAGACGGACTGCAACCTAAGACGATCGAGACATTTCGACAGATGCGCCTCGCGGACCCCCTGCTGAAGCGCGGCGTTCGAGTTTATGACATCTCTTTCTGGAGGAGTACCGCCGAGGAGCCGCTGCACAGGCTGGGTCGCGAGGTGCACTACCCGCCCGTCATCGATGTCCTGGACCCGTACATTTTGCTGGTGCACCAAGGCATGGTGGAAAGTCTCTTCATTGACGACCTGAAGAAACGCGGCGTCGAGGTGCGGAGGAACACGGCTTTTGAGTCGTTCAGTGTCCCGGAGAACAAGGCCGGCCCCTTGCAAGTGAATTGCAAGGCCAACGTTACCCAGGACCGGAGGACGATATTGACACAGTACCTCGTCGGCTGTAAGTTCTTTTCGCCTCGACGAGACCGCGACACGACAACAGCTGACTGACTTCACAGGCGATGGTGCGCACTCCAAGGTCCGCAAGAGCATCCCCGAGGCGAAGGCCATCGGACTTTCGCAGGCCGCCATCTGGGGTGTGCTCGACGGCGAGCTGATCACCGACTTTCCCGATATCTGGTCCAAGACTCTTGTCTACTCCCAGGAGCATGGATCCATCCTCATCATTCCTCGCGAACGCAACATGACGCGATTCTACATTGAGTTGAAGTCTGCTGGTGCCAAGGTCGATAGACAGCAGCTGGGCCAAGAGTTTGTCATGCGCCGCGCGAAGCAGATCATGGCGCCTTACAACGTCGATTGGAAATACATCGAGTGGTTCGGACGCTACCAGATTGGCCAGCGTGTCGCCAGCCGTTTCTGCGACTCGCACCTGCGCGCTTTCCTCGCCGGCGACGCCTCGCACACTCACTCGCCCAAGGCCGCTCAAGGCATGAACACGTCCATGCACGACTCATGGAACCTTGCCTGGAAGCTCAACCTCGCAGTAAGGGGCCTTGCCAAGCCCTGCCTACTCGAGAGCTATGAAGAGGAGAGGAGGAAGATTGCTCTTGACCTCGTCAACTTTGACTACGAGCACGCCAATCGCATCGCCGGTGGTGACGCTGTTGCTCTGTCCGAGAACTTCAAGACCAACGTGCGTTTCATCTCAGGCGTCGGCGCTGAGTACGCCGAGAGCCCTCTCAACCAGACGGAACCCCAGGGTATGCTCATGGGTGACGCCCGGCCCGGTTGCCTGCTGCCACCGGCCAAGGTGACGCGCTACATTGACTCGAACCCCGTCGACATTCAGCTCGACATTCCCATGATGGGCCAGTTCAGAATCTACCTCCTTATGTGGGACATCCAAGCATCTAACCCGTTCCTGGAGACCTTCTGCCAGGCCATCGCCTCGACAAACTCGTTCATCAGCAAACTGTCCGCCGCCGCCAGCGCCTCGTACGCGGCGCAACCCCGTCTGCCCTCCTCGGAAGACATCTACTCGCGGCCGGAGCGTTACACTGCCGTCAGCCACCTCTTCACCTTTGCCCTCATCAGTAAGCCTTTTTCCCATCTTGCAATTTTCGACTATGCGTACTAATAGCTCAGCTACAATGCCGAAAACCGATGTCGAGATCTCTGATCTGCCGGCCCTCTTGCAGGACAGCCGTTGGACCTTCTACCTTGATGACATCCCAGAGCAGGATACACGCGGCTCACTGTGCACGAACAAGTGGCTTGGCAGTCTCGGCCCCGGCGAGGTCGCCATTGTCAACGTTCGGCCCGATGGCTACGTCGGCTCCGTCGGAAGGTGGGACTCGAGTGTTGACGACTCGGGTGTCGAGGCGGCCAGGTGGCTGGACAGATATTACGACGCATTCTTGCAGCTGCCTAACGGCGGCGGGGCGGCAACAAGGTCGCCTTCTGCATCTGCGGCGGGAACGACGCCCATGGCGACCGAGTAGAGCAGCGTCTCCCTCGGGGAGGCATGATGCCGTGCCTTTGTTGGGCTTGGTGTTGGGGCGCCGATGTGCTTTCTTGGCCGGCCAGCTTTATGTTTGGGGGTTTCTTTCGAAATTTCATGGAGTCAGGTCAGACTTGAAGACTGTTTTGGGTTTGCAGGGGGTAGATATATTCGAACCGATGCCACACGAATTTGGACAACGCTCTATTAGACGAGAAAACGACCAAACGGAACATCCTTTAATCTCTTACTTTATTGCACCAGCCTGAGAAATACTGATGTGGCGTTCCGGCGAGGTTGTGCAGCGAGTATCGGAACAACCTACTGCAAACCGACCTGCGCCGTACATGGTAGGAACGCAGAGTCGTCGTTAGAGCTCTTCGCACTAATGCTGCATGAGGTAGAACCGGCAAAAGAGTTCAGGACAAGCTGGTCCCTACATCTCTACCGCCGACTCGAACTCGCGTGCGTAAAGGAGGAATGGGGGGACATCAGGGTCAAATCACGTCAATCGTTTTGGGACCGTGGGGTGCGTATTCGGCGAAGTGCAACGTAGTGAACCGCTGGACCATGGAGGACCGGGAGGGGCGTCGATTGTCGTTGGGCAGAGCACGCTGATTTGCGGTTATGAAGGGTGGTGGGAGGGTTTGGCTGATTGGTGATGGTGGTGAGGGGGCGTGCGCTGGCTTGGGCACCATGAGGGGTCACGAGGGTGAGATGGAAGAGGCCCAGGCCAGGTCGATCTGCTTTTGGGGCTCACCTCACAGCCCAAACATGGGACGGATTTTGGTTATTCTTGAGCCGTCTTGACTTATGGGTTTGTTGATGCTGAATCAGATTTTGGGCGTGAGTTTGAACATGTGCGCAGCTCCCCATTTTACCTCTGGCATCGAGACGGAAGAGCGATGGATGTGTGGATCGTATCATGACAGATTGAGGTATCTAGGCACTCTCAGAAATAAAGTATAGTCAGGATCCTCCCAGCAGTCTCGCCAATCAGCCATCGCTCATCACCCATGATCTGTCCCTTTGCCATCATCTGCGCCCAAGTCCCGTCCGCGAATCGAACTTCTCTCTGCAGGGCTCCATCGTCGTCGGCCCCTTTCGCGCCTTCGAGAGCGGCACTGGCCGTGCCCTGCTCCGGGTCCCTGTTCACACTGACGACATCCATGGTGAAGCACTGCCGCGCACTGAAGCGCACCCCCGCCGCACGATCCACGACCTGCGAGACGGTCAGGTACGGAAAGTCCTCGTGTCGCCAGCACGGCGCCCAGCCGGGCCACGCATCCTCTTCTTCCATGGCGAACGCGTCCCCTCGACAGGCCGGACTGGCCGTGTTGCCGCTGCACTCGTTCACCCATACAGGCCCGTCGCCCTGCAGCGGGATGCCGGTGGCGCGTACGCTGTGAAAGCGGGGAGGGAGGAGACCGGACTGGGAGCCCGCGGCCCAGCGGTGCTCTTCCGTCAGGAAGAAGAGGTGGCCTGTCGACTGCCCATTGTGGGGATCGCGGGTCTCGCTGTCGAGAGCGAGAGATCGCAATGACGGCGTGTCGGACTGGCGGAGACCCGAGGGCGTGAGATGTTCGTTCGTAATGCTGCGTATCATGTCTGGCTCGACAGGGGCGACGGAGATGCAGGACTCTGCCTTTCGGGGGTTGCCAATGTCCCAGACCGTCAGGCGTTCGAGCGGGCTGTCTTCACCCCAGGGCGAGCGATTGGGTTGCCACACATAGAGGGCGTAATGAGTTGCATTGTGGGCAGAGTAGAAACGGTCGTTGGTGGCCAGTGGGAGGCCTAGGTAGTGGATTTTCCACTCGGCGCGAAGGGCAAAATGCCATCTTTGTGGCTTGAGTCTCTCTCCTTCTACAGCATCACCGGACTTCGACGCACCCAGGTCTGGCAGTGTGTCGTACTCCTCCTTGTCTGTCCACACGTCAAATGCCGAGGCGAAGTGGCGATGGACGCCTTCGCCTTCGTTTAGCTGGTGGAAAGCCTCCTGCTCAGCCCACTCGAAAACAAGCACTCCGTGCTCGAGTCTCACTCGCCGTACTATACGACCTTTCGTGGTGAATGGCACAATTTGCGAGATGCCCAAGGCTAAATCCAAAGCGCAGTACTCCTGGCCGGATACCGGGTACACAAGCAGACCCTCGCCCGAGCCGTAAGCCCAGACGACATCGTCGTAGTACAAGGGCATTGTCAAGTCATCGAAACGTAAAAAAGTGTCCCAAGGCATGACCCCCTCGAAAAAAATCTCAGCTGGCAGCAATGAAACCTCTCGCGCGGAGGAAAACGCGCCTGTGGTCTGATGATGGTGACGGCGGGCAGCGACGGCGAATACGACAGACCAATCTTTCGCCCGCACCACGCCGTCCTCCGCGCTTTCGCGCAGCCTTCGAAGCAACCTGGCCTCTCGCGAACGCGGCAGCATGGAGAGAAGGAGATGCTTGCAGAGATTTGCACGCGTCAGCGCATGATGAATGCTCCGGCTGATGAGGCGGCATCGGACCACTTGGGATGGCGGCAGCAGCTCGAGTGTCAGCAGGAGAAGGTCCTCGGGAAGGCTTGTAAGCAAATCCATGACTATCGCCGGATACAAAGTTGAGAGACTTCATTCAACCTGCGGATGAAAGAGTGACCGACATCGTGTTCACGGTATAGGTTAGGTCCCTAGGTGCTCAAGGTAGTCAGGTCCAAGGCGGGAGGTCTGAAGGAGGCAGCTAAATATCGCTGCCCATGGAATAAAACTCAGCGTGCGACGCATGAAACTTCGCAGTTCCTACCGACGCACATTTAATTGCGTATCCTGATAGCACATCAAGGAAGAATGACGGTACCTTGAGGGGAGTTGAATGTCGTCGGATGAAGTTACGAAGTGGGGTGAGAGGGGTGGGCAACGACCCTGGAGCCTTGTCTAGACAGGACGCTTCTATTGGCCAAATCCACAGATGGCTTTCTTGAAGACCCAATCAACATCCGCAGACTGCCTGCAAGGCTGACCTGGATCAGAGAAAAAAAACTTCTGGAGTACACACTTGGGTGGTGCATTCGGTAGCGCCTCTCAACCATCACCACCGCTAACCACCACCCGACATACTCAGCCATGGCCGACAAGCAGGAGTTTGAGGATTTTTCCGACAATTCCTCCATTGCGGAGGAGCTCGATCTCTCCGACGATGAGTCCGACCAGGAAGTCGACGTCTTCAACCTCACCAAAGCTCCCGTCGCAGAGAAGGACGCCGAAGAGGAGGAGCTCGAGCGCCTGGTCCTGGGAAGCAAAGCGAGCTTCCGCCAAAATCTCTTCAGCAACGATTCCCTGGCCGACTTTGATCTTCTTGAGAAGGACCGCCAACTACAGCTCACCAAGGCTGACGAGCCCAACCTCGAAGGCGTGGACGATGCCGACCTTTTCTTTGTCGACGCCGCACCCAGTGCACCCGGCCAGCACAGCACACAACCGAAGAAGACCGAAAAAGAGGCTGCAGCATCGGCCGCCGCGCCGGCCTGGGAGGATAGTGATGACGAGCGATTGACTGTATCGCTGGCGGGCGTGTCACAGCTGCGCAAACTGCGCATTGCCGAGAGCGAGGATGTGGTCACAGGAGCCGAGTACGCACAGAGGCTTCGACGCCAGTACCTGGCGCTGAATCCTCTACCAAAGTGGGCCAGGGAAGCCGAGGGCAGGCCTGCTAAGAGGAGAAGAAGATCGTCCGCTGCGGCATCAGATTCCTCTAGCAGCTCCGAAGATGACGATGCCGAGGAAAGCGACAGTGAGCTTTCTGCGGCGCCGCTGGAGAAGCTGTTGCGCGACGTCGGCCGTCTCGCGGGCAAGGACGACGGCAAGAAGAGGAGGCTGCGGCCCGAGGTCATCGACATTCAGCGAACCCGCCCCATACCCGACACACACAAAGCCGCCGTCGGCAACCTCTCCTTCCACCCCGAGTATCCCGTGCTGCTCTCGTCGAGCGTCGCGTCGGTACTTTTCCTCCACCACATCAACCCTACGGCACACCCGACACCGAACCCCATGTTGACCTCGGTGCAGGCCAAGCAGATCGATGTCAGGAGAGCCGAGTTCCTCTACCCGGGCGGCAATCAGATTTTCTTCGCCGGCCGCCGAAAGTACTTCCACAGCTGGGACCTGCAGTCAGGCCTGGTGCAAAAGACGTCACAGATTCAAGGCCACAATGCCGAACACAAGTCGATGGAGCGCTTCAAGCTCAGCCCCTGTGGACGGTATATGGGTATTGTGGCATCGTCGAGGAAAGGCGGTGGTATTATCAATATCATCAGCGTTGGCTCAAGGCAATGGATCGCCGCAGCGCGCCTCGACAGCCGTCACGGTATCGCGGACTTTGCATGGTGGAGCACGGGCGATGGCCTCACGATACTTGGACGAGGCGGCCAGGTTGGCGAGTACAGCATGGAAGAGAGAAAGTTCCTCGGCATCTGGCACGACGAGGGCTGCATCGGCGGCATTGTCGTCGCGCTCGGTGGCCACCAGGGTCCTGCCAGCCTTGGCAACGACCGGTGGGTCGCTGTCGGCTCGAATAGCGGTGTCACGAACATCTACGACCGTGCCGAGCTCTTCGCCACAAACAAGGCGGGCATCAACACGATCAAGGCGAACCCGGAACCGACACGTCGCTTCGAGCAGCTCGTTACACCCGTCACAGTCCTCACGTTCTCGCCTGATGGACAGCTGCTGGCCTTTGGCAGTCAGCACAAGAAGGATGCCCTCAAGCTTGCGCACCTGCCTAGCTGCACCGTGTACAGGAATTGGCCGACAGAGAACACCCCTCTCGGACGGGTGACGTGTGTAGCATTTGGAAGGAAGAGCGACCTGCTCGCCGTCGGAAACGACGTCGGTAAGATCAGACTATGGGAGATTATGAGCTAGGTGCGGGGTCCAGATGATGGGGTTGCAGATAGGTACCGGAATGATGCCTCAGCTGAGGGAGAGGGAGAGGATGACCTTGGATAAGATGTATAAAGAGAAACCATTCCCAAATTGTCTGCATGTGGTCACTCATGTACTATGGCTGCTGTGCCTCGCCCGACCTTGATTATCCAGTTCCTTGCCAAACACTACACCACAACCTTCCTGCGCTGATGAATCCTGGGTTTCATCCTACTTGCAAGGCAAATGTTGGCTTCCGTCCTCTCTGCTACCGCAGGCTGTCGCGTTGAGATCCAGACCGTCAAGGGAATCTATGACTTGTGTCAGCGCAATGCTCGATACGTCCTAAACAACGAGCATTTTTTTCTATCCAATGAAGGATGTCTCGTGGCAGCCCCGCAACTCAGCGTGAAGACAAACACCATCCCGGTAGAGCTCGAGTTAATTCGTAACTTGATCTTCATTGTCATCTTGCTTGTTGCCCCCCTCGTCCTCTGAGTTTCCGAGGCTGTTCATGACGGTCCATGAAGAAATCGTACTGAACGGCGGGCTGGGTGAATAAGAGCAGAGTATGCACATGAGGCATCTTTTATCAGTGGTCGGGCCAGGGCCGGGCTGAGCCATCCTTGCCATGACGATTGAAGCTGCGTTCTTGATATGATACATTGTGCGGCATTGGCGTGAAAGAAGCTGGCGATGACGTCCATGCCGTCGGTCGGTTACCTCGCGGACATTACAAGCTCAGGAGGGACATCTGCCACCTGTCTTGCATTGTGCATGGCTTTTAGAGTTTCCAGAGGAGACGTCCATTGACGATCCTTTTCTGCTTATAGTCGTAGCGGGCGACAACATTACGGCATTGCCTACGCTTTGCTCAATGTTTAACTCAGAATCTGTAGAGAATCATTCGGCACTAAGGTCCGGTCATTCTGGGTGCCATCTTGAATCGAGATGAATGAGCATGATACTTGAGATTGACACTACAGCTGGAAGGCTATTTCAGCAGCTTTTTTATTGATGGATCGCCGTGCAGTCACAGAAGACTCATGTGACACTTGAAAGAAAGTATTTTCCCTTGGCAGACGCCTGTAAGCCACACACCTTAGAAAAATGTGATCTACCCCTTGGCTGCACGGGATCTTTGCTAAACGCAAATATCGTGATCAACGTTTGGCCGATTCCAAGCCAAGAGCAGCCACCAGAGTCTCGGAGGTTAGTTTCAGTGACGGAAGACTGTCATAAGAATGAAACTGAATTTGAAGGTTGGGCACCCATGGTTTGAGTCACCGAATCATATTCAAGTAAGAGGTTAGATTGAAAGATGACGCTTAAAACAAACCGTAAGCCGTTCTAACCAGCCCGAGAACCTGCTTTGTACTAGAAAACATGAAATTGCCATTCGTGATTGAAATGTCCCACCACTGGTACCACGACTTAAAATGGAATATAATGGCCATGAAATATTATCTTCATAGCTTCGCTAGCACTGGTGATCGACGAGATTTGACGGCCTAAGTTTTTCAGTTGCAAATACTTCCGCATTATAACAGGTCGCCTAAACTCGACCGAATATTAAACGTCCGGAAATTAATCTGGTAATGAATCCGCAAAACCATCCATGTTCAATTCGCTGAGCATGAGTTGAGACTCACCTGCCGAGCGAGCGCCCTGTAGCTTTACATTTATTAACAATTATACCTCACTCTCCCACTGCTAGCTAACCCAATCGAATATCTTGAGCACGACAGACGCACTAGAGGCTCGCTTTGAAGTTCAAACAGGTCTTGTGGACATTCCATTTTTTACTATGTACACGTTGACTTTGACACCTCTTCAACGAAGGCCGCATGGCCCAATGGCAAGGCGTCTGACTACGAATCAGGAGATTGCAGGTTCGAGCCCTGCTGTGGTCAATTCATTCCACGAATGCATTGAATTTTTGCCCTGCCCACTGTGGATACCTTGATTCCTCGCCCAATGCTGACTGACATGCGCTTGGAGTTCACCCGCGATTTAAGCCTCCTTTTCTTTCGCATACCTAAATGAGAGACACCCCAAAGCCTCATCATGTCCTTATATACTTGTAAATTTTGTATGAAATCATTTGACCAAGGTTAGACAAAACCATCGCTTGATGTTTCTGTAATACACAGGCTCAATTTGAAACTCAAATCATACTAAGCTACTCTATAAAGACGATCTTGTGAATGAGGCTGACAGCGGGAATCAGAAACACGATATGATCGCCATATCCAGTACTGCCGTCGGCGAGCTGCAAGAAACCAGCCTGCACGACCGACAGCGTGCAACGCATGCCGGAGCACTAAGAACAAGTGCGACTTTCACCAGCCGTGCTCTCGATGTGCTGCGAAGCAAGCGGAGTGCATCTACGGCCGAGTCTCCGGCACTGCACAGATCCAGACGAAGAGTTCCGACGCACCCGTCGCAACGGCGTTGACGCCAGGTGAGCAAGATCCAACCACACTCACCGGCGACCACTGGACCTTTGATGGCGACCAAATGGATCTTGGTCTCGTTAGTCAGGAGGACTGCAACTACAGCGACACGCTCTTCCACCCACCAGCGAACTTCCTGTCCACGATCGAGACTCTGTTCGATGCGGCCCCTCCAATCCCCAAACCTCTCGCCCCAAACCTCAGTCTCCAACCCGTGGACCTCATGTGCTCCATCTCGGACACCCATCGACTCCTCTCCCTCGCGAGCCAACCAACCTCTGAGCAAAAGACTATGGGCCAATGCCTCGCCCCAAGCTGTCGCCGTTTCATCACTGCCACGCTCCGAACATTCCCCCGGCTCATGGCCCAGCCGGCCAAGTGGCCGCCCTTTATCCATCCGCTTGTCAGCAGCCTGCATTTCGACGAGCGAGACATCGAACCCCCACCAACCCCGCCCCAGCCGCTGAAGCCGCTGGCTGCTTGTCGCGTCATTTCTCAGGGCTTCGTGGCGCGGTCAGAGGGGTCAATGGACTTTCTCTGGCGGAGCATCGAGGCCGAGGAGCGGTGGATCAAAAGTGATGTCAGTATCAGTCCCAAGCGGGATGGGCGCGGCGTTCAGCTGACAGACGCGCAGATGCACAAGTTTTCGCTCGGGGAATTGCTGGCCGCTATGCAGGCGATGGTGATTTACACAATCATGCGAATGATCGACTTTGGTCCTGACTATTTTACCGAGCACGACGGCATGATTACCACGATGCAAGTCTGTCAAGTCCACAAATACAATTTCCCAACGACGGGCACAAAGCTGATCACCTTTGGTGTAGGATCTTGCTTATGTATATTCGTCCCGCGTCCCTGGACCCTTCAGCCCGCCACACGAGCGCAAGGTTGGGCTTCGATGGAAGGACTGGTTGTGCGAGGAAGTGCGGCGACGGTAGGTTTCCCTTTTCTCGAGGCTTAAGCAGAGTCTAGGGTTCGTGGGTTGACAATGTGAGCAACCAGGATCATCAGTACTTGCTTCTGCGTGGCTCTCGTCGTCGGCACAGGCAGCACCCAAGGCCTCGCGAACCCTGGCCAAGGACCCTTGCCGGGCCCAAGTAGTCTCTGGGAAGCTGATAACGAGTGGGACTGGGCGAGAGAATACATGAGATCCTGGGGCCCCCAAGGGAACGGCAGTGGGAAGTTATTTGACATGTGTAGCCTGGCACTGGCGATGAGACAGCGAGTGGGATCGGAGGGGGCACTGGTGGCTGTGGGAGAAAGCCGGTTAGCGGAGGATGCCCTGGACGAGTGGCAGGCGGGCCTCGATGCGCTGGGCATGATGCTGTCGACGATTATGGTGGACTCTGGTGGTGAATGTCGGGCGAGTATAGGCATGTAGTCATGACCAATGCTCCTGCATCCGTCTGCCGCTCTGCCGCTCGACCTTGTCACTCGTATTCCCTTCATTTTTTGTCCTTCTCACTTTGTACCGCGTTGTCGTCACGGGCTCCTCGGCGGCCGCTTTGGGCCTAGCTCCGGCCAATTCGCCGTGCACATATCATACTTCGCCGCACCAACACCATTTCGCCGCGACTCATTTCATCATCCCCTTGAAGCTCGGATTGGCCTCATGTAGTCAGAGGCCGGTGGCAGAACAAGAGAGAGACACACAAAGCAAGGTAATTCTCAGCTATGCAGATGTACCCGGACGTAAGAGTCATTATGGGGCGCTTAGTGGCTATTGCAGGGTTGCCAGTGATGAAAGGCACTGTACCTTTCGAGAACCTCAAATGGTACGCGGTGTGTGGATCGTATCTGAGGTCAATTTGGGTGCTATCTGTTCTTGACCCGCGCGGGTTCTCGGAACATGGATAGCCATTGTCGGACGAGATTTGAAATCATTGACTGGTGAGTAGGATGCGACTCCGTCGACGATTTCAAAGCCGTGCGCAGGACAAGCTGGCGAAGAGTCCGGGGAGCCATCTCTCACTTGATATAAAGATGACGACCGCCAACCGAGTTGTTGAGCAGAAAGCTGTTAGATCATCACACAGCTTTATAGCACTGTCAGCGATACGTGTTAAACAAACAAACAAACGAACGACATCTTCTACCTTTGAAATGGCAAACCGACCTTCGTCTCACCTTGCGGCACTCCTGCCCGCCGTCAGGAGCAAGCTCACTATCGGCAGCCGGCAGACACCTACGCCTGGCGATGGCGAGGTCCTTGTCCGGGCTCGTGCCATCGCCGTCAACCCGATTGACTGGAAACGCCAGGCCTGGGGTTTCATGACACCCACACTGCCGGTGGTTCTCGGCGCAGGTGAGATAACGAAGACGCGTACACAGTCTGGGCAAAAAGACACTGACACAAATCTCAGATCTTGCGGGTGAAGTCGTCGGTGTTGGTTCCTCTGTCGAGGAATTCCAAATCGGGGACCGCGTCCTGGCCATGGCCCCCGAAATGATCACCGGAAATAGCGACCACGGTGCGTACCAAGAGTATGCCGTCGTCAAAAGCTTCACGACAGCCAAGCTTCCGAAGAGTCTCTCCTTTACGCAGGCGGCCACGCTGCCGTCGGCCGTGAGCACAGCGTTCATGATGCTGGTCGACAACCTCGGCCTACCCCTCGAAGCTCTGGAGACGGGCAGGACCTCTGCGTCTTCGCCGTCGTCCATTTTTGTCTGGGGTGGCTCCTCGGCTGTCGGCACCCTGGCCATCCAGCTCGCACACAAGGCGGGCCTCACCGTCTTCGCAACAGCCAGTGCTCAGCACCATGATCGGCTGCGCGATCTGGGAGCCGACGTCGTGGTCGACTACAGTTCGGGCGACGCAGCGCAGGAGATCCTGAATGCGTCTGAAAAGGTCGGCAAGCCGATCGCATGGGCTGTGGACGTCATCGCTACCGAGTCGACGCTCAAGCAGGTGGTGGAGGTGCTGCAGGGGTCGACCGCGACGGATGCGAAGAAGCTGTCCATCACCGTGCCATGGGCCACGACTCTCGAGAAGCCGGAGGACATTGCGATCCAGCAGGTGAATGGTGGTGAGATCTGGAGTCGCAGGTCAGACCTGGCCGAATGGCTTTGCTCCAAGGCTCTGACAGCCTGGCTCGACTCTGGCGATATCAAGCCGCTACAGGCCAAGATCGTGGGGGGCGGGCTCGAGGGTCTTCAGAGTGCCATGGACGAGGTCCAGAAGGGGGTTAGCGGCGTGAAGTTGGTCGTGGAGGTTTGAGGCGCCATCGTATGCATTTTTTTTTTCACTGCAAGGTGCGTAGAATGCTACGGTCGAGACAGGAAATAGACATGAAATGGAAAGTGATATCGATACTTGCAGGGGTGAGCCACGCCAGCGTGGCTGCGGGCCGTTTTGGTGTGGCGCGGAAAGACATGCCGAAATGAGGTGGACCGTCCTTCTGGGAGAAAAAGCCAGGGAAGCATGGACGTCTCGACACTACCTCACCCCACTGCACCTATTAGAGTCGGCCGAAACATCAAACGTCGATTCCACGGTCCCTGTCCATCCTCCTCCCCCCCCCTGGGGCGGAGTCGAGGGATGGTGTCGCTGGAGGATCCATGCTTCGTCAAGATGATCATTTGGCGAGGAATCCAAGCGAATTGATGTCAGACCCTCCTCGAGCTCTCGCGCTCTCAATTTAATCAAGCTCTCATGCCCTCGAGCCGCCCAAGAAGTCCCGGCGCTAAGGTACCGTGCCCAGTGGTGGGAGAGTCAGGGATCTTGTTTTTGTTTACCTCACGCCTTTTTTTTTTCTTTTCTTTTCCAGCTTTCCAGCGCCAGCTGCCTGGTCGTCATTCGTCTCACACTCACACACGTAGCACCATCACCATGGCGATGCATGACGAGCCTCTGCTTTTCCCTGTCCACCATACCCTTCCTCCCTTAGTAGGTCGCCAGCTCCAACAGGCCCCATCCACTTGGGCACTCCCTGTACCGTAGCAAGCATAAGGTAGTCAGCACATGCCATGCAAAGCAGCCCACGTCGGCGGAGCATAGAGCACAGAGCACAGAGCACAGGTAGGCAAAAAAATAATCATGCGATAGAGGCCCACCTGCCCCCAACCTCGCTCATCGGGATCTCACGTCCACGTCCTTCCTTGTCTCTCTTCTTTCCGACTCTCGGGTCGTCCGTCCAGAACGCGTCTCGTCTTCTCCGTCGTCACGATTTCTCACGTCACGAACACACCACATCGTCCGGACGAACATCTCACATTCTTCCTTCCCGTCTTGACCCCGCCGGCCGCCGATTTCTCACCCCATTCCTGACCCCCATTCTCCTGCAGTCTCTCTTTCGTCGTCGTTTCCCAGGTTTCCCCTCTTCCCGATCCATCTTTCCGCCTATCCACCTCGGCCTTGGAAAGCGACTTTCTGATGGGGCGCCTGCATCAGACATACCTGTTCGGTCACTCCCCCAGCCGCTCTGCCTCCACTACTGGCCTTGTCTTTTGCTTCTTGATGCTGTCCACCGCTCATTGAAAAAGTCACTGCCCTGCCCGACTGAGCTTCGGCATATGACATCCCCGCGAAGCTGAGCTTCACCTTTCCTTCTCTGCGACAACGGCCTTTTTTCTCCCTTTCTCCCAAAGCCCATGGCCATGGATCCTAGGGCAGTTGTCCCGCCATGCAGTGCGTCAACTCCAAATCTCGACGGCCGGAGGCGATTTCCCCTCATCGGCCGGAGGCCATCATCGGTATCGAGCTCTGCTTCACCAACACCGCCCGCAACACCAACAAGGGCGTCACCCGCTCGTGCACCACCTCAATCTCCTGCTCAGCCATCGACACCCCCAGCAGCAGGCTTGACCATTCGGGCTCTCATCAAGTTTGGTCCACCGTTACTGGCCAACTACGACAACGTCTACGAAGCCTGCAGAGACTTTGTCCCTTCTGATAACATCTGCCAGGGCTTGCTTCGCCGCCTCGAGCATGGCTGTCATGATCTGATCACCCGCCGCGACTCGTCTGCCTTGGATTCCAAATCTGGCAGGAAACCTCTTCGCTTCGAAGCACAATTCACCATCACTCGTGCTGGCGTTCACTGGACCACTGTGACGTACAGATCTTACCAAAAGCTGCCCTTGGACAGACAGGCCGCGGTCGATGTCGCACTGGCCACCGACCGCATTATCGGAACGTTTCTTCGCCGCCATGATAGAGGCTTCACCTGGCAGGCACCCGATCGCCACTCTATTGATTCCCGCACTACAAGACCCCAAAGCCGCCATAGTGCTTCACTCTTCTCCCTCACCTCACAGGACCGTCTTGTCGTAACAAAACAAAACATACCATTCTTACCCGGCTACGAAATCGTCCTGAACTTCCGCTCAAGATGCCGCTCACGTCAACCTGTCACCTGGGATCGCCGCTTCACCATCAAGAGCACGCAGACCACGCCACTCACGCCGCGATTGGTCGAAGGCTTGACATGGAAGCTGTCGAAATGCATTCACGACGCGCTGGATGCCAGAAAACGCGAATTTGACGACGCGCGGGCGGCGTGCGATTTCCTGGAAGAGGTGGAAGACTCATTTGAAGATGAAGCCGTCTTCATCGACTTCAAGCTACACAACTGCACCGGGATGAATAACTCGGACGCTGGGCGCTCTGTCACTAGTAGTTTCCCTCTCTTCCAAGACTCGGATGCACACGACGCGCGTGAGTTTGCTGAGCAGCTGGACAAGTCGCTCGCCGACCTAAGGGACGAGACGGACAAGGCTCTGAACTCACTCGACGACCTCAAGATTCTCATTCGAGACATCTCTGGCCGTGACCAGACACTCAAGAATCCCTTTGCTGTGGTTCTTGACTCCTCAGTCTGTTACGCACCACGAACGATCGACGCTGCCTTGGACAGAGTCCAGTCTGGGATCGCCCACGTTCTGTATGGCAAAGATGTGACCCTGGTCATGGCTGCGACCAAACGTGGGCACATGGTGCTTGAAAAGACCATTGTTGGTCGACCAGCTTCTCTCAACTCTCTCAGTTCTCTTCATTCTCTCGCTGAGGAGCCCCAGACGGAACAAGAGATCCTCCTTTCAAGCCTCAAAGACTGCATTCAGCGGGACATCGCCATGGTCATACTTGACACAAGGTCGTTGAGTGACATGCAGGCAAGGCCCCAGAATCTTCGCTTGATTGAGCGCAGCGCACCCCCCTCCACCACTCGACCACCCGCCGTATTCGCCCAAGTTTCCAGCGGCCCGTCCGTCCCTCCATCCAAAGCCGGGGTCGAGACGAATGAGACGCGTCCCGAAACGACTGTCTCAACGGCACCAGCCGCGCTGCCACATCAGCCTGAAACACCAGTCAGGAGCACGGTCAGAAACGATGATCTAGGAATCGAGACCCCATTGATCAGCCGCGAAAGCAGCACTGATCTCTCTGCCATCACTGTCGATAACGAAGTTGGGCATTCGACCCCGCCATCTACACCCAGCCTCAGCGACTGCGCCGTTGACAGCCCTCGCCATAGCTACCCGACCACACCCCCTGCGCTGCAAGCTTTTGTGGGCGCAGCCGATGAAATTCGCGTGCGGCGCGATTCCGATACTTCGGATCAAGAATGCGAAGATGGCATCGCATCACCAGAGGTTCCGAAAGAAACTGCGCCTGTCATGGTCAAAGAACCGCGCCGATTCGGACTGCTTGGCAGGCGACCCGAGTCGACCACATCTGCATCTGATGTAGTTGCGAATTCTGAAGAGACTTTAACGACCAACACGTCGGACGCACATGTCGAGCAGCCGAATCTCACCCCGGCTGTCGATGACCCAATAATGCCGGCTGTTCAGAAAGCTCCGCGTGAATCACCTTTTGAAGGATGGCTTGGTTATTCGTGCGAACCCATTCCTGAGGAGCCACTCAATGAGGAGCTGGATACACTGGTTGGACACGTAAAGTTGGAGGAGTTCCCCGCTGCCCAGCCATCAGCCTCGATTGCTCAGGCCATCACGGCCATGTCGCCCGAGGCAGCTGTGAATGCTGCACCAGCGAACGAGGATGCCAGCGCAGTTCCTCCGCTACAGGATGCAGTCGTTAACCTGGCTCCTCGCGTTGATGTGCCTGTGGTCACCGATCTCGCTGCCGTTTCGAAACCCGAGATTGAGGGCTGGCTTGGATATTGTTGCGACCCGCTCGACGAAGGCCAACTCCGTACTGACGTGACGCAAGCCCCAACCACCATCAGCTATCCTCTCGGTACCCTTGAGAGCGTCGCCATGGAAGATGTAGAGCTACCTATTTCAATTCCGGCTGCAGAATCTACCGAGGGAACGATTCCTGTGGATGACTGCAAAGAGTTGGACCTACTCGATACGCACTGCACAGGAAATGGCGCGGAGGCAGCCGAGGGTGTTGCAGTGAACGAGCCACAAGCATCTTTGGATCACATGAAAGACGAAATGCCCTTGCAGCATGCAACAGTCTTGGAGACCATGGCCCCCAACGCAGCTGTTGGGTCCGTTGAGCCAGCTGAGCTCAATGTCCCTCCTGGCTCCACCCCGGTAGAAGCCATTGAGGATGCTCTTACTCCTGTCAAGACTCTTACCCTCACCACTGAATCCCCCGAGTTCCGCCAGCGCTCGGATGAAGATGTCAATGATGCCCCCAAAACCCCCACCGACACGCAGGCGTACGAGACCGCCGATCCCCACACACCAACGATGACAGACGACTCAAACGCCAGCGACTCCATTGCAAACCAAGACCACTCTCCTAGTCCATTCCCTGAGCTTGAGAGCCCCAAGCTTACAGGGTCCGCTTCATCCACCTCGCTCACACTGTGGTCTCATAACCGATCTCCTTTCTTCTCAGATGACTTCGATTTCCCCCCCAAGGGCATCGAGTCCCCCTCCCAATATGCTCGTCCCTCATTTTCGCGCCCCCAAACCTCCTATGGGTCAGCCCTCTCCCACATCGCCCCGGCCTTACGCCGACCCCAGCTCCAGCCCCATAAGCGCCAGTTCTCCTCTCCGACTGCTGGGTACCTCGGCCTCCTTCACGGGCATGGCTCTCCACTACGGATGACGAGCTACGTCTGTTCTCAGCTTGTGGATGGAACGCAGGATGAGGGGCCGGCAGTGCGTCGCCGGAGCCTACACCGCAGTCCCTCGAGCGTGCTTCTTGGCCTTGGCTACGAACAGAGCATCGAGGCACAATCGCGACCTGGGTCGTCGGCTGGATTCCGGCCGAGGACTGATAGCATGAGTTCTTTCGGTGGCAGGTCCAGGACAGGATCGATCATTGGTGGTGCTGGACTTTGGATGAAGTAGAGACGCATCTCCCAGCCTCTTGCTTGGCATGGTGTAGAACAGGGGGGGCACCCATTTCTTTCACGTTTGCATATTTTGGGTATATCTTACTGGAGGGCCCTGAGCCTGGCGTTTTCGGCATGGTACATGGGGCAAGGGGGAAAGGAATCATCATAGCGCCCCCAGGCATTTGTGAGCGTTTATTGCACAGCATCAAATTGACACAAACTTCTCTGCGTCCAGCTCTCGTCTGACTCGTGTGCTCCCTGTCCACGATATATGCTTCTGACATGCAACGGCCAGACTGGCAAGACGTATCCTAGCCCGCGCGGGACAACAAGTCGATCAGGGCTTTTCGCCGTCGGTCAGCGGGGTCAACGGATCCAGATGCAGCCGTGTGATGAGAAGGTAGAGCCCTCGCATGTATGTGGATGTCCTTGACAAGGCACGCTTCTCAGCTCGGCCTTCGCCGTGTTGATCCTTGCCTTCGTGCGCGCATCCTTGGGATTCACCTAGGACCTTACCCGCGGAGACTCTCGTCGTCTTTGCTTCCCAGAAGAGCAGGTCAGAAGCACAGGCGCGCTGTCTCTGCTGCGGACGAGTGGAGTCCGCCTGAGCATTCGTGATTCCGCAACCTTGGAGGCGGGAGGCCAGGGAGGCAGAAAGGGGGAGGCTGGCTCGCTGGATGAGCGGCCGACGTCCCGCGACCATGGTTCGCGGCCCAGTTCCGGCCGGGTCTGCCTTGCCCGTTGGCGCTTCGTGCTTGGCGAACGGGGGCCCCCCGCTGTGTGCCTTTACTGTTACGGAATTTTGCGCGCGCGAGAGGGAGGGTCGTTTGTGTGAAGGCTGTCGCAAACGCAGGCGATGATGTCCACAGCTGGTGGAACGGCCCGGGGGGTGATCCAACAGTGGTCGTCTCACAATTTGCGTCTGATTGGCTTGGTTCCTTGCGAAATAGAGATGACTTACCCGAAATGTATGGGTTGAAGGGGAGCTAGCAACCAACAGCATATACCTAGATGGTTACATTTCATGCAGATGCGAAGTGGAAGTGGGCCGGCGAGAATGCCCTACAAACCCCCCCCCCCCCCCTTTTCCCTCTCTTCCTCCCACCTGAGCGCCCCCAGCCTTCATGTTGCAGAAAAGGATCATGGTACTGCCCTTCGGACTCCGAGTGCCCCCGTGACGGTCTTGATCGGAGGATCTCCTATATGTAGTGAGAAGCCCGCCTGTTTGAGCGTGCTGGTCGTTTGAACTCTCCAGAAACTGCCAACTAACACACAACCATATTCTGATTTCACGGACTGACACCGTTTCCCCCATGTCCTCTCCCAAGTGGCAAATACTGTTTGCCCTCCAGGAGGCTCATGAGTGCGCTCGAAGCCGGAGCGATGACTGGCGGTTCAACCTCGATTTGATAGCAGATGAGGACTTTTTCCACTGCATGGGTTTGGCCAAGTCGACAAAGTTAAGATGCAGCAGGAAGATGAAAAGCATGCTTCACCTTGATGCCCGGCTACTACGGGGTGAGCTTGGCTCCAAGAACTTTTGACTGGACGTCAGATTTCGTCAAGATTCAAGACTTTCTGACGAAATCCCACTGCGGTTACCACCTAGCTCAAGCAACCCAAAGGTTCGACCTGTGGAAGTTACATCCCGTTCGCGCCGCTTCGTTCCGTGGCGATTCCAGCGCACAACACTGCGAGTCCGCCTCCGGGGTGGAGGATCCCGGGGCGAAGATTTCGTATGCAGGGAGCGATGATGATGCTACCCTCGTGAGAAAGCCCCAAGAGACGGAGCTTGAAGACAGCTCCCCCGGCAGTCCAAGCGTCCGCGCCCAGGCAAGGAGGCGGTCTGCACACCTCGCAGCGAAGCAGCAGAAGAAAGAGCAGCCACCCCCCGCGGCGGCCACCATGAACCACGACTTGGTGGCATCTGACACGAGTGGCATGTCCAAGTCGGCGTTGGAAGGCGACATCGTGCTTGAGACGGAAGACGAGGACGAAGACGACGACGAGTCCTCATTTGTGGACCCAAGGATCCGCGACCTGGACGTTCCTGCCTCTTCTTTCGACGAGATTGGCGAAATCTCCAAGCTCTCGCCTCGCCGCCTCGCCAAAAATCGCGATCGGTCACAAACGCTCCGCGAGCTCTACAAGGCACTCACCAAGAAACAGGCCCAGCTGGGTATTGTCTACGTCCTTGCTCATAGGAACCTATCTGGCCTGTTCAAAGTCGGGTTCTCTGCAACGTCGGCTGCGGCTAGGCTGAAGCAGAGCAAGAACTGCTACAAGAAGGACATGGATATTATTTATGAGTCGGGCCAGCGCTTCTTTGGCGCATTCAAAGCCGAGAAGCTTGCCAAGACGATGCTACGGGACCAAAACGTTCACGTCAGAAAGTGCAGTCAGTGCGCCGCCGGGCATGTCGAGTACTTCCAGGGGACTCGGGAGCAGATTCTTTCTGTCGTCCACGCAATGGAGATGGTCTTGCAGACGGGCGCTTATGTCCTCGACGAAGAGGTGGGTTGGATCCTCAGCGACTTTTGGCACCAGTCCCTCGACACGTTTTCGGATACTGCCTTTCTCCAGAAAATGGTATCCACGGCCCGCTCGCTCCGTGGATCACGCGACCATGCTGCGGCGAGGGAGGTGAATCGCATTTCTGAAGCCTTGGAAGCGACGGTTCAGGCCACATACAAAGCCACGGGAGACTCTGTCCATGTGACCGCGACCAAATTACCCACGAGGGCGATTTCATCACGAACAGTGCATGCCGATTCGCGAAAGATGCTTCATACGCCACAGACACCAAAGGTCTCGAGGATTTGGGGGAGACCGGAGACACCAGAGACGCCTGACACGCCGCAGACACCCAAGACGCCGCACATGCAGCAAACGCCAATGTCGCCCATAACTCCCATGACGCCCATGACGCCCATGACGCCTGTCACGCCGCCATCCTTCAGGTTGCCTCAGGTTCTCCCAAGGAAAAGCGCAGACAAGCGCACAAAAACTGCCGTGGCGGAGGCTGTAAAGAATTTGGTCCTGAGTGCACTCCCAGAGGCTGTCAAGAATGGACACGCTGTTGACAGCGACCCTGGGCAGATGGTCGTCAACGTTGTGTTACAAGCTGAGAAGATGATCTTTGGCGACGTCATCCATAATGCTGTGAAGGATAATAGTGAGCTTAAGGTAGTTTTGAATCGCTGAGATACAAACTAAGGTGCCGCACCCAAGAGGCAACCTGGAGATCCATCGATTTCCTGTTTGAATCGAGCCAGTAGTCTTATTTCATCATCACTACGGCATTTGATTCTCGTCGTATGCTCTGTTGACATTGCGCACGGCTCGATGTGACAAATCACTCTTGTGCCGCGATGGTTCCAAAAGTCGGCATATGGAGAACAAGGTTCAAGCGACGCAGTGGTACCTGGTGACTGGGTAATGGGCATGTTCGCATCGGCCGCCTCCGCCAGCGACGACGGAGATGCAAATATCCACGCTTCTGTGGCGCCAAAGATGCCATACGACATGCACTGATAAGGTCGGCCGCCGAAGTTGCTCCCCGTCTGCGGGCGCAACTCGGCCGAGGCCGGTGGAGGTGCGGAGCAGGAGATAAGATGCCGGCGTCCCCGACCAATCGGCGTCGACCGGCGGTGGTGCAGTATAAGGAACAGCGGCTGCACGCAAGATGACTGTTCCCATCTATAAATCCATCACGTCGCACATGCGTCTTCGAGTAGCTGAACATCTCACACTTTTCTTACCAGAACAACATCAGCCTGCAACAACACCCACATAACACTGTTCACACTGCTATCTCCCTCTCGCATCATGCCTTCTGCCATGCCATCTCCAACCGTCAGTCCTCTCTCCTCCCAAGGTGATGGCTCGTCACTGGGCGCCATCATCGCCGACATGGACATTGAGAACCTCTCCGGTAAGACTTGACTCTATGGGAGCCTTTATTTTGTGACTTGATGTGCTACTTGTATTTGGGAGAATACCCGTGAAATCGGTAACCTCCTTTGGTAAGTCCCCTCAGCTCAGACCATCAGCATGAGCACCTCGCTGACCCTTGCTTTTAGATGCCGATTTCAACGTGATCCAAGATGCCTTCTATCACCACCAAGTGGTTGTCTTTAAAAAGCAAGGCCACCTGTCCCCGAAAGCCCAGTACGAGGTCACCCAGCGCTTCGACCCCGCCGCTGCTGGTGCCTACGGACACGGCAAGACTTTGGACGCCAAGCGCTCCATCCTACACCCCGACCTCAAGACCATCCCCCACCAACCTCAGGTTCAGGTCATCGGCAACGGCTTTGTAGAGAGCTACGAGGGCCTAGAGAACATCACCCTGCGCCATCCCCACCACCGTACCTTTCATGCCACCCGTATCCCTGATGAGGATGACCTTGACTTTACGCGCTACTACCGCTGGCACATTGACGCCGCACTCTACGGCCTCGCACCTCCAGTAGCCACCTCTCTCCTTGCAGTCCGCGTCCCCGGCGGTCGCTCTCAGACCCTCCGCTACGACGACGGCACCGGCGACGAGAAGACCGTCCCCCTCGGCACCACGGCCTTTGTATCCGGCGCCGCCATGTACGAAGCCCTGTCGCCCGAGGACCAGGCCTTCTGCCGCGGCACCAAGGTCGAATACGCACCTCACCCCTACGTCTGGATGAGCGGCGCCCGCTCCCGCCCCGACGGCCTCGGCCTCGTCTCCGAGGGCCGCGAGCTGCCGCTGTCCGACCTCCCGCCCGTCGACGACGACGAGATCCAGATCCTGCCCATGCTCTGGCGTAATCCCGTCACCGGCGCCCTGTCGCTGCAGGTCCACCCCTCCGCTGTGCGCAAGCTGCACCTCGCCGACGGGACCGTGCTCGACGACCTCGCTAAAGTCAGGGAGATTGTGCACAGGCTGCAGCGGCCCGGCGTTGCGCCCGAAAAGGTGTACGCGCATGACTGGGAGGAGGGCGATTTTGTCATCTTCCACAACCGGGGCGTGCTGCATTCTGTGGTGGGTGCCTTTGCCGAGCATGAGGTCCGGCTGTTTCGGCAGTGTAACATTGCGGGAGTGCGCTGCCAGTCGGGCCGGAGGGGGTTTAGTTCAGATCTGCCTGGGCTTGCGAGTTTGTTGTTTGTCGTTTGTTTTCATTTTCTTCTTAGATGTTCATCTTGTTTATAAAGAGATTTATAAAGACATTGCTCTTCAACATTGTGTTCTTGACGTGGGCCCGATGCTGTAGTAAGAGATTGATGACGGACCTAATAGCGTTCTCTAGAAAGTTCTCGTTCGAGGATGTTGTCTCTAGGTGCTGTGACTTTGCACAAAACTTTCGTCCCCGGGAACAATTGAGTCTTTTGTACAGTGCAAGTCAGTTAGCTATTGAGGTAATGAATGCGATAGGCACGTTTTGTCCCGTTCTCAATGCTATGGCTCAGACCTAAAAGAGGGCTTGATTTCTCTTCGATGCTCTGGCTTGAGAGAAGGGTAGCAGTCGCGCAAATTCTTCATCGAGTCAAAAGATTGCACTTACACCTCTAGTCCATGCCTGAACTCGGAAAGATATCTCGACCAGCCGCAGACCAGTCTGTCAGCTTGAACAAGACTCACGAAAAGACAAAGGCTTTTGATCGTGCGAAGCGTTGTGCTTTGTTCCGGATGTTGCAGATGAACACGCAAAGCTGTCCTTGAGCATCTTGGCAAAGATGAACATGGTTTTGTGACAAAAGAAAAGGTCTGTGAACTGGGGACGATACGCTTTCTGCGACTGTCATCATCGACGACAGAGCAGCAGATCTCGATCTCAGAGTCCATAAAATTCTACTCAGAATCATTCATGATACACGGTGTGACCCTTGAAGTTGATCAAAAAATCATTACTGGAATGATGCTGGACTTTATGAATGGTTCTCCAAGTAACATCCTCCGTATCCTATGGCGAGATCTGAAGCCATGCGCTGCAAGAGACTCATACACACTGCTTGTCTAGCACAACTTTCTTGACTGGTTTCATGTTCCCATCCATCGCACCAGTCCGTCTTTGCTTTGATGGCTGGTATCAATAAATTGACTCGAAATCAATTCATTTCATTTTGAAAAATGATTCGAAGTATCAAGCACTTTGATTTGACCCTTGCAGGTTGTCTTCATTTGCATGCGCAATACTTATACATGTGGGTTTCCGGTTCCAGATGTCCACCCTTCGAATCTGCATCAAATGCTACTTACTTCATACCCATCATATCATCATCTAGAGATATCTTTCACGCACTGAAAATATGGCCATCTCATACGTCTGCAACCGTTGTGGCAACGCCATCCACACATACAGGTTCATCAACATCTTTGATGAGAAGGCGACCACCAACCCCGAAGAACCCGTCTACTTTACCGAGCTGTTCGAACGCGGGCGGTGCACGGATCATCTCATCTGCAACAATTGCAGAGAGGCATTTGAGACCCTCTATCGGGAACTTGAACTGGCGATTCCGAACATAGAAACCATCATGGGCCATGATGTGCGGCTGCTGGATCAGCTGCGGAATGGCGTGACGTGGGTCAATCCTCAGTGTTATCAGGAGAACATGAGAGAGCCCGCGTATCTCACCATGCATGGCGAAGACGTGCACGATGAGCCGTATTATCCACCCCTGGAGGAGGCTCTGGAGGCCGAAGACGAGGACGGCGAGGAGCATTATCACGATACACAGGGCGAGAATGAAGGCGAGGATGCCGAGGAAGAAAAGAACCGGTGAGAGCTTATGAAAACTAGGCTCGGGGGTTCAACAAGTGTTGATGCGCTGCTGGATAAGCCGCCATGCTTTAGTAGTCCGGCCTCATAAGCGAATCCGGTGGCAATGATCACGATGTAACCCCCATAAACTATTCCTATGCAAAGTGCATGATGTGATAGACCGTTGAGTGCTATCTGGGCCCTCAGAGCTGCTGGCTCAGTGCAGAGTACTACAAGGCATAATCGCTTTCCGTAGTTTGCAGAATGTACTCTATAATTCGTCTATTTCTATGATTCATGTTCTACGCATGCAGAGGCCCCTTCTCCGCGAGCCCCTTGACGGCGCCGGCATTCGCCTCGTCCGCCCGCTGGATGCACTCCTCCAACACCTTCCAGAACTTGGGCACGTCAATGCCCCTCGGGATGGCAACGCCAGCGCTCCCCGCCTCGAGCTTCTGGCAGATGGTCCTGCCCGTCTGCGTCTTGCCCTCGACAGCATCGGCGTAGCTGCCCTCGGTCTCGACCTTGACGGCGAACCGCTCGCGGTACTTGACGCTGCCGCTGCTGGCGGCGGCGGCGTCAAAGTCGCGGAAGGCGATCTCGTGGGGCGTGCCGATGAGGGCGACGGCGACGGCGAGGGGGTCGTGCAGCGGGGGCCCGTCGGTGATGCCGAAGACGTCGGCGTACGTCTTGGCGAAGAACATGAGGAGCTCGACGAGCATCTGGCGCAGGGTCGTCTTGCCGGCGCCCGTCTTGGGGCCGCCCGCGCCGTAGAGCAGGAGGTCGCGGACCTGCTCGGTGGCGAGGACCTGGTGGGTGAGGTCGAGGGGGATGAACGTCAGCTTTTGGCTGATGACGGGGTCGTCGCAGAGGAAGGCGGCGGCCTCGGGATCGGCGATGATGTTGAACTCGGCCCAGGGGGTGTAGTTGCCGATGCGCTCTTCGTCACCGACCTTGCCGAGGGGAATGTCGGTGAAGCCGTCGCCAAAGGCGCCGCCCATGACGCTGACGGCCTTGACGTGGGCCTTGAGGTTGGGGTGGGCCTGGAAGAGGGCGGCGACGTTGGTGAAGGCACCCGTCGCGATGACGTGGACCGTGTTCGGGGCCTCGGCGAGGATGGCCTCGGCCATGGCATCGACGGCGGGCCGCGTCGTGTTGGGCTTGACGAGGGGCTGAGGCAGGAGTTCGGTGCCGTCGAGGCCGGACTCGCCGTGGATGTCTGTGGGGTGGTGCATCGGCGGCCGCGTCAGGGCGTGGGAGGCGCCGGCGTAGACGGGGATCTCATTGTGCTTGCTAATCGAGGTGAGGATGGAGGCGGCGTTCATGGTGGTTTTGCTGATCAAGTCTGTTAGCTGGTGGGCTCTTGAAGGGCCTCTTATCTCATCGATGAGAGCACCTCGGTGAACAGGTTGCCATACTCGAGCGCGGCATTTCCAAAGACGGTAGAGATACCCATGAGCCTGAAAGCAGGGTGGTAGGCGGCCAGAAGAATGGCGAATGTGTCCTGGGTCACGTCAGGCAATGAACAGAGAACCAGACGGCGACGTAGCCCCTGAACGAGCCTCACTTACATCGTGGCCTGGATCGCAATCCAGCCAGAGGGGGATCTTCGGTGAGAGGGGGATCGACATGTTGATAAAAGGCTGATAAGAGTAGGGGAGGTTGAGGTATCACAGGACGGTGCTAATGTGTGGACAGGATGTTTCCGGTAGATGTATCAGCTGGCTGAAATGACAGCGATGAGGATGAAAATATAGATGCAGGGTCAGCGTTGGTGTGATGGTGAGGATGGTGAGGATGCGGGGGAAGAGTTGGAGTCGCTCGGTGACCTTTCTTTCGGTGGACACCAGGGCAGCTAAATGAAGGGGGTGGACCTCGAACGCGGGGAATCAATGGGGAGAGCCTCGTTCCTGGGATCAAGCCCTCAACCTCCACTCTACATGACAATTGGAAATGGAACAGTCGCCAGTGATTTGTTGTCGTAGCGAATGAGCCTCTTGAGCCTCTTGAGCCGAGCCGGCAACTGCGGTGTCCCGCGACGACGTCGAGGGGGGTCCAAGCCGGCCAAGGACGACGGCGCGGTCGGAGGTCGCCGCATTGCTGGTGCGTGAACCATGGACACACAGACGATAGCCTACGGAGCCCGTTCCTGAGCGATACCCAGAAAGGCAGGCCGAGGCTATGTTTCTTGTTCGTCGCCAGATGACTCAGCCACGACGCCTTTCATGGTGGATCACGATGCCGATGAACGACGAGATCGTGGCTTTTACTTGACTTGGAGTCGTGGATTTTTTTTTATTTTTTTTTTTGATTGTGCGGCACCGTCTTCTTCAGGCACCAGATTCCGATGTCATTATTTTAGACAATATCGCTCTTCAATTGTCCCAGAAATCTCAAGCCCCCGCCGCCTTGCGTTGCTCCATCACCCGCAGCACGTCTGCTGCATTATTGGCGTCGCCCTTTCGCTTCTTCGGGCCCCTCTTGCGCTTTCCTTTGCCGCCCTTGTCCTCACCTTCATCGTCATCATGGCCCCATTCGGAGAGCTTGACCTTGGTGTCGTCAAAGTCCTCTTCATCCTCGAACCTGCTGGTGCCGAAGCCCATGTCAATGTCAGCATCGTCGCGGTTCGACGACTCGAGCATCTTCTTGTGTTTCTCGGCCCGCCGACGTGCCTCCTCGTCTGCCATGTCGTCGTCTTCGTCGTCTCCCTTTCGGTCCTTGGCGGCAGCGCCCAGTTGCGCCGCTCTTTTGAAGGCCGCTTGGATGTCCGGGTCCGACATGGACGGTGCCTTGCGCGTCTGCGCTGAGAGCAGCTCCGTCTTGGAGCCTTTGAAGTAGTCTTTCGCCTCAGCCTGTTTCGGTCTCGGTGGTGGTGGCATGGCCTGTTTGGCGGCTGCTTTTTCATCCGCTGCTTGCGCCTCTTCCTCGCTTGCCGTCTTGTCTTTGTGTTCGTGATCCTCATCCTCATCCGAGTCAGAATCCATCCCCGCCAACGGGTCGTAATCATCCCCAGCGTCGGCAAAAATATCGTCGTCCTCCTCTTCCGCCGGTTCTGCTTGCTTCTGGTATATCTCTGGTACCTCCATCCCCAGAGGCTTGGCGTCCTTGTCGGGCCTCATGAGCTCGCGTTGCCGTTCGTCTTCCTCGAAATCGCGCTGCACCTTGCGCACCTTCCGCTTCTCGTGGCCGTCCTCGTCGACAATGATCATGACCTCGCGGCCCTTGTTGTCCCTCTCGATCCGCGTGCCGGCCTTTTGCCTGGCGCCAATCTTCTTGAACCTGTCGCCGAGGCTCGCCTCCTTGGCCGCCTGCGCCGCCGCAAGTCGCGCCGCCTTCATCTCGGCCACAATCTGATCGCGCGTGCGCTTCTTGCCGGGAATGAGCGCCACCTGGCCCTTCTTCTTCTCCGCCTTGTCCGCGTTGGGAACGGCCTGCACCTCCTTGACCTCGATGCGATCGAACTCATCCTCCGTGTCCTCCGTGGGCAGCGCATCCTCCTCCGCCGGCGGAGCCTCCCGGTCGTCGCCGTAGACATCCTCGCCCTGCCGGATCCTCGCCAGCAGCTTGCGGTCCAGCCCCTTCACCAGGTGCGTGCTCGACAGGTCGCCGCCGGCAATCTGATCCCGTTGCTTCTCGAACGTCTCCTGGTCAATCTCCTCCTTTTTGAGCAGCTCCTCGAGCGCCTTGATCCGCGCCGCGCGCTCGTCCTCTTCCTCAGCCTCTCTCTCCTTCGACCGGTCGACGTAGCCCTCGGCCAGGCGGGAGCCCTTGGGCGCCGACGTTCGGAACTTCTTCTGCGCCTGGTCGGGATTGTTGCGCGCGGCGAGCTGGCGGGCGAACTCGTTGCGACTGCTGTAGCCGCCGCCTACGGAGCGTCTGCACAGAGACATGGTTAGCATTGGAGGTAAAACAACGGTAAGAAGCAGCGCCGGGGAACGGGTGACGTACGGCGTCATGGGGATGCTGGAGCGCTGCCGCGATCCGAGGGCGCTTGGTGTTGCGCCGGCGGGGCTTGCCGTGCTCGCGGACGAGCCATTGCTGGGACTGCCGGACTGGGAGGAGCTGGCGCCCACGAGCCTTCGAAATTGGTCGTTGTTCATGGTTGCATTTTGTGACTGGGCTGGTAGAGAGTAGACTGCGTCTTTCCACTCGAGCGATGGGCAAGAAGGAAACGACCTTCGGAATGGCTACTGCGGACTAGACACGCCAGTGTGCGGGTTTCGTCTGGTCCGTCTATTACGTTCAGTTCGTCACGTGAGAACGTGTAGTCATGGCGTCTGGCTCCACTCTACGCGTGCCTGCCTTCACTCGGTCGCTCACCCCACCACACTTCCCAAGACGGCGCTGATGAGACCTCCCATAGATTGTGAAGCCATCGTTTCTAGGCAGCAGCTTCACATTACATTCATCGCGCTTTTTGGGGTACACATCAAGATGCGAAAACCTGGTTGCACATGACTACGGCGGAGCTCAGATTTTGACTACTGAGCGCGTCGCGATACCCTTTGGCTTGCTCCTCCCAGCTGCGGGCATACCAGGCCCGGCTGGGCCGCCAGCATCAACATGGGTTCACGCCTCGAGAAGAACTCCTCGCAAGTGAGAAAACGAATCGAGGGACACAGCTTCGAAGACGAGGAGGGCGAAGAATATGAGCCCAGCAAATTCGGGGGCTTCCGCGACTACTTCCGCAGAAAGAAGATCAAGCTTCAGAACCTCGATGCGAACCTGCGCGCGGCCTCATCGGATAAGCCGCAGCTCTTCAAGGGGATCGTCGCCCACGTGTCAGGTTACACGCAGCCCTCCTTGAGCGTGTGAGTGATTCCCTCCGACCAACAGCACGAGGCCGGGGACTGACCGTTGGCAAGACTTCACCGTGAGCTCGTTCAGCATGGCGCCGGCTTCCTCCAGTACCTCGACGGGAAGACCATGGCGACGCACATTGTCGCCTCTACGCTTCCGCCTAAAAAGGCCGTCGAGTTCAGCCGCTACAGGATTGTGAAGCCGGCGTGGGTCATGGACTCGATCAAAGCCGGCAAGCTCCTTCCCTGGACCGACTATCGGGTGTTGGATGATGGACCAAAGCAGAAGATTATGAATTTTAGCGGCGGCAGCTTCCTCAGCCAGGCGACGCCTAGGAATCAGACTGGGTACAAGGAGCAGTCTCGCGACAGCTTTTACGCGAATGAATTTGCCAACTCTGCGAGCAAGACGCAGACGCCTCTGAAGACACAGCACGCCGGCGTGCATCAAGAGACGCCCTCCAGAGCGCCGCTGCAGAGGCCACAAAGCTCGGCCGCACCGAGCCATCCCAGCTCGTCCGGCCAGTACAGCGATGGATTTGATGACTCGATCTTCGATCAGATGGAAATCGAAATGCCAGATTCTCTGGCCAACACGCAGAAGACCACACCGACAGTGAAACCGCTCGCCATACAATCGCCGGCACCACTTGCTGTGATTCGAGAAGAGGCAGCGAGGCCCATGCCTATGGAATTCGAACTAGATCCACCTGAGAAGAAGACGCTGTCCAGCGACCCGGACTACAGAGCAGACGAGCTGGTGGTGCCTCAGGTGTCTGATGGAAATATGCCCGAGAACATGACTTCTGAAGAACACAATGCCTGGCTCCTCTCCGATCCGCGCATGCGAAAATCCTCCACGGCAAATCCGAATTTCTTGCAACAGTACTATTCTGAAAGTCGACTTCATCACCTGTCGACATGGAAAGCGGAGCTCAAATCGAAGATGCAACGTTTGGCCAAGGAGGCCAAGTCGGGCATCAAGGTCGCCAAGCGCAAGCCGGGAACTCGACGGTACATACTTCACGTCGACTTTGACAGTTTTTTCTGTGCTGTGTCGCTAAAGAAGCACCCCGAGCTCGTCGACAAACCCGTGGTCATCGCGCACAGCCCGGGCCACGGCTCTGAGATTGCCAGCTGCAACTACCCGTCGCGAAAGTTTGGCGTCAAGAATGGCATGTGGATGAAAAAGGCCGTGGAGCTGTGTCCTGAGCTCAAGGTCCTGCCGTATGACTTCCCTGCTTACGAAGAAGCGAGCGCTCTGTTCTACGAAGCCATCTTGACGGTTGGGGGCATCGTGCAGAGCGTCAGTGTGGATGAGGCACTGTTAGATGTCAGTGCCGTAGTGTGTGATGGCGTTGGCTCTGATGGCGGGGCTGTCGACGAGGGCAGCATCTGGCGGGAGCAAGAATTTGCGGAGGCTCTCGCTCTCGACCTGCGCAAGAAGATCAAGGCGAAAACGGATTGCGACGTCTCGGTCGGTATCGGTGGAAATATCCTGCAGGCAAAGGTGGCATTGCGACGTGCAAAGCCCGCGGGCCAGTATCACCTCAAGCCCGACGACGTCCTCGACATGATTGGAGAGCTGGAGGTCAGGGGCCTTCCAGGCGTCGCTCACAGCATGAGCGGCAAGCTTGAGGAGGTCGGCATCAAGTTCGTCAAGGACATTCGGTCGTTTTCCAAGGAGAGGCTATCAGGCATTCTGGGACCCAAGACTGGCGAGAAGCTGTGGGAGTACGCCCGGGGCATCGATCGCACAGAAGTCGGCGAGCAGGCGGCCCGCAAGTCCGTCTCGGCAGAGGTCAACTGGGGCATCCGCTTCATCAACCAGGCAGAGGCCGAGGAGTTCATCGTGAATCTATGCAAGGAGTTGGAGCGTCGCTTGCTCAACGAGCAGGTGAAAGGGAAACAGTTGACGCTCAAGGTCATGCGCAGATCGCTCGATGCGCCTCTGGACCCTGTCAAGCATCTCGGACACGGCAAGTGTGACACGTTCAACAAGAGTATTGTTTTCGGGGTGGCGACGCACAACGGCGAGACCATTGGCAAAGAGGCCGTGTCAATACTGCGCTCTCTCAAGCTGAGGCCTGGCGACCTGCGAGGACTTGGTGCGCAGATGACCAAGTTGGAACCGATCAAGACTGGGCTAACGGCTGTGGATGGAAGCCAGAAGCGGCTGGCCTTCCCAACCTTCAGTGCTCCCACGTCGGCCAAAAAGTCGAAGACGGACCCTATTGAAGAGACGGAAAGCCCACAGAAGAAAAAGCTGTCCGTTGGCGGCAAAGGATTCGACGAGGATCCCATCGCCGACGATCCCCTGACGCCGAAAAAGCCGAAACCTGTGCATCCAGCGCTGGCCATCGCGCGTGCCGGCGCGGTCGATGCCAAAGCTACGACACCCCTGAATATTGCCGGCACGCAGTTCATCATGCCAACGCAAGTCGATCCCTTGGTCCTCGCCGAACTGCCCCAGGACATCAGATCCAAACTTCAGTCGAGGCAGCAACCTCTATCCTTTGCCAGAGCAGGTTCTCCGGCAACGAGGCCTCGTAGCGAAAGTCCCGCCGTCTTCGATGCGCCACCGCCCTCTCAAGTCGACCCTGAAGTCTTCCACGCGCTGCCCGACGACATGAAAGCCGAAGTTCTCGCGTCGTACGGCCGCAGACCTACGCCGGTGCCAATGCCGCAGTCGCCCCGCCGCGACAGAATCATTCAGGCCAAAAAGGCCACGACACCCACGAGGCGGGGTCGCGGGGGCGCCCGCAAAACGCGAGAGCGCCTCCACGACGCCGCCGCCAACCGCATGCAGACGAATTTCATGCCGCCCCAGGCAGATGCCGCCGCCGCACAGGAGGACCTACAGGAGCTCGATCCCGATTTCCTGGCGGAGTTACCGGAAGAACTGCGCCGCGAGGTCGTCGAAGACCATCGGCGTAAGCGGCTCGCACGCAGAGGCGGTCTGAACTTGGCGGCACCGGCGCGCAGGCCTCAGCAGGCCGAGGCGTCGGGGGCGTCGTCGTCGAACGGGAAACTGCAGTTCCCGGCGGCGCCGCCCAAGATTGACTTTACGGGCACTGGCGTTACGGCAGTGGCGGACGTCAAAGACATGCTCGAGGCGTGGCATGGGCAGTCGAAGGAGGAGGGGCCGCACAAGGCAGACGTGCAGGTGCTCGCGACATATCTCGGCAGGGTCGTACTCGAGGAGAGAAACATGAACAAGGCCGTGCAGCTGGTGAAGTGGGTGGATTTCCTCATCAGCACGGATCCGGGAAACGGGCCTGGTAAGCGCGGATGGCAGAAGGCCCTGGCTGGGGTCAAGCACGAGGTGCAAGAGGCCGTCAAGCAGAGGGGCTTGGGGCCCGTCAGTTTTTGAAGACGACGGCGTTTTACGATTCATGACAGGATACCATTTTTTTGTTGTTTTGGTTTTGTTGGTGAGGGTTATATGTATTTGTCAGTACGTATTTAGGAGAGGCATCGTGCAGAGCCTCGAGACTATCAACGAGGGCATTCTCCACCCCCAAAAATCAAGGACCGTCCGGGGTATCTACTCGGTCCAACTGTTATTTATGAAACTCCCTCGCATGGCATTTGCCCGTCGTCTATTTTTTTTTTTTTTTTTGCTCTTCTCTTCTGCTGCGGCACGCGAAACGAATGGTAACCAAAGAGGCCCTACAGCAAGGCCGAAACAGCAACAAGCCCACACGCCATGCCCCCCCACCCCGCCGCCCGCCTCGACGCAGCACCGCTGCTCTCGACCACGTACAAGCTCAACCGCATGTCCCCGCCGCAGACCATGCCGGCGTCGCCGTCGCACGGCAGGTCGCAGTCGGCCTCGGGCATGGCCTCGCTGAGCCCCGACAGGCGCTGGGCGCACCAGCACTCGCGCGCGTACTGCAGGCCGGCGTACTTGTAGGCGGCGGCGGTGCCGCGGCGGCAGTAGTCGAGGCACAGCGGCACCGTCATGTTGCCGAAGCCGAGCTGGGAGACGCCGCCGGAGAGGGCGCGCGTGTTGCTCGAGGCGAGCGTCGTCGTCTCGTTGTAGCAGCCCGCGTAGGCGTAGGGGCTGCTGCCCTTGTCGGGGGTGTAGACCGTCGGGGACTGGGCTGCTGCGCGGGCCGCGAGGGTGAGGGCGAGGGCGAGGAGCGGGAGGGGGGCCGTGGGGGGGAGCATGCTTGGTGGCGTGGTGTTTCGGTGCGCGGCTGCTGGTGTCTTGCGCCCGGATGAAGCGGAAAGGAGAGTTTGTGGAAGTTCGTGTCAGGACGCAGGGGAATTGGCGAGAATGTGAACACTCGATCGTGGCATCGCCGAGGGGCAAAGCAAATACAAGAAAGACAGGCAATAGACCGCAAGGCTGGCCAGCTGAAGCCAAGAACAACAAGCCAGAGAAGGTCTCTTCTTCTTTGAGGTGTTGGGGGACGCAGGAGATTGGGGGCCGTCGAGCCGGTCAGCTCCTAGCGGGCGGTTCGCCTCGCATTCGGGCTTTGTCGAGAGTAACGGTTGGTGGGGCTTGCGGCCGCGGACGGGCATTCTTCGCCAGGGGTGGGGGGGCAGCGTGTGCCGTGCGCCGCACGTCTCCTTGATAAGGTTGCTGGATTCGGATGTGTGTGCCGCCCGGTCTGGACCGTGAGGTCGTCCAGGGGTGTTTTCTGGCGTGGATCGGGCTGTTTTGGGCCATCTCGGATGCGACGTTACGATTGTGATTTGTCGCTGGTTCGGCTGGACTCTGTCCCCTGTATGCAGGCATGCATGCCAGTGTATGTTCATGGTAGGCAATCTGGCCAAATAATGATTCTTCGTCTAACTCGCCATCGTACAAAGGCATAGTGTACAATGAAATGGTAGTACAAAAGTGATACATGGCAAGGTAGAGTCTCTCACACCCGCCCTTCGTCCGACCCAGGACCGTCCATGCGGATCAGCCAGTTGAGCATCCTCTCATACGTCCACACCGTCACAGCACTCCCCGGCGCCGCCTTGACGAGACTGACGACGAGACCACGGTACATGCCCCTGACGCCCTCGACCTTGAGGATCGTCCGGAGCGCCCCCAAAGCGCCCTGGTACTCGGGGATGTTCTTGTGGACGTAGCGCGCCCGCGTCGGGCCCTGCACCTGGATGCGCTTGCGCACGAGGTCGAGCGGGAACACGGCCGTCTTGGCCATGACGCTCGCCATGACACCGGCCGTCGCGTCGCCGCCGCCCCACGGCAGCTCGAGCGCGCCGAGGTGCAGGCGGAAGCCCTCGTAGGCGGCAAAGAACATGCCCATGTACGGCACGATCTGGGCGACGCCGGGGCCGAGGCCGCGGAAGAAGCCGCGCGGGCCCTCGTCGCGGTAAATCTCGGCGATGGCGCCCCGCAGCGAGGCGTAGACGCGGTCGTTGCCCTGGGCGGCGAAGCGCGTGCGCAGCAGGTCGAGCGGGTACGTGGCCGTCGTGGCGGCGGCGCCGGCGGCGGCACCGGCGACGAAGGACTCGACGGCGTGCGGCAGGCGCCGGTCGTCCTCTGTGCCGCCGTGGGCGCCGCCGCGCAGCAGCTGCGTCACCGCGCGGTAGGCTGTGAACTGGATGCCGCCGTAGCAGAGGTACATGAGCTCGGCGGGTACGTTGCCTTTCCAGAGGCCCGGCAGCCCCTCGCTGCGGAGGATGTGGCGGAGCGTCGAGAGCGTGCCCTTGTAGATGGGCCCACCCTGGGCGGCGGGGTGGGAGAGGGGGTCGGAGAGGGAGTGGGATTGCAGCTGGAGTCGGATCTTGACGACGTCTAGGGGCGCGATGACGAAGCTGTAGGCGAGACGTCGTTAGAGTAGTCCGAGAAGAGGCAGTCACTGAGGAGGTGAAGCAGGCTCACCGTGAGACGAGGCCGGCTGTCGCACCGGCCATGACGACCTGGAGCTTAGATCCCTCATCCTTGAGGCGTGTTGCGCTGGAGGACATTCATCCGGGTCTCCTATTGTGGCCGCTAGGAGCGCGGCGGAGGGCAGGGAGGGTTGTTGGTTTGGGGCTTTGGACCCAGGCGTGAGTGCCGCACAGCGTGAGTGCCGCACAGCGTGAGCCGGAGATTCGAGCTGTGTGATGATGATAATGCTGGAACGGTCGACGATTTAATGAAGTTGAACACTGGCCTCGTAGAATGGCATGCAATTGCAATGAAGGAGCTGATGGTAATGACTGAGGTGGTGACTGCAGGATGTTGTCGCGTGCCAATGTGTTCCTGCAATGGCAAAATCAGTCACACTTCCCTTCTTTCCTTATCCTCTTATCGCAGGACCCCTGGAATTCGTGACGACATGGCCACGAGATGCGGTAAATGGACGTGGTACATGGCGCCAGGCGCATAGTAGCGGTTATTGTCCCGCTACAGGCCGCTGTTTCTTCCGTCAGCTACGGCGGGCTAGAAGGGCCAGACGCCAGGTTGACCCGCCATGACCATGCCCCTGTGCAGAGGCGTTGTGTTCTTCCGTCCACTGAAGGGAAGGGCTGGAGGAATGTGCCGAACCCAGTTCCGAAGCACCGCGATTCCGGTCGCTACACAGTCTGTTGTTCATGGGTAGTGACATTCTATGATGCGTTGGATAATTCGTTTCAAACAGAGTTCTGCAAGTTCAAGGAGTCTTCAGAAGCAAATGATGCTGGCACAGCGTCAGTGCAGGCAGGCAGTCAAGCTGGTAACCAGGCAAGCAAGCAAATAGCATCGCAATGCATCCGGCGCAGTGCATAGCAGCGCATCGTGAGATTCACAAGCCAAAAACCAAAACCATCGAGAACCTGGCGCCTGGAGTTCGATTCCCGGCTACGCATTCAGGTCCCCAACAGCACCTACTGCACCTAACGCACCTAAGCCCCGCCGCACGAGCCAGGTCCCGCACCCCACTTTGGCCATAACCGCAATTCTTCGCCCGCTCACTGGCTCCTCTCGTCCGAAACCAGGACACCCCGCGGCGCCTCATTGGCTCGAGGCACACCACCTGTGACCGCAGACCTCAGCGAAAGAGGGAAGCAGGGACCCAGCAGACCCATCAGGCGCGGACCAGAGGGAGTTGCCCTCGAGCCTTTTGCGGTGCGACGCCAAACTCGGGCAGGAGCCATGCGAGATGAGACGAGACGACATCTCTTGCTCTCGTTCTCTCTCTCTCTCTCTCTCTCTCTCCTTGCCTTCTCAAGCTTCTCACGTCACTCACCTTTCTTCTCTGCCTTGCATCATCATCACGTACCTAGGTGCTCCATCCTCACAACCAGAGCTTGCTTTCGTGCGCCACGACACCAGACCTGCGACGCCAGACAGACAGACTCTTCCTTTTCCGTTGGTCGACGGCTCACGAAGCATGTGCATGTGACACCCGCCCACCACCGCGCAGTCCTCGACATCATCACTGCCTCCCTCCGTCACTCACTTTTGGATACCCCTCTCTGAACCGTCTCGTCCTGTTTGCCCTCCTCCTCCTCCACAAACACCTCGCATTCGGCATCAAGCGCCTCGCCTCCGCCGTCAAAACACCACCTCCATCATGTCTTCCAGAGTCGAGATGCCAAACATCGGCGCCCTGCTGGCCCCCATCCTGCCCGCTCTCCCTGCCGCCGCCGTCTCAAAACAGCCCGCCATCGGTGTCCTGCCCCTGCTCTCCCCCATTCTGAGGCAAAGAGTCCAGCTTCTTGGCCTCAACAGCACAGAGCCCTGGCTTCGCCTGCTCAGCTACGATGCCGCCAAAACGGCCCGTCTCTCCGAGGTCGTCCAGAGCGGCCGTCTCGAGCCTCACCAGGTGTCCGGTGAGGTCGAGGTCGACTGGGAGTATGATGCCAAGACGAAGTACCGCCGTCTCGATCTCGAAACCCTCAACGCCTTTGTGGTCCTGGAGGAGCTCGAGCTCGCCTTTAAGCTCGTGTACTGCGTTGGCGACCAGGATGGCGGCGGCGATGGGTGGAGGGTCGGAGAGGTCACCGTCGCCGAGAAGCCGAACCCTTTTGCCGAGTTCGCCGGCCACTCGACCATGGCAGAGGCCGACAAGGCCTTCGAGGAGGGCAAGGCGGCACCCGCGGCGGCGTCGGTCACGCCAGGCTTCTCCGGCACGCCCGACATGGACGACGGCAACGACGACTACTGGAACCAGTACAACGAGACGCCCGCCCGGTCACCGGCTCCCCAGCGATCTCCCGCGCCCCTGGCGCCCCAGCCCTCCTCGCACCTCGGCATGTTCCGCACCGACTCGGCGGAGGACAGCTACTACGCCCAGTATGACGATGTGCAGCCAGCCATGGACAACCACGACCCCGACGAGGAGCCGCTCGCCCAGTCGCAGCAGCAGCCCGAGGTATCGCCACCTGCCCGCATGCTCGTCCAGCCCCAGGCCGAGAAGCCTGCGAGCCCCGGCCCCGATCTCGAGGCCGAGCGACGCGCCGCTCAGGTGCTGCATCCGCGCCCGGCGTCGAGCGCCAGCAGCAACGGCAGTCGCACCGTCGAGCGCTTCGAGGAGATGGCCGGCAGGCAGGAGGCCAGCGGCTTCGCTATCAAGCAGCACGTGTCCAAGAGCATCCGCAGCTTGTGGCAGCTGTCGCAGGCCTCGGGTATCGACCGCGAGGATTTCGAGAGGCTCGTGCAGAACGAGCTCGATCTCGCCCACATGACGCAGGATTCATGAGTGGTATTCGTCGAGTCGCAAACCGTGGGAAGGGACAGTCATTCGAAGCATGTGTGCGTGAAACGTTTTTCTTTCGAAAGGCGGGCAGGGAAATTGTCATGAGGATCTAGGCGGCTGCCTTGTAGAAGTAGGATATCCCCCTTGTGCTTTGGCTTACGATTGGCATACGCGCTGCGCTGGTGTTTGGGGATCTCCGGTGCATTGTCCGGGATCGTGGACGTATGCGCGCCACGTTTGGCGTTTGGGTGTTTTCTGGGTGTCGATAGCTCAATACAGACCAGTATTCAGGACAGTATTCAAGACAGCAGGCCGAAGAACGGATGTGAAGACGGGCGATGAAAACCATAAATAGGTTCTCGGAGAAGCGACGGAATCCCAACAGATTCCCGTCAACCATGGTGCGATCTGACAGCGAGACATGGTGGGTCCATGCAAGCTGTTGGCGACAGCGTCGGCGTTGACGACCTGCAAACATTGATTCAACCGAGTCTCAATTACTTCAGACTAAAAGCTAGCTTTTCATGAGATCTGCATTCAGTGCCGACGACGACAGCAACGCCATGCTACAAGACTATGTCGGTGAAGAACTTGTGAGTCCTATTTGAGAGGCACGGATAAGCATCACATACCGGAGAAGACCAAGCTGTTACAAAGAAACAGCCAGCGCCGGCCTTGAGCTCTGCCCATTCTGCAGCAGCACCGGGACCTGCAAGGTCTGACACTAGAGGCTGTCTGTTGTGGTGGTAGAAGGCTCTGGATCCTTTCTATTTGTTGATGGATCCGATACCTCGTCCTTCTCCCAATCCCCAAGCCCCGCGTTCTCGAACGAGAAGAAGAGCCTAAAGCCCTGTGCATGGGAAATCGCATGTGCTTGTTTGATTGCAACATCAGCCTGCTCGTCCCTCGTGATGGTCCGTGGAACGCCTGTGAGCATGCAGGCGACCCTGCGGAGCCACGGGCAAAGGGGCTAAGGGCTACGAGAACGTATATGCAAGGACTTCGGAAAGCTCCTAAGCTATCGAGGGCCAGGGTTGAAATCTATGACGACCTCCTGCCCATACTCTATTGCCTGCGGACCCCGCGTGGAAAAGCCTCTTCACTCTGCTCCGGATCGAGCACTGACAATAAGCCCCAATCTCCATCGCACGGGTGAACTTCTCTGCAGGCGTAGCCCTGGCCCCTTGAATGATACGACAAGAAAAATAAGATGTAGTTCAGTCTCAGGGCGGTCCTACTCAGTCCGTGAGAAGATTGTGCCATCATCCTGCCTCGGTGGCCACCTCTTGTCTCCTCGGGTGAGGTAGAGCTTCGACACTGCATGTCAGTGCATGGGTTAGAGCAGAGTGAAGAGGTCTTCCGCAAGGTCCGTAAGCAACTAGAGTATAGATCAGGGGTCGGAATTCATCTAGATTCTAGCCCTCTATAGCTTAGAGGGCTGTCAGAACCCCTGCGGAGCCACCGCGGACCTGCCAAGCTAGGGGGCTGGCCAGGGGCCAAGGGTTACGAGAGGACGTATATATAGGCTGCGGAGGGCCCCCCTCAGTTGCGGAGGGCCAGAATTCAGATGTATTCCTATCCTATACCTATATTCCAAGTGCCTCCGGATCCTGTGGAAGACCACTTCACTCTGCTCTAAACAACGCTCTGACAAGGGCCCTCCATAGTCCTTATATATACGTTTCTCGTAACCCTAAGCCCCTAACCGACCCCCTGCTTGGTAGCTCCGTAGGGCCATTTAACACCACAGGGAAGATGCGTGCTACTCTGGGTTGACGTGTTTTGCGATGCGGCCTTTGCCCGTCTTAAGGCAAAAGTTCAATGACGTGCTGCAATTTCCACCTGATCTCGGTCGATTTCGCGACGCTCAGAAAGCATAATGAATCAGCAATCGCCTCAGTTTCTTTCGCGGAAGACGTGCAAGCCAGCTTTTTCCGGACCAGTTTGTCCTCAGTCAACACTGAAAGCTAAGGAATCTAGCTTGTGAGAAGCGGCCAGGGGTTTAAGATCCACGTGAGCAACATATTGGGCCTGCCGACTATCTGTGGTGTTCAGCTTGCGAAATGTCAGCTTTATGATGACTACACAAATCTGACGCGGAGCCTGGATGGCTCCGGACCTTCAAACATAGTGATTGGCTCGTGAGATTTCTTCTTCGTGACATCCTTTCCGCGGAAAGAGATGTGCGCCGGGTTTCGTCTTCCAGTACTTTGGATCGCAGACGCTTCGCGTCGGTGCTGATTTGTGTTTTTCTTTGGACTAACCTGCAGGTCCGTTCCGGGTCTTGTGACAAAAACCTTATGTGCATGCTGATGAAAAGTTATAAGTCATGAAACACAACGACATAAAAATATCTCATCTATGTTTCTTCGACAGACAACCTATCTCAATAAAATGACAGCCAAAAGCTACAGCAAACATTTGCATGCGAACATGAGATGAGTGCCATCCTTTCTAACAGACCATGTGCTACAACTTTCAAGATCGGCGCGCATCTATCTAGGAATGTCAAGTTTAAATCCTCATAACCTTTTTCGGAGTGTCGCAACGCCACACGACCTTTAAGGGGCTAGGATCCACAGAAATTGTTCCGTTGACGGCTTGAGATCAGACCCGGCGTTCAAAACAAACTGATAGATCAGATAGATGACTTGTCATATTCTAAGGCGCACGCCTAAAACAGATATCCGAGATGAGGAGGCCTGCCTTCCTGCGATGTTGCCACTAGTGGGTCGGAGTATGGATGACGGAATGTTCTTACGATTTGAATACATACCATATAGCATTGAGGTAGCTGCTTGCTGTTGAGATGCTCTCGCTTTCTATCGCACACTTAATTTCGCAGCACGATGTGGCCCACCAAGCTGTTTTGGGAAGGGGATGATCGTGCGTCCTCGATGCAGTCCTTCCTGCCTACGCAGATAGTCCTTGGTTGATGACCCGAACACCTGTTCACTTGAGTGGTGCTGCTATGAAAAGAGGTCCTTCCCTTTCGGCTTAGACGTTTTTTCCCCCGTCGCGTCGAGAACGCGCGAGATCGTAGTGTACTGTCTACTAACGAGAAGTCTTGCACTGCCTCATCGTGGGATGGCCGGGAAGACGGCCAGAAGGTCGTGTTCGTTCGAGTTCTCACCATTTTGAGACATTCTTGGCAAGCTTTACCCCAACAGACGACGCCACAAAGCGCTCAGGATCGCGAACATCTACAGGACCAACTGCCCATGCAGATCTTCGCCCGAGCCCACAAGTAGCCGCGATCCAATGTGACGTTCTTCGAAGCCACAGGGTCCTCGACCGAGATGCTACAATCTCGACGGCTGTAAAATAATCAGTCTTTGAGACTGTGGATGCACAGAGGGGCAGCACGCCGTTCGAGGCCTTGTCGCCGGATTTACGATTACTGCGTACAAGTACTTTCTCCGGAGTGAGACAAGGTGGATCATGATCAGCACATCCGCTGCTTCAAGCGGGTTTCTGTCTCAGATTGAACAACGAGACAATGTGCCCAACCATGCTTCGGGTGCTGCCGATCGAGATCACAATAGGGGGGTTTGCAGGCCTCCAGGGATATGAGGGGGAAGGATTGACTTCATTCTGCGGTCTGAAGTTTAGAAACTGGGAGAAACGGAACAGAGATCGAGAATTCCATGAAAGATGTCCTGCATATGGCCTGTGTCACGTTGAAGGCTTTCAACGAACCCAAGCCTTCGGCGCCTTCGCATGATCTGACAGCCTCTACTACAAGACCGAAGACGTCCTTTATCGACGCCACTATTGCAACGTTCTTCCGCATGGTCTCTTCCGAGCCTCTTAGACATGGGCGTGAGACTTGCCACCGGCGCGACGAACCGAGCATGGTGGGGATTCCCAGGCTCATCCGGGAAATCTCACACCTTTCTCTTTGCGTCCACGGTGGCGCCCAGTGAAGCCCTCCGCGATGCGGCTCTAAGTTTGGCGGTCGGTGGGGGTGTAAGTGCCGGCGCCTCTCCGCGAACGGCCCAGAATGCCACGCACAAGCCCGCATGGCTCTTCTGGGGGAAGGGTAAGTTGCGCTTCAGGAAACGTGACGGCCACACAGCTTGCCTGTTTTGGCGAGAAGGGACGTCATATTCGAACGTGGTCGAGGGCGTGGTGCGTGAGCAGACGTTCGTTTGCGGCTTCACGGCGATGCCTTCCCCTTTCCTGCGCTTCTCCCATCGGACCCCAGTCCCTTCTGCCCTCACCTTGCGCCTCAGGCTCCTCTCTTACCCCCCTGGATCGACGTTCGGCCGTAGATGGCCGGCTCCTTGGCAGATCCTTGCCTTACTCCAGCCAAAACGTCCTCGATCGAGAGGGCCGAAAACAGCTGTCATGGGAGTGTGGCTCACCCATCGTCGAAGTCATTGCATCATGAAAAAGATCGCGATCAGAGCGCGTAGCTGTCGTCGCCAAGGATCACTGGCTGTACGAGGTCTCTCATAAGACAGGGCTCGCTGTCCGGTAGATGGTCAACAGCTCAAGTCTGTGAGGTTCTACCAGTTGTGCTAGACTAACACTATCCTACCTACCTCACTTAGGCATACTTTGCAATTATTAACCTTAATGACAATCTAATGCTACGAAGCAAGGCGACAAGATGAGAGGCCCACCATCTTGGCCCGTCCGGTTGGCGGCGATGTCCTCGCTCGCCAGCTTCTGCGTATCGCCCGCCAACGGCTTCTCGACCTTCTCCAAGCTCTGGGACAGGATCCAGAAATCCAACATCTTCACGGCGGAGCACGAGCTCGGCAGCCGGTCTCTCGACGGCGGCGTCAGCAGCGGCTGCCCGACCGCCCTCGACCTGTGCGTCGATGGCGCCTGCACCAACGTCACCATCGGCATCGATCCGCTTCACTGCGGCGCCTCACGAACCGCTTGCAAGGCAGGCGAGATCTGCGTCGTCGGCACCTGCCGGCCCCTGAGCTTCCACGAGCCCGCGGCGTGTGGCAGTGACGACGAGCCGTGCAAGGCAGGTCGCTGGTGCCACCGCGGGTCGTCGCTGCCCATCGAGGTCAGCACGAGCTCGCGCGCCTGCGGCTCCCACAAGAGGAGGTGCGACCCGGGCACGCTCTGCGTCAGCGGCTTCTGCGAAAAGATCGACCTCGGAAGCGACCCCCTGAACTGCGGCGGCAGTGGCGTCGTCTGCGAGGCAGGCACTTACTGCCTCGACGGCGCCTGCCGTGCCCATGTCGTTGGTACCCCTCCCCTCACGTGCGATGCTGACGACCAGTGTGCCCTCGGCCTCACGTGTCGACAGGGCGTCTGCGAGGAGATCAACATCGCGCTCGATCCCTACAGGTGCGGCGCCAGCAGCACCACCCAGTGCCTTGCTGGCGAGACTTGCCACGGCGGGCGCTGCGAGCGCATCGCCCTCGGCTGCGGGGCTGACGACGGCGACAATGGCAACGACGTTGTCGAGGCCTGCGAGAAGACGTGCGAGCTCGGAAGCGTGTGCTACAACCACGAGTGCATCCCGCTACATGTCGACCTCGACGTCGCGGACTGCCAAGGCAAGGCGTGCGCTGCGGGTGATGTCTGTCTCTCGGGCATCTGTACGTCTCGTCTCGCGAGGAACGCCACTGGTCCGATCGTGGGGTGTGCTGGTGCCCTCCCTGGGTCTGGCTCTCCTGGCGGTCAGCCTACGGGACAACCTGGTGCGTCTGCTGGCGCATCTGGTCTGCTTGGTGGTCAGCAGCCTACTGGCGTGCCTGTCGTCCCAGGGCCTGTCGCACAGCCCGGCGCTCAACAGCCTGGTCAGCCTGGTGCCGGACAGCCTGGCTCGGATCAGCCCGGCCAGTCCGGTGGCTCCGGTCTCGTTGGCGGCCCCGGTGGCCAGCCAGGCCAACCTGGAGTGACGCCTGGAGAGCCCGGCGGCTCAGGAATCGGCGGCGGCTCGAGTGATGGTCAGACGGGTGTAGGCGGCGGTCAACCCGCTGGCCAGCTTCCGCCTGGTCAGCTTCCTCCTGGCCAACTCCCCCCGGATCAGCCAGCTCCTGGTCAGCTGCCTCCAGGTCAACTGCCGCCCGGTCAGCTCTCACCAGACCAGCCAGCCCCTGGTCAGCCAGCACCTGGAGAGCCCGTGCCCGGCCAAAACCCCTCGGACCCGGGTCAACCTGGACAGGCTCCTCCGATCCAGCCTGGCACCGGCCCAGAGTCCCCTGGACAAGGCCCTACTGATCAGCAACCTCCTATTCAGATCCCCCCCATTCAGTCACCGCCCGACCAGCAACCCCCTGATCAGACTTTCCCTGATCCTCAGGTTCCGGTCGATGTGCCTCCCGGACAACAGCCTTCGGACCAGAACCCTGGTCAGACTCCTGGTCAATCTCCTGGTCAGAACCCTCCCAATCAACAAGGCCCGGGCCCAGTTCCCGCTGACCAGCCACCCTCGACCCCAACATCTCCGGGCGCCGGTCCTGGCGGTTCTCCCTCAGCGCCATCCCCTGGTGGTGACTCTGGCTTCGTCAAGCTCCCACAATCAGGCCTCCCTGGCATCTCTACGGATCCCATTCAGTCCCCCCCGCCACAACGTTGTCCCGGCGAGCAGGTTCTTGTTGGCACTCTCTGCAAAGACATCTTCGGGGACCCGGAGAACTGCGGAGAGGCCTGGAACCTCTGCCCGCCCAACAACATTTGTGTTCAGGGTGCGTGCGCCGAGATCGACACCGGAGGTGACCCTAAGGACTGCGACGGTGTTGAATGTATCTCGGGCCAGGCCTGTGTTCGAGGCCAGTGCCGACCCATCACTATCGGCATCTCGGGCCCCCGGCCGTCTGAATGTGGATCCAACGGATGCGGCACCGGCGAACACTGCATCTCGGGAACGTGCGTCAAGCTCACGGGTGACCCGCAGAAGTGTGGTTCCTCGACCAACGCATGCCCCGCGAACAACCTCTGTATTCTCAACAAGTGTGTTCCTGTGGATACCGGCAAGGACCCCGAGAACTGTGGCTCCGAGGGCAACGTGTGCCCGTCGGGTTCCGCTTGCGTTCGAGACGTTTGTATCCCCATTAATGGTGGCAGCATTCCGCCGCCCGCGGACAAGTGCCCCTCGACCTGTGCGCCGGGCACGATCTGCGTCGGCACCGAGTGTAAGCCCTTGCAAAAGCCCGATCAGTGTGCAGACGGCTGTGGGACCGGAAATGTCTGCCTCGATGGCGCATGCACGCCCGTGGAGAGGCCTGACGCTTGTCGACCCCTCTGTTTGCCTGGTGCCGCGTGCATCGACAACACTTGCGTACCGATAGCCAGCTCTGACAGCTGCAACCCTGGCTGCTCAATGAGCGAGGCGTGCATCGGTGGCACTTGTATTCCTATTGATCCCAGAGACAAGTGCCGACCGCGCTGTTTCGGCGGAGCTGCCTGTCTCAACGGTGTCTGCGTCCCCACTCGCGGTGCTGGCGCATGCTCGCAGACTTGTGTCGAGGGCAGCGTCTGCTTCGGAGGCGAGTGTCAGCCTATCCAAACACCCAAAGAGTGCGCACCCAACTGTGCTCGTGGATCCGTGTGCATCGCTGGGTTCTGCCAGCCTATCCAGGCCCCCATTGATTGTGGTCTTCGTGGCCGCAACTGCCCGCTCGACACGAATTGTTTGGCTGGCAACTGTGTGCCGATCAGAGATCCCAATTCGTGCACCGACGACGGCAAGCCTTGCCCGAGTCACCACCGCTGTGTCCAGGGACAGTGCGTTCCCACGCGTGTCAGCGGCTGCAACCCAGCCTGCGAGTCTGACACGGAGATCTGTGTTGATGGTGTCTGTTCCGCCATCAAGGATCCCTCTTCCTGCGGCTCAGGAGGTGGCAAGTGTCTGCCGGGTCACATGTGCGCAGGCGAGCAGTGTTTGCCTATAATCGGATCAGCTGGCTGCACTTCCAAGGGCCGAGACTGCGATGATGGTTTCGTGTGCGTAGCCAAGAACTGTGTGCCCGTTTCGTCTCCCAACGACTGCGGTGAGGGAGGTACTTAATGCGCTGATGGCGAACTTTGTCTCGCTGGCCGCTGCACGGCACAAGCACGGCCGGACCCGTCTGCTGAGTGCACCGATCCAGCATGCAAAACGGGCGAGATCTGTATCGACGGATCATGCACAACACTGACGGACCCTGCGGCTTGCGGATCTTCGGGTGATCCCTGTCCTGCTGGCACCTTTTGCCTGGGCGATGTCTGCACACGCCTTGGCGATCCCACCGACTGTGATCGCAACGGCCTCACTTGCGATGCTGGTGCCATCTGCGCGGCAGGCACTTGTGTCCCCGCCCAGTCGCCGACCAACTGTGGTGGGCCAGGTCAAATCTGCCCTGCTGGCCAGCAGTGTTTCGCTGGCCAATGTCTGCAGTTCCAGGACGCCAAGGGTTGCGGCACCGGCATTGCGTGCGGAACCGGCCAGCAGTGTATACACGGAACCTGTGTGTCCATCGGCGTCACACAAGACTGTGGCGACACCGGAGCGCCTTGCAAGGCCACCGAGAACTGTGTCGAGGGCTCGTGCCGACTCTTGCCTGTTACAGGAGCTTGCGGTACCACTGGAGGACCTTGCCCTGTCGGAAACAAGTGTGTTGCTGGCGCCTGTGTGCTGCCCTTCGGATCCTGTGCCGGCGGTGCTTCTGGGACGACTTGCAGCGGCGGGCGCATCTGTCTCAACGGCGGTTGTGTTGCCGTTGATGATCCTGATGGTGACTGCGGCAGCACCGGAGGGCCGTGTCCCGTCTCCTCGTTCTGTGCGAGCGGTGTGTGCGTCGGTATCGCCGGACCCAACGATAACTGTGGAGCCACCGGCGCTCCGTGTGCTGCCGGATCTGTCTGTATTGACGGCAGCTGTACGGAGGCTACGGGCCCTGAGACGCCGTGCGGACAGACCAACGAGCCTTGCCCCCGCGGCGCCACCTGTGTCGGGGGTGCTTGCTTGCCGGGAGCGGGAGACGGAGACAATTGCGGCGACACCGGAGGCCCGTGCGAGAACGGCCTGTCTTGCATTGCCGGCGTGTGCTTCGGCAATGTGGACGAAGTACCAAGTCCTCCAGGTGACCTGCCTGTGTCCGGAGGAGACCAGCCTATCCCAGGAGGAGACCAGTCTACCCCTGGAGGAGGCCAAACTGTGCCTGGAACGGACCAACCTATTCCTGGTGGAGACCAGTCTCTCCCAGGCCCGGTAGACGGCATCACCAAGCCCGTCATTCCCGGGGACGGCAGTCAGCCGATTGGAAGCCCCGACCTCCCTATTGTTGCTGATCCAAACAACCCTACTACCGGTGGCGGCGGTGTTTCCGTTCCGCCCGCTACTGGTTCCACGCCGCCTGTTGACACTTGTGGCCCTGCCGGACAGCGCTGTGCTGCGGGACTACTCTGCATCGAGGACAGATGTGTCGTTTCACGCGGCCCCGATGACTTCTGTGGCACGTCGGGTCAGGTCTGCCCATCTGGCAGCCTTTGCGTGTCAGGAGCGTGCTCGGCCATTGCTGGGCCTTCTGATAACTGCGGTAACACGGGAGCTCCGTGCTCCGCAGGTCAGTTCTGTGCTGGAGAATCATGCCTCACCATCGGGGCGCCCACTGACCTCTGCGGCCCCCTCGGCCGTGTGTGTCCTGCTGGCCAGCTTTGCATGGCTGATCAGTGCGTTCCAATTGAGGCCCAAGGTGCTGTCTGTGGTAGCACGGGGAGCCCTTGCTCCTCGGGTCTGACCTGCGTTCGTGGAGCATGCGTCACGACCCCCGAGGGAACTGGCTGCGGCGAGGGAGGCGCGGCCTGTGCCAACGGCTTTGTCTGTGAGAATGATCAGTGCATCATCTCCCCTAAGGATACCTGTGGCCCTGGTCGTGGACCCTGCCATGATGGTCTTGTCTGTCAAGATGGTGTTTGCACGCCGACGGGCTTGCCCATCGGCGGATGCGAAGGGCTGAACACGCCTTGTGCGTCTGGTCTCATTTGTGTGTCTGATATTTGCGTCGTGGACCCCGACCCATCGACGTGTTCCGGCGCCGTTTGTGGCACAGGTGAGCTTTGCGTTCATGGCCTCTGCATTGACATCCTCAATAATGCCCTGCACTGCGGCGCCAAGGACACGCCTTGCCCTCCGAACAACATTTGCCGTTCCGGTACCTGTGCTCCGTCCCCCACTGCTTTGTGTGGCGACACGACGTGCGACAGCCAGCTTCAAGTTTGTGTTGAGAATGTCTGCCTCGCCCTCTCGACAGATCTCAGCAACTGCGGTGCTGCTGGCACAACTTGCCAAGCAGGCCAGACGTGCATTTCGGGCCAGTGCTCCGACCCGGCAGCGCCCACGGATTGTGGCGGCGATGTCTGCGGAACTGGCGAGCTATGTGTTGAAGGGACAATCTGCGTCAACTTGGCGACGGACAACAAGAACTGCGGCAGCACTGACACAGTGTGCTCCATTGACCAAGTCTGCGTTTCTGGCGTGTGCACTGCCCTAACAGCGCCCGTCTGCGGTCAGACCAACTGCGCGGAAGGCCAGATCTGCTCGTCTGCATCCTGCCTGGACGTGTTCACCGACGCGGCAAACTGTGGTGCCGAGGGTAGGGCCTGTGAGCCATCTGGCTCGACTTGCGTTGCCGGCAAGTGTGTGCCTCCTGTTCTTGGACAGTGCGGCAGTACGACGTGTGCGGCTTTTGAATCCTGCCGCGATGGGACGTGCTACGACCATCTCGGCGACGTTGACAACTGCGGTGGCTTGGGCAAGTCTTGTTCGGGCACTTGTGTGTCTGGAAACTGTGTGCCCCTGCCTGCAGTTGAGCCGAACCAACCTCGTCAAATCACCGACACGCTGAACCAGGTCGTCAACGACGCTCTCGGACCCAGTGGCCTCGTACCAAGTCTTCTCGATAACATTGGCAAGGGACAGACGAGCAACCTCGTCCCCGACATCATCAAGGGTGTCTTGGGTGACGGAACTTCTGCTGGCGGCGGCCTCCTTCCTGGCATACTGGACAACCTCGTCAACCAGGGCGCTATTCCTCCAGCGGCTGTCACTGATCTTATCGGACCCAACGGTTCGCTTCCTCCGCTCGTAGACAGTCTCCAGGACAGCATCGCCAAGGACAGCACAGGCAACATTACCAACACGGTGCTGCCGCCTCTCCTAGAGGGCCTTATTGGCGACGGCACTACCGAGGGCGCTGGTCTCATCCCAGGCCTTCTCGACGACATCAGCAAGGGAAATCTCGGCAATATCTTGCCTGGCCTCATCGACGGCTTGATCGGCAGTGGCACACCCGGACAGGGCACCGTTGGTATCCTCCCGCCGCTCATCACCGATATCCTTGGCCCTGCTGCGGATAACCCACTTGGAAACATCGGCACTATCGTCCCCGGAGGCCTGGGCGCTGCTATCGGCAACGTCACGACGCCAGAGCAGCTTCAGGAGGTCCTCCCTGGTGCCGTTGGAGACTTGCTCAACGGAACTCTGCCCGAAGATGTCGTGAACGGCGTCATCGGTGGACTCAACAACACCGTTACCATTCCCAACACCGGCACTGTCCCTGCGACCAACCTTCCCGGCGATGCAGTCGGCGGGCTTCTGGATGAACTCCTTAACAACGCGACTTCACCTGACGTTCCCAACATTCCTGCGGCCTCCGGACCCCTGATCGACTCTTTGCTCAATGGCAAGCCTCCGGTGAACACCCTCCCCGTCATTCCCGGCGGATCTACGGGAGAACTTCCCGTCGTCGGCGGACTTGTAGAAAATGGAACGCTGCCTGCCAACATCACTGGCGATACTGTAGTGGGCGCTATCATTGGTGGCCTGCTCAACAATGGCACGGTCCTTCCAGGCTCGCCGACGGCTGAGCTCCTTGATGGCCTGACGGGTGGTCTTACGGGCAACAACGCCTCCGTGTCCGACACACCTGCTGGTAATCTTGGATCAACCCTCGGCGGGCTCATCAACGCGACTGCGCCCATAGGCTCAGCAGCCGGCGACCTCCTGACGGGCTTGATCGGCGGCGTCACTGGAAACAATACGTACATCACCCCCAAGAATCCTGCAGGAGCCGTTGGTACCATTGTCGGTGATCTCATCAGAAACGGCACAACGCTGCCGGGTACGCCCCTTGGTGACGCCCTCGGCGGCATCACTGGCCCGAACCCTCCTACAGGCAACGAGTTGGGCGAATGTCTTGATGATCTCCTTCCCGACGGCCCACCTGCTGGTATTCCGGCAATTCCCACTCCCGAGGAACTCGAAGGCCTCGTCGAGGGTCTCGAGCCCGTGGTAACGGCACCTGGGGTTATTCCTCCGTCAGGTGGATTCATCGGCGGTATCATTGGCGGCGTCCTGAACAACGGCACCGGGATCGGCGCGCCCGAGCTCCCAACCATCGGCATTAACCTGCCCGCTCTGATCGATTCTACCTTGGGAGGCACCAACGTGACTGGCTCGGATGTGCCCGGGCTCAATGTTACTCTGCCTGCCATTTTCGAAAGTCTTCTGACAAATGGCACCATTGACCCTTCGCTGGGCGGTGCACTGACCGATATTGTCGGCGGCACACCAAACAACACGGCGACCATCGGCCCCACTCTGCCGCCCACCCCCGGCCTCCCCGGAACCACCCTTCCCGGTCTTCCGGCCGCTGGAGGTCTGGTCCCTGGCGTGCTCGGCAGTCTTCCTAGCGATGAAATTGGTGATCTCTTGACTCCTGTTGTTGGCACAGGGGATGGCCTAATTCCCAAGCTCATTGACAATGTCAAGAACGGTGCGACCGACACTATCATTTCAGATCTCATCAAGGATGCGCTAGGTGACGGCACGCCTACCAGCGGCGGTCTCATTCCTAATATTGTCGGCAACCTGCAAAATGGCACGCTGGACAAGGTCTTGCCAGATGTTGCTAAGGATCTCCTAGGCGCCAATGCGACTCTTCCTGCCAACTTGACCAGTGGCTCTCCATCGGACATTCTCCCCGGTCTGCTGAACGATATCTTCGGCAACGGCACTGCCGGCTCGGGACTGATCCCCACAGTCATTGGACAGGTTCAGAGCGGGTCAGTTGAGGCTATCCTGCCCGGCCTCGTCAACGGTGCGCTTGGCGGTGGTAGCCCCACGGGTGCTCTGCCAGAGTTCGTTAACGAGGTTCTCGGAGGAAACGCGACGGCCGGTCTTGGAACCATCCTCCCAGATCTCGGAACCCATCTACCGGATCTGATCAATGAGAGTAGTGGAGGCATCAGCCTGGTCATCCCCCAGCTTCCTGGTGGTGCAAACGGTGCTGGAAACAGCAGCGGCATTGGCATTATCATCCCCACCCTTCCCGGCAGCGATGGAGCCGGCGGCGCCGGCCTTGTCATACCTGATATCGAAAGTGTCTTGCCTGGACTCATCAACGGCACTGGCGGTCTGGCGCCTCTTCTCCCAGGTATCATTGGCAGTCTGCCGGGCATCAGCAATGCTACTGAAGGCGAGCTGGGCGAGATCGTCGCCACCCTTCCCGGTCTGGTGAACGGCTCGACTGGTAGCCTTGAGGATCTCCCAGCCATCATCGACCGCCTGCCTTCACTCATCAATGACACGACTGGCTCTTTGGGCGAAGTCATTGCAAGCCTGCCTGGTCTGCTGAACGGCACTGCTGGCTTGGGACCCCTTCTCAACAAGCTCCCTGGGCTCTTGAACCAGACTGGTGCCCCTACCGTGAACCCCTCCTCAGAGCTTCCGGTTGCCGGTCTGTTGCCTGGCACCATCGTTCCTGATGTCCTCAACACTCTGCCCGCCCTCACAAACGACGCTGTTACTAGTGGCAGTGGTATTTTGATCCCCGACTTTGGAGGCCTCGTCAATGGCACCACGAGCGGCGGCACGGGTGTCATTATCCCGGATCTCTCCAATTCTCTGCCAGGTCTTCTCAACGGCACAGGAAACGCCATCGGTGGTCTTGTGCCTGATGTCGCAAACACCCTTCCAGGCCTCGTGAGTGGTACGCTGCCGGGCCCCGCTGCGCTCGTGCCTGGACTCATAGCCACCCTGCCGACTCTGGTCAATGGGTCCAGCGCAGCCGACATCATCAGCAGCCTGCCCGCTGTCCTGCCCGGCGTCATTATTCCCGCGTCAGAGGTCAACACTATCGTCGAAAACTTGCCTGCCCTGACGAACGGCACGTTGCCGTCCATTGATGTCAGCGCAGGTGTCGGTGTGGATGCTGGGGTCAAGATTGGTGTCCCGGCTATTCCCTCGCTCCCCCAGATCATTAACAACCTCCCTGGTTTGCTGAACAACACCGGTATTCCCATTTCCGTGCCTGAGTTGATCGGCGCTCTTCCCGGTGTGACCCTGCCTGTTGACCCCTCTGTTGATACGCCAGGCACTCCTGGTGCTCCTGGAGGCTCTGTTGGAGGCGAGGCCCCCGGACCTCTCATTCCTGAAGTCGTAAACAACCTCCCTTCAATCATCAACGGTAGTCTTGGCGGAGGACCAGGCGCTGGCCTCATTCCCCCGCTGGTCGACAGCCTGCCCGGTCTCGTCAACGAGGCTGGCCCTGGTGCTCCTGGTGCTGGCGTTGGCACTGGCCCCGGCACCATCATTCCCGATGCTGTGAACAGTATCCCGGGCGTCATTGGCGGCGCTCTGGGTAACGGCCCCGCTTCCGGCGTCGTGCCGGGCCTAGTTAATGCTCTGCCGGGGCTCGTCAACGACACCCTTGCCGGAGGGCCGGGCTCGGGCCCCGGAACTCTTCTCCCCGATAACGTCAATAACATTCCTTCGGTAATTGGCGGCACGCTGGGTAACTCTACCACCTCGGCTGGCCTCATCCCGGGGCTCATTGGCTCACTGCCGGGCATCGTCAATGACACGATTGGCGGAGCGGCGCCCAGCCCTCTGATTCCTGACGCAGTCAACAACATCCCGTCGATCATCGGTGGTGCGATTGGCAGCTTGCCGGGCAACGGCAGCGCCATTGTCCCAGGTCTGCTGAATGACCTCCCCGGCCTCGTCAACGGCGTCTTCCAGAACCAGACTGGCGCCGGGACCGTACTTCCCGATGCCATCAATACGCTACCTGGCGTCATCGGTGGAGCACTCTCCGGAGACAATCCTGGCTCGGCTATCCCCACTGTCATTGACAACCTGCCGGGTCTCATCAATGGCAGTGTTGGACAGACGGCGCCGGACTCCGGTGGTGCGATTCTTCCGGGTTCCTTGAACGAGCTCCCCGGCATCATTGGCGGAGCCGTGAACGGCAGCACCCCAAGTCCCGAGGGCGTCGTCCCAAGCCTCGTCAACAGCCTGCCTGCTATCGTGGCCGGAGCCAGTGGTAACCAGAGCGCCGTGGGAAGCATTCTTCCTGGCCCGCTCAACGAGCTGCCTGGCCTTCTCAACTCAACTTTAGGAGCTGGTGGCCCTGTGGCAGGCACCCTAGTGCCCGGTATCGTCAACGGTCTGCCTGACCTTGTCAACGGAGCTCTCAACGGTACCAATACTGGACCTGGCACCGAACCTGGAGGTCCACCCGGCACTCTGCTGCCAGGCGGTCTGAACGAGCTTCCCGGCAATCTCACTGCTGGTCTTCCCAATGGTACAACCGCGGGCTCTCTGTTGCCTTCCATCATTGGAGGGCTTCCAGGTGCTGTCAACAGCGCTGTCAATGGCACAGCTGGTACTCTGATCCAGGACGTTGTAAACCAAGTCCCTGGTATTATCAAGGGTGCTGTGGAGAGCGGACCCAACATCGGTCCCCTCATCCCCGGTATCGTCGGCAGCTTCCCGGCCATTGTCAATGGTACTGTGAACGGAGGCGGCCAGGCACAGCAAGACCTCGAGGCCATCATCCCCGGCATCATCGAGACCATTCCTACCTGCGTAGAGGGTGCTTTGGGCAACGTTCCCAATGTCAACCCGGCGGATATCACTCCCATCGTTATTGGCAGACTCCCAGACATCATCTCTCAGCTGCCCAACGTTACAACTCCAGGCAAGGTTCTTCCTGGTCCGCTGAACCAGCTGCCGGGTATCATCTCCGGTGCCATTTCTGATGCCGCCGGTGTTCAGCCTGGCGTCATCGCCCCTGGTCTTGTGGCTGCTCTCCCCGCCGTCCTCGAGGGACTCGTCAACAACCTGCCGAACACAGGTGGTGCAGTACGCCCCACGATTCCTGGCCTTTCCGAGAGCCTTCCGGGACTCTGCGAAGACGCTCTGAACTCTGGATCCGGCGCGCTAATCCCGGAAGTCGTCAACACTCTGCCTGGCGTCATTGGCGGCTCCATTTCCAACGGCCAGCTGCCTGGTTCGGCTATTTCGCTGCCAGACCTCGTGAACAACCTGCCTGGTCTCATCAACGACGCACTGAACAAGGGTCAGGAGGAGTGCATCCCGGGCCCGGTCAATAACTTGCCAACCACGATTGGTAACGTCATTTCTAACGGAAGCCTGCCTATCCCCAACCTGCCCATCAACGACATTATCAACAACCTGCCAGAACTCATCAATGGCGCCATCCAGACGGGAGCAGGCACTCTGATCCCTGACCGCCTGAACAACCTCCCCGCGGATATTGGCGTCTCGTTGAATGCTACTGTCGTTCTGCCGGTTCCCGAGATTATCGCCAATCTGCCATCCATCATCAACAATGCCGTCAGCAGCGGTAACCCTGTCGCTATTCCAGAGGTGATTAACAGTTTGCCTGCCACTATTGGCACGGCGGTGGGTGGTGCTACGAATTTGATCCCCCAGATCATCGGAAATCTGTCGGCCTTGGTGAATGAGGCTATCAACAACGGCGCAAGCACAGTGCTCCCTCCAGTGATCAACAATCTGCCGGTCACCATCGGAGGCGCCCTCAACGGTACTACCCTGCCGCCGGCTATCGTTTCCAATCTCCCGGCACTGATCAATGATGCCATCGGCAACGGTGGTGCAGCCGGAGCTGGTGCTGCTACGCTTCTTCCAGAGGCGATCAACACCCTGCCGGCTGTCATCGGAGACTCCCTCGGCGACCTCACTGGCAACGCGGCTAGTCTGGTGCCTGCCATCGTCGCCAACCTTCCTGGATTGGTGACTGGTGCCCTACAATCTGGCGCTGGAACGTTGGTACCTCCCAGTGTCAACAACCTGCCAGCTACGATTGGAGAATCTTTAGGCAACCTTACAGGCAACGCTGGTGCCCTCGTCCCTGAGATCATCAACAACCTGCCAGGTCTCATTGCGGGCGGTCTAGTCGGTGGCACGGGTACACTGCTGCCTCCCGTCGTGAACAACCTCCCTGCCGTCATCGGTGGTGCCCTAGGCAACGTCACGGGCGCTGCTGAATCTCTAGTGCCCCAGATCATCGCCAACCTGCCTGGCCTCATCACTGGTGCCATCACCAGCAATAGCACGACCTTGATCCCTGACGTTGTCAATACGCTGCCTGTCGCCATTGGCGGAGCGCTGACGAACAGCTCTATCGGTTTCAACCCTGAGATCATCAATAACCTGCCGAGCCTCGTGAACAATGCCATATCAAGCGGCAACGCAACAATAATCCCCCCTCAGGTGAATAACATCCCGGCTGTCATCAGCGGCGCCATCGCCAACAGCACGACGGCTGGTGACCTGATCAATAACCTCATTGGAAACGGCACCGCGACCGCTGGGGGCCTGCTTCCCATCTTGTCGGGGACCCTCAACGGCAATGTCTCCATCGGAGGGAACAGTCAGGGAGTTCTTCCTGGCCTCATCGCCAACGTCTCTGTCGACGCTCTGGGCCCCAACATCCCAACGCTCATCAACGGACTCATCGGTACCAACGGCACCCTCAGTGCTATTGCTGGCGGTCTGCTCGGAAATGGTACGGCGGGTCTCACGATCCCTGATATTCTCGGCGGCATTGCGGCTGGTACGGGCAACAGCTCTCTCCCAGGCCTCGTTGGCGAGATCCTGGGCAACGGAACCGGAGGAGGAGGAATAGGAGGAACAGGAGCAGGGGTGGGTGTGAGAGTCACAATTGGAGGTGGACTCGGAGCTGGAGGTCTTCTCCAGAACATCACGACTGGTCTCGTCGGCGGTGGTAGCGGCGGAGCATCCATCCCTGGTATTCTCCCCGGCATCGTCGCCGCTGGACCTCGCGCCAACACGACGGTCCCTTCGGTCGAGGTGGTGCTTGATAACCTCGGTATCGGCAACCTCACTGCATCGCTGCCGGCGCTCGTCGACAGCATCATCGGCAGTGCGAACCTCACGGGTAAGAATATTACTGGCCCGGCTGCAAGCCTGATCGACGGTTTGCTCGGCCCCGGCGCCTCGGCGGGCGTCAACGTCACCGTTGGCCCTGCTTCAGGACCTGGCGCTGGACTGATCCCCAACCTGTTGGACAACGTGGCCACTGGCAACGTCACGCAGATCATTCCTGATCTCGTCAATGGTCTTCTGGGCAACGGCACGGCCAACAGCGGCGGTCTCATACCGGACCTGCTGCAGAATGCCAGCGCTGGTGCTCTTCCGGCGGTCATCCCCAACATTGTCGGCGGTCTCCTCGGCGGCGCGACGGTCGGCGGCGCGGCTGGCGATCTCAACAACCCTGGCGTCAGCGTCAATGGCTCGACCAACGTCAACGGCACGGCCGGAATCGGAGGTATTCTTCCTACGCTTGTTAGTAGCCTCAACAGTGGCAACTTGAGCAACATTGTGCCCGGTATCCTTACAGGTCTTCTCGGAAACGGCACTGCTTCTTCTGGCGGTCTCATCCCATCTGTGGTTGTCAACATCAACAACAGCTCTACAGGCGCCAACGCCAATGCCGATGCCAATGCCAACGTCACTGCTGGCTTGGTCAACACGGGCATCATCGATGGCCTTCTCGGCGCCGGCTCGGGTGGTGCACTGCTCAACACGGGCGGTCTCCTCTCTGGTACACGCAACCTGCTCACCGACAGTCTCAACTGCGGCGCCATCGGGATCGTGTGCCAAGGTGTACAGATCTGCCGCGCCGGCGTCTGTATCAACTCGAGCGGACCCTCTGGCACAGCTACGATTCCTGCCGCGGGCACCCCGACCAGCCCGGCTGCTGGTATCTCAACTACTGTCGTTCCCGGCCAGGGCGTCGTCGACCTCCTCAACGACCCGCTGAACTGTGGACGTCTTCTCAACGTCTGCGTCCTCGGTCGAACATGTCAAAACGGCCAGTGTGTCGCCATTGGTGCGACGGCTACCACCCCCGAGGTTGCAGCACCTACTGTCGGTGGTGTTGCGACTACCGCAACGGTCGGTAGTGCCGGTCTCGTCAACCTTGTCAACGACGTCTTCAACTGTGGTCGTCTTCTCAATGTGTGTCTCTTTGGCCAGATTTGCAGCAACGGCCAGTGTATCGTTGCCGGCGCAACGACAACTGCTCCTCCCGCCGCGGCTCAGCCAACAACGACAGCACTCCCGGCCACCACGACTGTTGCGGGTGGCAACATCATCAACTTCCTGACCGACAATCTCAACTGTGGCAGACTTCTCAACGTCTGTCTCTTCGGTCAGGTTTGTCAGAATGGGAGCTGCGCTGTTCCCGGCACTGTTGCCGCTACCGCTACTGCTACTGTTCCTGGTGCCGCTCCCACGACCGTCCCTGGTGCTGGTGCTGGTGCTGTGCCTACGACTATTGCTTCTACACCAGCCGCTACAACGGCCGTCGGTGCTGGCGGTTCCGTCGTACAGCTTCTCACCGATAACCTCAACTGCGGCAGGCTTCTCAACGTCTGTCTATTCGGCCAGGTGTGTCGCGAAGGCCAGTGTGCCTCGGCCGCTCAGCCTACGACAGCTGCTACCGCCCCAGCGACGACGACGATTGCTGTCCAGGTTACGACCACGGCTGATGGAGGTCAGTTGACCACAGCTCAGGTTCCCACGACCGTCGTCACCGTGGCACCAACAACAGCTGCTGGTGCAGGTGCCGCCGTTGGTATCGTCGACCTTCTCAATGACAGCCTTAACTGCGGTCGCCTCTTCAACATTTGCATCCTCGGCCAGACTTGTCGCAACGGTGTCTGCGTTGCTTCTGGCGCTGCTGTTCCAACTACCACGGCTGGAATCACCGCGCCTACAACAACTACTCGTGCCACAACTACGGCTCCTGTCGTCGGTACCACGACTACGACTGCTGCTGCTGCTCCCACGACCACGGCGGGTGGTGCCTTTGGTGTCGTTGATTTGCTCAATGACTCGTTGAACTGTGGTAGACTTCTCAACATCTGTCTCTTCGGCCAAGTTTGCCGCAGTGGTGTCTGCGTTGCTGCTGGTGCCGCCGTGCCCACGACCACTGCGCCAGCGACGACTGTGCCAACAACGACTCTGGCTGCTACCACAGCCGTCGTCACAACGACCCTCCTTACCGCGACGCGCGCCGCTACGACTACCACTATTGCTGGCGTCCCTACAACCATTGCGGCGGCGCCGACCACAATCGCTGTGACTACCACTGCGACTGTCGTCCCGACCACCATCGCTGCGACTACCACTGCCGCTGTCGTCCCGACTACCACGACTGGTGCTGCCACGGCTACTACCACTGGAGGAACGCTGGCTGTCAGCCTCGATCTCCACACGGACCGCCTCAACTGTGGTCGTATCGGAAACATCTGCCTCGGCTCTCAGACTTGCTCCAGCGGTCTCTGTATCTCCGTCGGTGGAGCTGTCGTTGGCGGTACCAATATTGCTACGACGGCTACGGCTGCGACAACCATCACCACGAGCACCACTGCTCCGGCGGTTGCGGCCCCGACGACCACAGCTGTCACGACCATACGTGCTGCCACGACGACTACAGCCGCTGCTCCCACCACAACCGCTGCCGCGCCGACCACCACGGCCGGTGCTCAGACGAATGTCGCCATCGCCGTACCGACCACGCCGACGACGGCCCCCGCGGCGGTCCCTACGACCACGGCACGAGCGGCGACCACCGTCCCGACTACGCCCACGGCCCAGGTCGCTCCGACCACGCCCACGATCCAAGCAGTCCCTACGACTCCAACGATCCAAGCCGTCCCCACGACGCCCACGGTCCAAGCAGCCCCGACAACGGTCCGCGCCGCCACGACAGCTGCCGCCGTGCCCACGACCGCTCCTCAGGCGGCTGCCACAACCCAGCGCGCCGCCACCACTACCGCTCCCTCGACCGGCTCCAGCGGATCCACTGGTTCAAGCGGTTCAGGCGCATCGTGCGGTGGCTTCTTCAACCTCGTCCCTTGCATCTTCCCCCTGACGTGCGTCAACGGACGCTGCCAGCTGCTGGGAGTGATCGGGTAGGGGTCCTTTCTTGTTCTTTTTCCTTATCTGTCGGAAGGAAGATGATGATTTCCTTGCGTCTATAAGTCACTTCACATTCTAAATTTGGTCGAGGCTTCCTCCCGCTTTTTAATGCCTGTTATTTTCTTTTTACTATGGAATAGTACCATGGCAGTCGGCTGGTCAGAATGCAACAGACTAGACGGACTGTATTAGTTAATGCAGTAGCACACTATAGTTCTGTAGCTGTGAAGCATGATAATGAACCTGTTGCTACTTTGAAGCTTCCAACACTACCATTTTGATTTCAGATACTCACTAATGTCGCTCATGTCAATGCGTCCATGGTTTGTAGCTATATAATCTGACCCATGGCCACTGTTTGATTGCCCCGATAAATGTGACACCAGCTTCTGACCTGGTCTGGGAATTTAGCGTAGAGAACATTAGAGGTTACGATGCAGTTGCAACACTACAAGCCACGAATGATGGACATCTATATACGAGATGCCGCGAATGAGTTCAGCAGCTGTAGGATATTTAGATTCCCGGATTACCAGCCTTTCTTCCATCAGCCAAATACAAACCCGATCCGATCGATAGATTCAGGACATCACCCTGCTGTCAGATTTGCTCTGACAGCACTGTAGTGCCGCCTGACACGACCACTAACTGTGGATCAAGGATACCAAGAACACCACCCCATGCCGATGCCCCATCCATGAAGTCTTTTCCCAAAAGACAAGTCGATCCTCCAATGCCATGAAACAATGAAAGCTTCCGCAGCTAGTCATCCTCTTTCAATCCTCCAATAGTTCGGGTCCAGTTAAAGATTTCGTGAGTGCCAGCCCTTTCGCCACTATCTCATGCAGTGGTTGTTGCAACCATTCACTCCAGAAATCTTTGTCCTCCTGCCGGATCTCATCAACGTCGACAGAACAGGTCTCGAGAAAGATTTTGAGGCTCATCGACCAAAATCTCTGCTCATCTTTCTCCATCTCAGCGGTGGGTCTGGCTTGGAGAGTTCGAGACAGCGGGCTATACCCATCTTTGTCTTTCGAGTGGATGTCGGCGTTGCCACTCTGGACCAGAACTTGCACCGCACGGTGGTTTTTACGGCCCATAGCCCAATGAAGTGGTGTTCGACTGTCAAAGTCTTTCGAGTTTACGTCGGCACCACGTTCAATCAAATCTTTGACCGACGCTGCTATAAAATGCCCCGACCCAGGAGACATGCTGCATCCCGCCCTGAGAGCCCAGAAAAGCGGCGTTCGACCTCGTGAATCTTGTGCTTCGAGGTCAATTTTGACTGTCTTCAAAACTACTTCAGTAGATCGGCGACCGACGTTGGCAGCGGCATGGTGCAGTATTGTCGCTCCATTCTTGTCTACAGAGAATTTATTGGTTCTGCCGTCCCTGAGAAGTAATCTCAAAACATTTTTGTGGTCGTAGGTGAAGTTGGAAGCAGCCCAGGATAATGGCGTGCGTCCGCCGTTGTCTGACTCCTCGATAAGCTCCGGAACAGTCTCAAGGCAGAGCTGTAGTGCTCGGGTGTCGCCACATTCAGAAGCCCGCGACAGACACGTGCGGTTATATTTATCACGATGAAGAGCTCTTTCCTTGTTGTTGCCAGGAAATAGTTCAATTGCTGCGGAAAATCCGCTACCATATGCATGGAATGCCGGGGTCCGGTTCAGGCAGTCCGCGAGGTCGATTATTGAAGGGCATTTTTGTAGTAGAAGCTTGATAGTAGCTTTATCTGTGGTTTGATCATTCGGAAAAAGCGGTGTAACGATCGCGTGCAAGCATACGATAGTAGTGTGCGGCCTTCTTCGTCCGTCTGACACAAGTCCAGTCGATCGCTCCTGATCAAGAGCTTGAGTACACCCTCATGGCCACTCAGGATGGCCAGAAAAGCTGGCGTGAAGCCTCTTCCGTCCCTCAGGCAGAAGTTCGTTGCTTCAGTCTCGATTAGATGCTTCATTACATTCTCATGGCCGTATTTAGCAGCCCAGTGCGCTGCGGTCCATTGATGTTGTAAAACCGCATTGACTTTGGTCTCACCAGTCGCTAAGAGTATTCGAACCACATCTGCGTGCCCAAATTCAGCTGCCAGGGAGAGTGGCGTGCGAACTTTCGATGCATGGTCCACAGTCGATAAGCTGACATTGACGAGAAGGCGAGATAATAATTCCGTCAGACCGCAGGCTGATGCCACGTGCACTGGTCCCGCGTCATGCTCCAGGGACCGAAACTTTGCTTGTCCGAATTCCCACAATAGTATTAGTTCGATGTATACTTTCCAAAAGCTAGGGTCTGGCCGTTGCAGAATATCCACAATATTCTGAGCATAACCTGCTACCTCCTGGCCATATCTCAGATGGTAGAGGATTGACCGAGTAGCGTATGGTAGCAATGGGAACATCGCCATCAGTCTTGCCCTGACCTCCGCAGCTGCCGCATTTTCTGTTACCAAACAAAGATCATCTATATCATCACGAAAGATTACTGCGGTGAGATATTGAAGGCAGCATTCGGCCATCATACAATGCGAGGAAGCCTTCGCGCTCTGTAGCGACCGACTTGTAGCGCTGAGAAGTAATATACCATAATCGAGGACGAAGTCTTTGGCTGTCTGGTGAATGAATTGGGCGACTTGCCTCGCTTTTTGTCGGTCTCCATAATCCAACAGCTCGATGAGCCCGCAGCTAAGCGCATTTATCCGCTGACGAAGTTTGTGAAGAGGAACGAAGTTTTCTGACTCCTGACATTGTTGCATTGACCAGTCTGTGCGGACTTCTAAAGCCAATGCCCACTGTAGCTCCTGGATTGTCAGAGGTTCTATGGAGAAACAAGTCCATTGCAGGAGCTTCAATGTGTTTTGGTAATTCTTTGCGGCCAGAATGATTTCGCGGTATAATTCGGACAGCTCGGACGGTAGTCGCTCAATCTCAGCGTAGATCTTTCGCAACGTTTCTCCTTGGCGATTAAGTTCCAGTGCTTGCTCTGAAGCAAGCCTTGCCCACATGAAGCTCCCGTTGGCCCTCGTGGACACGAGATCTTCTAGGTGATGGTCGGATAGTGTTGACAGACGATGCTGGACGAATGTAATGATGTCGTCTCTGTTCTCTCTTTGTAGATGTATCTTCATATCACACTCTGGGATGGCATTGGGGTAGTAGCGACATGAGCAGCAAACGCTCAACCTGTGTCCGTCACTTGGCAGGTTGGAGACAAGGTCCGATATGTAGGCTGTCAAATCAACAGCTGCTAGCTCGCCAGCTTCATCAACAGCGTCAATGAACAGATGAAGTGGGTGGGTCGATAGAATTCTCGTGACGGCCAACTTGAAGAAGTCTTGTAGTTGATTCATATTCCACTCCCATTTCTTGCCCTCCTCTCCCACGATTTGTGTTTGACGTTCGTAATAAGCGGGTAGTTCGGGGAGTGCTGCAGGGACAAGGTGAAGAACTTGGTGAAGAATGGATCGAAACAGGCCAAGTAACTGTTTCTGAAGACTACCTCCGCGATTATGAAAGTAAAACGATATTGTGAGAGTATTCTCTCCAAGTATTTCTTTGGTTTCGTGGGCTAAGCTGCGGGCATGCTTCATCAGTGTCGATTTGCCTGAGCCTGGATGACCAGCGATCCACATCAGACCCCGGTGGAGATGCATCCATTTTTGAAACACTGCATGGTCACGAAGCCATTCGCACGTGTGTTCGGTTGCCCTCTTGATATCGAGCTGTCGAGTTTCCATGCCCAAAAAAGCCAATGCCCGGAGGCAGCTCTGGTTTAATGGCAGCGAAACCTGTGGTATATATCTTGAGGCTATGCTGTATAGTTAGTCCTGTCATCCAGTGCTTTTTGTGGGTGGCATGATTTACTAGTTCTGTCAAGTTCTGGCGGTACCTTGCCCACAGCTTGTGCCATGAGTTCAGCGATGTACCTGCACACGATCGGATAACTCCCCCGAATGCGAGAATCGAATTTGACCAGCCGTGAGTGGTCTGCACTGAGTGCGACGATGTCTTGATCCGCCGCAGCGACCAGCCCAGTGCTTGTAGCAGAGTCTTTCGTCACAAGCAAGCATTGTGCGCCTGTTTTGCGCGGGACTCCGTTCTCATCGATCTGTAGCTTGACATCAATATACTGTCCATGGAAGTTGGATCAACCGTGGTCGAACCTGCAATGTGTCTGAAAGCTCAAGCTCGAAGAAGCAGATTACCCGATATCTACTCTGACAGCTCTCTGCAAATATTTCTGAGATCCTCGTTAGGTATGAAGACGGCTCATTGTGCGGACCAACCAGCAAGTCGTGAATGAGAGCTGCATTAGGCTGCTCCTTTACAATGGAAACCAACGACTCGTTCCTCAGGCCTTGATTTGGCACCCCAAAGAACATGAGGCCGCAGCATAATTTGGCTATATCGGTCTCGTCATTAGAGCGATGACGGACAGCACGGATAAGCATTTCCTTGATCAGCAGACCGCCCAGGCTGTGGCCTATAAAGATGATGGGGCGATGACTCGTCTAGGCCGAGTTAGCTAAATCTCATCATAACTTTTTGAGAGGCGATGCTGTTATCTCGAAGTACCTTGTCCCGGAGGCGAAAAGCCACCACCTCTTCCAGCAGGGCACGGCCCAGGTCTTGAAGAGTCTGCTTTGACGTGCTTCCTTGCAGTTTGGTATTGTAACCGTAGATCAGGACACGGATGCTGGGTTGGTCGATGGGCAGGAAATCGCGTAGCCAAATTTTATTAGTATTGGCGGCTTTCCAGGAGCCGAACGCATGGCTGTTGAGGCCCGGTACTGCAATGACACTTCGTGCAATAAATTAGCGTTGCAATTTGAAATCGGGGGCGGGGGCATGGTTACTCGACTTTGGCATCCGTTGAATGTGCATACAGAGGAGTTATCCCATGAAAGTCATGAGAATAATAATACGAAGGGTCGCTGTTTGCTCCTGCTCGGGTGAGATTGGATGCAAGGTCTTTCGAAGACAACGATGTTTCGAATGCGACTGTGGCACATTCAATACCGACGTCCAGGGGTACCAGTGACCCTACGCGAAGGCTTGACTCGTTGACAGTTGTCTTGAGCAGTTCGTCGTTATTGAGAATATCCTTCAAGCTTTTCGTCATTTCCGCTCGTTTCTCTGCCACATTCAGTTGATCGGTTGCGCTTGATTCGACATCTATGCGCAAGGTGAGAGTGGTGGTTGACTTTTCCGCGACGACGGGGGAAACCCCTCGTCTGCTGGGTGTGCGCGCAGAATCCTCCGCCATGTTGAATGTCAACGATGGCGTCCTGGCAGAAAAGACCAACTGGTCTTTTTATCAGCTTGCGAGCTTGCGGGCGATGGACAGAGAAGCGAGGCTTGGAGAAATAGGTACACAGTCTTCGTCGGACAATCTAACGCGCCAAAAGATCAAACTGTCTTGGAAGTATGTGGCGATTTCAGTCAAGAAAGGATCAGTCAAGAAAGGATGGAGGGACAGACACGAGCGACATACGGCTGCAACCCAATAGCCGCCAGCCCTCAAGAGCCCCCGCCTGAAGGCAACCAACGCATCACGTGTCAAGGCATGCCTCAGCCTGACCCTACATCATCAGGCTGGCACTTGTGTGCTGCAAGCTTGAGAAACTCGGCATCTTGGCGTGAATCATGTTGCGAACTCAAAGGCCTCCTTTCGACAAGTCACACCAGTTGAAGCCGGCTGTGGAGGAGGAAAGTGAGGGGGCCAAGCAGGTCCCTGGATATCCTCGGGTTAGTTTGGATGACCGGTCTAGAGTCTTGGACTTCCTGACCCAGGAGTTTTGCAATGACGACCTCGACCAAATCGCAGACAAGCTGTGGTGGATGTCGAGACAAAACAGCCAAAACATCTCCCCACTACACCGGCAAGCGGTCAAGCGCCGGACGATCGTCGTCACGGAAGACCCGAAGCTCCACTTAGTCTGGATCCACGACCGAATCTTCGTCAAGCCGCTCCCGCGCTACCTCGGAGACTACGGTTTCTGGCGCGATCACATTTGCGCCAAAGACGGCACCGACAAGCGGGGCGTTCGGGTCCAGCGCGCGGCGCTGGGGTTCATCCGGACGTACTATCATCTGATCCGCTACGAGACCGACTTTCGCATCGCCAAAGACCCGAGTCTCGCCCTGATACCAGAACATGTGACGTGGGAGCATTTCTGCGCTTTCACGGGGGGGTTGAATAGCATCGAGGACCGTGAGGTCTCGGAGCGGTATCAGTACGGTGAGATCCGCCTCACGCGCCTCAACTTTTACGCGCCGTTTCTGCTCGGCAGGTCGCACTTTCAGCGGGTGGACTACCAATACGGGCCGTACTTTGCGCGGTTCTATGTTCCCATTCTGTTTGCCATGGGAGTCGTGTCGGTGGTCTTGAGCGGCATGCAGGTCATCTTCACAGCGAGCGAGGAGGGCGCCGCGGTGAGGAGCCGGCGATGGGCGGATGCCGCGGTCGGGTTCAGCGTGGCATCGATTGTCGTGGCGTGTGGGCTTCTCATTGCGCTTGGGGGTCTCATTGTGTACAAGATAGTGATGGAGTGGAAGGTTGCGATTCGAGATCGCCGACGGCTGACGAAGCAGAGAAGTAAAGAGAAACAAGGCCAAGAGCATGGGAGGGGAAATCCCTAAGGCCATGTAACAACATATAGCAGGAATATGCTCGCAATTTGAGGTCGATGTTTTTCGATTTTGATCACAGCCATAAAAACTGCGGCTCGTGCTCTTGGCTTTTTCCTAGGCAACTTTCTCAGTTCGGCTTGATCAGGTCTCGCAGCCTTGTCAGCCGACGAACAGTGTGTCGGAGGTAGAGGACCTCCAGTCTACGGCCTTTGAAGGCTGAAAATGCAAAGCAGTGTGCGTGGGCAGGAAGCCGAATGAGGGGAGACGGAGATAGCCACATGGGCTGGTTTCCTGAGTACCTACCTACCTAGTCAAGGTAGGTTAACCTAGACAACTATGGTAAGCATGCCATTTGAAGAAATGGTAGCTTAAGCAGCATGATCGAGAATGCATAGTATTTTAGAGTATCCGAAATAATAAAATAAGTAAATAGCATGGGTAACGAATATGAATGTATTTGAAAACTATGTTTCCATTTCCGGTATCTGCGGCACCTCTTCAAGATCTTCGCACGATGAATATTGATGGAATTCCCAGAACCAGCTCTCCAAGCTCATCACGACCCCAAACCCCAAGACACGATGAGGACCGAAGATCACGTGATACGATAAGCAGAGCGATAAGCAGGGCCCCTGTGGAGACGGAGGCTGTTGGACCTGGACTCACCCGTCAGGCCGCCAATTGGAGACACCGAAAAAAGTTCAATCGCGAAACCCCCTTCACCACGCGATCCCGACGACGACAAGGGGAAGCAGAGCAGTAGCAGTCGCAGAAGCACCAGCCGAAGCCAGCCACCACATCACCCAGACACAATGGTTCGACCACGCGTGAGATTGCCGCGCGTCCGCCTCGCGCAGCAGCTGCAGCAGCGCTCTCTGCACAGCGTCCCCAAGCTCGACCACGACTTCAGCAATGGTGTCCCCGGCGTGCTGTCGGCCGACGGTTTCCAGATGGCGTGGACCGAGTACATGACGCACACGCTCGATAAGCTGAACGCGTTGACGGCTGGTATGTCTCTCTCCTTACGGATCTGCCGAGCCACGGAAGAGGGATGGGTCCAGGAGATGCTGGGCCCCAGCCCATCACGCACACCATGACGGCAACGAACGACAAGGTAGATTGATCATAGCTGACAAGAAACCCCAGGCACCGACCTCGAAACGCGCGACACGAAGCAGATCATCCACGCGACGGCCCGCGACCCCGACCAAGCGCCCATCTTCAACCACGCCTCCATGGCCCACAACACGCACTTCTTCTTCAAGACGCTGACGCCGACCCCGAAACCCATGCCGCCGCAGCTCGCCGCCGACCTCTCGACCGCCTTCTCCTCCCTCGAAACCCTGCGCCGCGAGATGACGCTGACGGCCGCCTCCATGTTCGGCCCGGGTTTCGTCTGGCTCGTCAAGGCCTCCTCGTCCGCCGCCTCCACGGGCCCCTCCGCCGCCGGCATCCTCTCCTCCGCCGGCGGGCCCGCCTCTTCCTCCTCCTCTTCTTCCGCCGCGGCGGGCGCCTCCCCCTCGGGCGCCGAGTACCGTATCCTGACGACCTACCTCGCCGGCACCCCCTACCCGGGCGCCCACTGGCGCCTGCAGGGCCGCGACATGAACACGGCCGGCGCCGCCGGCTCGGCGTCGGGCTTCCTGCGCAGCACCCAGCGCGCCAGCCAGCTCGGTGCCAAGCCCCCCGGCTCCCTCGACCTCGTGCCCCTGCTGTGCCTCAACACGTGGGAGCACACCTGGCTGCGCGACTACGGCATCGGCGGCAAGCGCGCCTTTGCCGAGGCCTGGTGGGATGCCGTCGACTGGTCTGTTGTTGCCGAGGCGGCCAACATTCGCCCGCGTCCGGCGTTCCAGGTCTGAGGACGGGTCGGGCGAGAGAGGGAGAGGAATACGCAATGTATCAACTGTGAAATGGAGAAGGCGGACTTTGACACGGGTGTGTAAGATAGCATTACAATGTATAGAAAGGCAGAAAAATGGATGTACTATGCTGTATTTGGCTGGCTGGCGTGTGAGTGCTTTCATGTTTGATGAGGTGGCCGCTGTTTGCAAGCTTTGAAATGGGGATCACATCTGCATGGTGATGTGTTGTCAAATATGCGGCAACTCTCAGCTGCGTCACGTTATGCCGACGTGCTGTCCGACGGGTCCATGATTCAGTCATCCAGGATGTGGAGAATCACGGGTAGAGGCAAGCCTTTCTAGGAAGCACTTGGCTTTTGCTACCATCGATATCAGAACCCCAACATCCCAGATCGCGAACAGGCACTGAAAGAAAGAGCACTACGGGCTTCACTTTTGAATCAGATGAGATGCTATCTGGTCCCTACTGTCCAAGTTCATGAGCAATATCCAGACAGGACTGTCCAGGAATCAAGTCTCACCTTGCCGCCACTCAAGAACCCGCGTCAAGATTGGTGAGTCGAAGTAAGACTACAGCTCTGTACATCGTCACGAACGAGCCAAGCATCACACTTATACATGCGCAATACGCAAGCCATGCTTGATTGCAGACTAAACTACCCAGAATCGCCCTCCACCACCCTCATAAGGAGCGTCCAATCAAAAAGGTATCACGATGCCACGCCGGAAATGCCAACGAATAAAGATCCAAAAATCAAGGGGGGGTTCAGCTCTCGAGAGCACCCATCCCCAACAACATCTTTTCCAAAGGAGAGGCGAGAACATACCAAATGCAAGAAGCAAGAAGCAACAAAAGAAAACAGACGCGTCGTCGGCGGGCTTACCAGGGGCCTTATGGTCATCGCAGACCCTTGCCAACAATTTCCGACCTCCTGTCATCGCCCTTCGTCCTCACACCTAAATCATGTTCCCATTAACGCTCACTTCAAAGCCCTGTCCCTTCTGCCTCAGCGCCTTGGCAAGCATGAGCTCTCTCATCCAGTCGATCCTCTCATCCCGGTTGCGCACCGCGAAGTGATGCGTCTTGCCGGTTCCGTTAACGCCCTCAGCAGGCACAGTGGCACCGCTGAAAGAGAACCCCGACTCCCTCTTCCTCAGCTTCGTCGTGACGCCGTTTCCATTCTTATCCTGTGGGATGAGCTGAAACGCAAAGGCACCAACGCTATCTAGATCGCGACTGCCAGAGTGGAGATGCACGCGCTTGAACGCGGCGCTCAACTTGCTCTGGCTCGCGAGCGACGAGCACGCAATAGCGTAGTCATCAATGTCAACATATTCGAGAGCCCGCTCGAGGTGCACGGCGTCCTTGTGCATGGCAAGGCGCGTTCCCTTGAGGGTGAAGTAGCCGTCGTTCCACTCGTGACGGAGCATGCGCGTCTTGCGCTTCTTCATGGGTCCCTGGTAGGAGATGCCACTGTCGAGGGTCGTGGCAGTCAGGGGCGTCTCAACGATCGAGGTCGCTGAGGCGGCGGCGGCCTCGCGGACGGGCACCGAGGGCGGGATGGCCTGCTCGAAAGTACGGCCTTCAGTGGCGGGGGACCAGGGGTAGGCAACGCGGGGAGGGGCCTTGACGGAGGCCCGTTGTGGTGAGCCGCGGACGGGGGAGGTACGGACGGGGGAGGTGCGCACCACCGGGGTGGCGGTGTTCTCGTCCAGAGCCGGGAGCACGGGGAATGAGGGACGGCGAGCGGAGGCGCGGGATTGGGTCATGGCTCGTGCAGGAGGTGGGTTGGAGGAGGAAATGGTATGGTAGTTCATGTCAGGGGGCACGGACTGAGAGACGTTACGCTCAATGTGATCGACGGGAACGGCTGTGACGGGGACGTCCATCTCAGAGAAGGGGGTACCGAAGCGGTACGGGTTGGTGGGTGTCATCAGATCCGGAGAGAGAGGTTCGGCCTTGTCCATGCGATAAGGCACGAAGGCATGCTCCTGCGACGACGACGACGACGACGACGAGTGTTGCTGCGCTGGCTGAGGGACTGACGGTGGTGGCACGCTCGTGGCCCTTGAGGACTCGGGCCGCAGAGGTGACTTGCCTGGGATGGCGAGTTTGGGAAGTGCGCGTAGGCCCTCCTTTGGCGCCTTCATCGAGGCCAGAATCTCGAAGGGGGGCGTCGGCGGGACCTCGTTGGCGCTGCACTGTTGGAAGTCGAGGAACTGCCTGACGTTGTCCTGGGGGTCTCTCGCTTGCACACCACGCAACGCAGCCTCCTGCAGGTACTGCATGGGCGGCACACCACCGGTGCCGAGGATGTCTGACGACGCGACGACGGAGGGGACGGCATCCGACATGGGACGCATGATTTCAGAAGGGTCGAGGGCGCGGGCAGTCATGGGGTTACCAGGATCGCCAGCGACGAGCACAGCACCGCTCTCGAGGTCCACAAAGGGATGCTCTTTGCGGAAGGCATCAATCAGGCGCTGTGCCTTTCGGTACTTGGAGCAGTTCTCGCCCTTTGAGCAGAAGTGCGGCCTGGGGATGTGCTGCTCGATGCCGACGATAGAGACAGACTCGAGGGGGGTGATGATGTCGTCGTGCGACAGCTTCTTGGGCTTCCGTCGACTGCTCTTTTTCCTCAACAGCCCTTCGCCTTCGTCTCTGCGCTTCTCCCTCTTCACCTCGCGGCTCGGCTCGTCTTGAATGGGTGTCGGCGCCCTCGGAGAACTCGGTCGGCTGTCGCGCAGGTTCTGGATCTGGTGCCAAACATTGTGGCGCATGCCAAAGGAGGGAATGTCGAGCTCCTTCAGGTCCTCGAACTTGAGGGTAATGAGAATGGCACCGTTGATGTCATTCTGAACGAATCGCTCGGCGACCGAGTACTCTATGCCAGCATTGAGCATCGACTGCGCGACCATTTCGGGGGTCCAGGGCAGGAGGTTCGAGGAGTCCAGTTCGGCTGTGGTGAAGCGCGCAGTGGGGCTGCTGCGACGTCGTGTTGGCAGGGACTGGACAGTCGGGAGAGGCTCGTGCATCATAAAGTGCATGCTCTCACTGAAGGGAAGCGCCGTCTTTGGCGTGATGGGCGACAGTGTCAGGATGGCCTCCTCCTCAAACGAATGCGTCGTTGAGCTGCGGAACAGATGCGGCCCCCTAGGACCCTCAACGGCCTGTGGCGATATCCCCTCGAGATAGCCCACGCGACTTTGACTTGACCTTGGCGTTGGCACCTCATCGTAAGAAGAGAGCGTAGTGATACTCGGCTGGCCACCAGACTTTGACCGTGTTAGTGGGTTTGCGTCGACACCCTGACTTCAACAAAAGATGGCACATACCGAATTAACGCTGTGGCGTGGTGAGTTGTCTTCCGCCTCACTGATGATTTCCTCGTCCCAATCCGTATCGACAAACTCTGTTGCGACGGAGATGGGACGGTCTTGCGGCTCGCTCTTGAGGCCGAAGAAGGTATCACGCAGATTAGCTTTTTGGCGCATCTCGGAGTGATGCAACCGGCGCTCGCCCATGGCGCGGTGTTGTTGCGTGTAATGCTACGTGGCCGTGTTAGTCTGTGGTGCTCACTGGTTTTGTGAGCGAGCTCAGGCACAACTTACCAAGCTCATGATTTTGTTTTGTTCTGTGATTTTGTTTTTGGGGGGAGGGTAGTTCGCCGAGTTGAGTAGTATCCGGCCGCCCAGTTTGCACGGGGTGGGAAGGGAACCTCTTGTCAGCAGGCCGTTGCCGGCACTTCTAGGTTGTATCAAAGAGGCAGTGACCGCAGCCCAGCAGCCGTCACTTGCAGGTCCTGGGGGTGGGTTTGTTTTTCTTTTCGCAACGAGGACACTAGGTACGATATGCAGGAAGGGTCATGAACGAGAGCACTGCACGCTTTGCTTATGCTCATGAGGAAAAGGAGAATCGTGCAAGAGTGGCAAAAGGAGGAAAATCGAGAAAAAGGGAGAGAGGGCTTGGATAGCCGCCGGGCGCCTACCGAGGGGTTATGTATGGATGGTGGTGGCATGTGGTTGAGCGACGATGGACGAGCGACAAGGAGGGACACACAGACAGACAGGCACAGAGAGACACAGGCACAGCGCGAAAGAAGTGAGCCAGCATCCCAGCAACCCATCATCCTAGCATATCCTGGCACCCTGGCACCTAGCACCGAGCACCTAGCACCTAGCATGGTACCGCGAGAGACGAGGAGCATCGGCATGGGACATCACAGTCGGGTGCTGCAGCAGCGCGCATGCATGGTGCGATGTGCGTGATTCGGCCGTGGTGCACTTGCGCACACGGCCGACGACCGGGCCAGCCCAACCCAACAGAGACTTGTCGACTAGGGTCTGGGGGCGTTGGCGGTCACAGGCAAGATGCCCACTGTATCGGAGAGTGAGGCCGGGTCGGTTGACAGGGAATCCAACAACTGACCGCTGCCAGGTATGCCGATGATGGGAGGAACAGGCCACACAAGCCCCTCCCATGGACCTTGCTGCTTAGACTGGCAGGGTGGTATAAGAATAGACCCCTGGAGATGTCTTGTGAGCGGTCCGACGAGGGTGTGCGGGTGCGGGTGTGTGTGAGAGCTCGAGCCTGTGTGGTCGCCGAGGTAGGCGAGGACGAAAACTAGCAGAAGAGGTAGGCAAGCCACAGGCGGCGGCATCCTCCATCATCGCGCAGCAAGACCTCGACAGGACAGGCCAGGCCAAGCCGAGCGTGGGGAGGGCGGGCGGGATGTCTCTGGCCTTGGGGTGGATCGAGTCAGTGGCCGTGGTTGGGTTGAAGGAGCCAGGGCGCATCCATCTGGTGGTGATGGTCATGGTGTTTGTCTTGGGCAGAGGCGGAGGCAGAGAGAGAGGCAGGAAGAGAGGAGAGCTCGAGAGCTTGGGCCACCTTCGGTAGTGCGACTGCCGCGGGGTTTGATTGGTGGTCGGTTTGGTTACAAGATGCAGCTGCAACCTCCATCCATGCAGGACCGAAGCTCGCTCGATGCTCCATC